GGAGGCAGGCTAGCTTCGCGGTAGGCCCGCAACGAGAGCATGGAAGGGACAAAGGCTGAAAAAGGCAAGAGCATCGCAGGACGACGGGAATAATCTCCCCCCGAATTGTCCGTTCGACGTTCCCACTATCTCCCCCACCCACATCCCAGCTCCTCTTGTCTTCCTCGTCTCCATCTCTCTTCGCATTCTGTCAGGCGCGCGATTCGACGAACCAAGACCTACTTTACCCAACTTGCTTTAGCCTGTCCACTCCCGACATACATCCAGATATCCGGTCTTCAGACTATCCTGGTTCTGCCGCCAGCCCGCCAATCCTCAAGACATGAACACAGGATTGCTGTTCGTGGCACGACACCTGGAAACCGTCCCACCATACCAATCCGAATTCGGGTCCTGCCACTGAGATGACAAGTGCTTTCCAGACCACCATTCCAACAACCCTCTACTTCCCAAGCATGAGCGTGGCCAACGATTCCTCCTCAGTATTTTCCTTCCAGGCCGATCCATCAGCCAAACTGACCGTAGCTGAGTGTCGGTGATGCCCATCCACGCCTTACTCTGCCTCGCCTTCCTCCTCTCCTTGCCCTCCTTGCTCGCCATCCACGCCTCGCTCCTCATCGTCACCTTCCAATATGTCCACCACCTCGTTCAACCTCTCATACATGGAATAGCCCTCATGCTCCTTGATAAACTCCCAGACCTTATCCGTCAAGCCCTCCGAATCCAAGTGCGTCAGCCCTTCCCCGTCAAAGTAGCCCATCATCTGAAACAGCTTCTCTTCCATCTCGGACGGCACGCAATCGCCGTTCCTCGCCTGATGGCCGATCTCGTCCATCGGCGCCGTAACCATGCAAACCATGATCTCGACCATGGTAAAGACTGCGTTCTTTCTGGTTCCGCACGAACAGCCTTCGTATTCTCCGGCCTCCTTCTTGACAGCCTTCAGGATCTTGTCGAACATCTTGCCGATGTCGGACACCACATCGAAAGCCTTCTCATACGCCTTTGAGCCTGAAAGAAGCGCGTACTTGGTATCGAGGAGGTACTCAGCCTTTTGAGAGTATTGACTAAAGTTGACGACGCGCGCCCTTTGCAGGTCGTACCAGTGAGCAAGAATGGAGTTGACGTAAGGGTCGCGGGCGGCGGCGTAAGCGAGCAATTCATGAGTAAAAGTGGCAAGAAAGCTAGCGATCTAGGAGGAGGGAAGCTCCTGGGCCTTGGGGTTGTGGGTGGGCAGCTTGCTGAGATTGCCTTTGAAGTTGGCACCTCTAGGGAAGGTTTACATCTTTGCAAGTTACGGATTCTCATCGTTATCAGAAGTAAATTGAAGTCGACGGGTTCGATGGGCCGACGCTTGGCACCGCAGCGCGAGGAGTAAGTGACAGGAGGTCCCGACATGTTTTCTTCGGACTGCGTTTCTATCCGTTGATGCTGGCTGGATGGCTGGCCGGATCCTCGTCGCGATTGATTGATGAGCGCCAGGCAGTTGGAGGAAGAACAATGACAAGAGGAAGACGTTCTTCGGAACAAGAAAAATCAAATTGCCATTTATCAGTTGGCGGGGTGTTGTACCCTGTGCTTTATCCGCCTGACCGCTTTCGGGTTCTACTTGTATGGCAATCGTTTGCATTCTGGCTTCGCGCACCGCCCTGTTTTGGCTATGGTGAATAGTACCTACTTTGGTGTTTTGTTGCACCACACTATTTGAATCCGCGCGCCACTTCACTTTGACTTGTAGGATAGTTTGAAGCCAGTGCTCTTGCACCCATTCACTGGGGTTTCATCCCCAAATAGGTACTTCCTCTGTGTATGTTTAAGTATGCTGTGCCTTGTTTCCGTTTTTGCATGTTCAGACAGAGCGCGATAACACTTTGACGGCGGTGAAAATTAGGGGATTCTGGTTGGACGGCGATACTTGCGTTCTATTTCTTGCAGGAATCCAGTCTGTAGGGTAATGACTGTTCGGAAAATAGGTACACTCCCCAAGTCCAACATCATCTCCGCCTCTATTTTTCGCTGTTGTTTCTCCTTTGTTTATTTTCCCTTATTTTGCAGTTTCAGAGTCCCAAAGGTGAGTACTCGTCTCCATGTGAGCGGTATCTATTCCTTATAAAAGATTTGGTTGCTGACAAGCAACTTTACCGTCCCAAGTGGACATAAAAAGACAACAAGAACAAGAACAAGATTTCGCTGAACGTCATGAATCGGCTCCCAGTTACCAAGCTCTAGGCATCGACAATTTCCTGTTCCTTCGCTTCTGATGATATTTCAAGCTGTTGTCTAAACTCCGTGATCTCTGTCACAGAATGACGAGTGGTTGTCGTAGGTTTCACTGGCGAAGAACTGTGCGGAGGAGGATGACTTTCCAGGTAAGTTGATGGAGGAGGGGGAAAAATCTCGTAAGGATCCGCAGTCTGAGTTGTATGTGCTACTTCGCCTATCCAGGCCTCGATGTGCGGAGAAGGAGGACTTTCCAGGTGAGTTGACGGAGGAGAGGGCAGCATCTCGTCAGGATCTGCAGTCTGAGCTGTTTGTGCTACTTCGTCTTTCCAGGCCTCGATCCTTTCCATGTCAATGTGCCACCTCCTCACGATGGCGTGGGGATCATCAGTTGGATCCTGAGGCAATTCCGTGACCGCCGTGGCGTATTTGGGAATAAGGGATCCCTCGTAACCGGAAGTGAGAGCGGCTGAGTTGGCGGGACCAAACGGCATGTCGAGGCTTCCGTCCCAGGAGTCTTCTGCCTTTTCACTGTTTGATACTGGATTGTCGCATATGTCCCACACTTCGTCGCCATTGGCAAATGTGTACCAGTAAATGGCATCTGGGCTGCGGACTAAATGGGGCGTTGTGACATGTTAGTAAGCCTCAATTAAGTATAGCTCGTGGAAAGACAGAACAGGAAAGCCACAGTTGGCTGTAGGGCTAAAACCGTCAAATATCGACAGTCGTCAAGGTAGATCATGCAAATCTGACGGGGATTGGGGAGTGATGTGCAAATGCGTAGGCTTACCCAAGTCTAGATCACGGTTTGTTGTTAGGATAGGCGAGTTTCGGCCTCCGTCTGCAATCCTTGTACAGCGCCGAGTGCCTTAAGCGTGAACCAAGAACCGCATATGTGCAGGCACAAATCCATCCTACCGTTCCCATCGTACCACAAGTCAACTTGGAAGAAATGTTTCAGCCCGGGCTTCCCGCCCATTTCAGCGGAACCAAACCCCGACTCTCCTAGGAGTTTCTTGGGCCAAACAGCCGCCAGTGTTCTCGTTCCTGGTAGTCCTGAACGTCGTTCAATGGGAATAACTGTCCCCTCGCAGGACTTCCTCTTCCTATACATGGGCTCCTCGTTGTCTGGACTGTATGGTTCTTTATCGCCGGCGACGACAAGTCTTAGGACGCATGAAAAGTCTTCAGGAAGGAGATGGATCGGAACGTCGAAAAGTAAGAGAATAGTGGGGCCGTTTTGGTGACTGCGGTCCTACTCCTTCAGTTCACCCTTCGGGTAACACCCGAATCTAGCTGTCAGGCACGCCGCTGATGGGTCAAAAGGAGGATCACGATGAAACTCAGAGACGTAGGCTATCCGCGGCGATGAATACATGTATATTGCACGCTTGTGGACATGGCATTTGGGTTGAGATGCCGACGGCGCCGAGGATGAGATGCTCAGGTCGTCTTTTGGCTTGGCAGGTGACGATTCCGGAGGTGATGACATGGTTGATCGTTGACAGGTAGATGTCGGGTATTGTATCGGAGAGTCCATCAACGAGGATTTTCTCTACAGCTCGTGTCCAACGGTTGGTGAATGAATGGAAAAGTTTGGTACTGGAAAAGGATGTTGTAAATGTTCGAAGGGGTAATGCGGAGGAAAGGCGAGAGACGTGAACCTGTTCCTCGAAACTTGGAAACGAAACAAAGGCCAGATAGATGTTGCGAGCGAAAACGGCGCAATAAGGAAAAGAAGGAACGGAGGAAGGAATGGCCAAAGAAGGAGCGGGAAATCCCACTTTGATCACTCTTCCTTCCACTTGTAGTACTGTATCCGTGATCTCCAAATTGGATCAAGAGAAATTGCTCCCTCTCCCTTCCCCTCCCCCCTTTCCATACCCGGTACTCCTTTCTGCCAAACCTTCAAGCGATCAAATTCTCCTGCACGATCGCATTCTCCTGCACAATCACATTCTCCTGCACAATCACATCCAGCGCATGCTCTCAATTGGTCATCACACAATGTCGACGATTTCCTGGGACCACAAGTACGTACCTACCCATTGCCCGTCTTGTTGCTAGTCGAAGGAGTCGTAAGAATAAACCGAACATAGATAGAGGCTTGAATAGAGGCATGTAATGTACTTACTGACCCGTGATATGCTCGGCTGGTTTTCACGACCCCTTCACCGGGCAGCTACCTCCAACATCACCTTCCTCCCCGCACGCCCAAATCATACGCCTCCTGAAACCTTGGCGCCAAATAAACCGTCATGTACGGCCCCGAACGATCCGAATAGGAAAACGACACCCAAGTGTGCGTCCCTGGCGCCTTTTTGAAATCGACATGCGGACTGTTTTTCCCGCCAGCGGGCAGCAGTTAGCAAACAATTTCCTCGCCCCCACTTCGTTCCCAATCACCTTCCACATCTCAGATCCAGATCAGATGAATAAGACAATGGAAAGGAAAGTACTCACAAAGCCTCCCTAACCGCCTCTCTATACCCCCCCTTTCCCAGCTCCTCTCCCCATCCCAACACCCTCCACACCGTCTCCAACGCCGCAACCACGGCTTCCTCGGTCTCAAAGAACTGCATCAGTGGCAAATACACCTTGACGTCCGGATCCTCCCTTCCCGGCTGCATCTCGTAGCTGGTGAACCCCATCCAGTAGCTATTTTTCCTGGTTTCATACCGACAGGGTTTGCTCACATGGTACGTCGCTTCGCTGACGCGCGACCGATCCCCGCGCAGCAGGTGGTAAATCCATTTCAAAAGTGCCACGCCGCGCAAGCTTTCCGGGGAGGCTAACCGGCCACCCATAGTCATCGCGTCGCGCATCACGCTAAAGGCGTTGCTGGGCACGAGGGTGTACAGCTTCACTCGCGCCGCCGCCGCCGCGCCTCCTTGTTGGTCTGAGGAGGGGAAGGGGGAGACGGCGTCGATGCCGAAGCAGGAGGGTGTCATGGTTGATGCTCTGGAAGAAACGTAGCTCTCGACCAGCTTGATCGCGGGTTTCAGTTCCTCTCGGCGTGTGCGGATGGCACGAAGCGCAGAAAACAAGACTTGGTGAGGCGAGAAGCCGGTCACCAGGCTGGTGGGTCCGGCGAAGAAGTAAGGCTTCAGCACCCTTTTCTCCCTTGAGCATGCGATGGCGATGGCTGCGTGTTCGGGCGGTAGCTGGCCGGGAACCAGCCTCTCCTTCAGCACGGCGCGCTCCTGGTTCAACAAGTACATGTGCTCTTTCACCTCGTTGTACCAGGTCAGGTCCGCCTTCGTCTCCACGCCGCCCACTCCGTGACATTCCCCCGCTAGCAAAGGAAACAACCTCCGATACCCCTCTTGATTGGTCGGGTCTTCTTCACTAGTTCCGGTGGCAGGTATCGGCTCGAAACTAAATCTCAGCGTCCCCTTCACTTTCGGCGAGCTGGAGCTGGAGCCAGGGGGAGCAGAGCAGAAGTTCCAGGTTGGTCGGTAGGGCGAGCCTTCGTAGTTCAAAGGGGAACGGAGGCGGTAGGAGGAGGAGGGGCGAGGACCGAGGTTGGGGATGACGTTGTTGCGGAACCAGGTGAGGTGGAGGGATTGTTGGGTGGGGGTGTAGGAGTTGGAGTGCCGGAGAATAGAGGTGAGAGAGGGGGCGCAGGCTGTCCACCAGTAGTTGTGGTTAGGGTTGGTGTCATCATATTGCCCGATGGCATTGGAATCCTGGGAAGATGTGCTGGAGGTGTATCGGTTTTGGATTGCTTGGAGAGTTGATGGTCGGCGTCCCGGAAATGTCGATCGGAGAATAGGGCGAGGGCGAGCGGCTGTGGTGAAGGTAACCCGGCTCATCTTGGGCGCTAACGAGGAATTATGGTTGATGCCGAAAAAGCACGCGTCAAGTATTCAACCACGAAAACACATCAGGAACAATGCACGAACGAACCCCTGGCAAAGAAACATGTGAAGATGGGGAGTGGAAAGCGTCAACAGTGACAGAAGCACGGGGTGAGATGAAAAGGAGAAAAGATGAGATGACGTTGAAATAAACACGTGGACCCGTTCGATGACAATCCCGCATCCGTCGGGTGCATGGCCCGACCAGGGTGTATCCCGTCCCCACTCGAACGGAGATCGGCCAACACCCAGCCGCTCCAGCTCCGGAAGTTCACGAAAATGGTTGTCGCCTGGCCGAATTGACCAAAAATGGAAACCTGCCTGCTCATTCACAAAACCTGTTCATCCCCCACCTACCTACCTCTGCCCTCACTCATCACGTCCCTTCTTCGCCTTTAACCGGCTCCTTCACAGCCTCATACGCCTCCCTCCTCCTCTCTTCATTTCCCTCCACCCTCCACTCCTCCAAATACCCCGGCACCTTTTCCACCCTGTTATAACTCCCCGCCACCGGCTCCCCAAACTGCGTCCAAGCCGGCACCACGCCCACCCACGTCTTCTCCCTCACTTCCTCGTCGTTCATATCCCCCTTGTCATCATGCGGCTCGCCACTTCTAATCTTTGCACTTCCCGCCTTGATCTTGACTTTCAAAATACTCGTGCTCTGCATCTCTGCACCGTTAGGCGGGTTGCGCGTGTTCTGATACCGAGACGGCACCACGCTGTTGGTTACCAGCTCCATTGCCCATAGCTTCTCGGCCTGGTCGACGACGGGAGTGGCGTAGCCGAAGAGAACGGCGGAGCGATAGTTGTAGGAGTGCGAGTTGGGGGTGAGGGACAGGACGTAGCCGTCTAGGATAGTGGCGGACATTGTTAATGGGATGCCGGTTTCGCCGCCGTCGCGGGAGGTCCGAGCCAAGTTCATGAGGCGGGAGGAGACGTAGCCGTGGAGGTAGAGGTCGAGAACGTCGCCTAGGTCGGCAGAGGGACGGGCAAAGGAACCCATTTGGCCGATCATGGGGAGGACGGCGGGGAAGGGGGAGGTGGAGTCTTGGAAGGCGACATTGATAAAGGGCGAGGAGTTGATGATGCCGTGGATGGTTTCGAGGGAGTAGCGGGCTGGGTGTGTATGGGTGTTCGGTTAGCGTTGACATGCCCGAATGGTGAGATGAGTGGTATCAAGTGAGGGTGTTTCACCTCTGTCATTGAGTCGCTTGACCGTGCTGTACGGCTGTTTGGGGTATTCGAGCTCTGGCATTTTGACGGATGGTGAGGCGGGGAGTGCTGAGGGTCACGACAAGTCGTTTGTAACTGGTGAAAGACCTTGGGTGAGGGGGATCGGATGGAATAGATGGACTCTGATATGGTATTTGAATGAAATTGGGTTCCTATGAGATGCACAAGTCGAAATTTATGACACATTCACCCGTGACTCACGACGCACAAGTCATTGATTGGGTGACACTATGTAGAGAAGTACCTAGAAGAAGGCGTGAGGAAATCATCAACCCAATATAGAAAGTGGTGATAAGCAAAAAGAGCGGGGAGCTGAGGAGTACATAAGGCCAGCGGAACGGGGTACGCCATCCCGGATGCGGCCCGAACATGTGTCCGGCTTGACTCGGCTTCGGCCTTGGTTGGAGTGGATTTCACGCCTTTTGGATGACATGCCATAACTTGCTACTGGCGGTATCAACTGGATGCCATTCGGATCGAGTACGGTTGAAAAGCCATGATTTGATGCATTCCTAATGGTACCTTAGATGTATTTACCCTGTCCACGTACTTTTTCCAAGTTCCGTCCATGTCGATAAGTAGGGCCTCGTTATGGACTTCCGAGATGCTCAAAGACAAGGCAAAATGCCAATTGCCAAAGAGAGAAAACAAATGACGGAAACAAGTTTGTTCCAGAAATGAAAGGACTAGCGTGTTTGGTGATGCACCAGGGTGAGCTGTTTCCTTCGTCGAGGCAAGCTAGGTATATCCGAGTCACTTATACAAGTACAAGAGTGAGTGAGTGAGTGAGTGGTGGTTGGATTTTGGAAAGAGGATGAATTGACAATGACCCCCTGGACAAACCAAAAAGAGGGGCTGCTCCCCCACAGTCCCACACCGAGTTCGACCCCACCATGCTGCTCCACTTATCCAGAAAACTTGAGTTCATCATTGGTCAGAAAACTTGACTTCATCATTGGCCAGAACACTTGACTTCATCATTGGTCAGCGCAGGGCCCCCTTTGAATACTGTACTGCGTAGTCCCTTTTCGGCGTCACTTTTCGGCGTCACTTCGTCTCTTCTTCCCTTCTGTTCCCTTTGTCATCTTCTCGTGTTCCGCCTCATTCAACGTCGTCGCGACTGAAGTGGAAGCCCAACGTCGTCCCATCGTCACCACGCTCGCGATACGAAAAAAGAGTTGTCGCAGCGCTTCTATCAAATTGTTCATCCTTGTGCTCTCCTCGGATCTTGGCGCCTTCAATTGACCACCACCATACTCCCCGGCCTCGGTTTGCCGTGTCTCTCTTCGCCTCATGTCCTTGACAAGATGCCGACATTCGCATCTCAGATGGATACAATAGTCCGACGACTTGAGGTTGTGACCATGGGACGCAATACGAGCTCACGGTGCTGCGGTCTTGCGGCGGCTTGAATCATGGATCACCCGGTCAAGGCTTCGACATTACCGCCACTGCCACCATGGAAGAGACAGACAAAATATGAAAGAATGCAGCAGCCGCACCGAGATTTAAAAAAGATTCAACCCCGGTGGCCCAGATCCAGCCAGACCCCTTGCAAGTGCCAGAGCGTAATGGAACGTCTTGGGTTTCAGCTGAAACACGTCCAAGGTGCCTAAAGTAGGCTTCACCACTTCGCTACCACCATTAACACAACTCCATTATTGCCAGCCTCGCCCCCACAACCAATTACTACATCGGCCTTGTTCCAGCATAAAGAACAATACGCCACTCCTGGTGCATGACCCTGCACCGCTCCTGTTTGAGCTATTCTAGACGGTCACGATACTTGCCGAGTTCAAGTTGGGGGCTTGTTTCTCGATAGTAGCCAGCCTGTCCCTGGCAGCCGCCCCAACACCGGTTCGTTGGTAGTCAGTCTGATACACGCTCTCGCGGCTGGTTGGCCCGTCCTTGTTCAAAGAAACGGTTCTACTCTTCTTTTTCTCCTTCCTTCTCCTCTCTCCATCTTGAGCTGGCGTTTGGCAACTCTGCACATCGCTTGAACCCCCCAAGCATGTCATTGCCGCTATTCACAACTTCATCTTCATCTTCAACATAGTGACGCAAGGCCCGTCGATATGATACATTCTTTTTGATCACTCCTTTTTCCTGGATAGCGTGTTAATCTTCTCTTTTTTTGTTGTGATACCCCCATTGACTGGGCTTCCCTTCTTTCCGCCCGTTGATATTCGACATTTGCCCACTGACCATATCCACTCTTGTTCACCATGGCCATCAAAGGCGCCACCGAGGCCCTCGTCGCCGCCTTCACTTTGTCAGTTCATCCATGGTCAGTAGACAACTTGCCCATCACACAAGCTAACAGATCGACAGTGGTCTTGTATTATACGCCGCGACGGCGGCCCTCCCTCTCTACGCAAAAGGTCATGGCACCGCGATACTCCGGGACGGCCAGAGGCTGGTCCTCGTCGGTTTTCTGTCCACCGCTGCCCTGTGGGCACTCACCAGTTTTATTTCTATTCTTCTCCATGTCGACAACTCGTCCATGCCTTGCCAGGTCGGCATAATATTCGCTACCGTTTTCGACCAACTCGCCCGATTCTCCATTGAACAATACCTATACTGGGCGCAAAACATGGGGGAGAAGGTGTCCGCCGTGCACATAATCCCCCAACTCCTAATTCTCGGCCGACTTGTTGCTGGAGGCGTATTTGTTGGATTCACTCGACCTCAAACCGACTCTTTCTGCGTCGCTGCCTCGTCCCAACTTCCCATCTCGATTGTCGTCATCTCCTTGGACGCCGCCATTCTCCTTTGTCTCATCACACGCGCCTTGGTCCAGAACACTACTTTTCACACCGATTCTCAGGCGATTAGGCGAAAGGCGCTTTTCTGGGTTATGTTAGGTTTGGCTGTGTGGATTGCGACCAGCGTAACCCTGCACCTTGGTTTCCGTTATGTTGCCCTTGTGGCCAGGACTGCTGTGCCTGCCATCGGCCTAAACGTCCTAATTAGTAAGTGTCATTATTCTAGATAATGCTCTCACCGGCTAACCGGTTGCAGTCATCCTTACGCTCTGCTCCGGCACCCTCGGGTCGGCCAGCATAGTGCGCGTCAAGTCCCCCGAAGCGATGTCGCCTCGTCTTGTCGAAATCAGCCGCGATATCTCCTCATCCGAATCCTACTTTCCCGACGGTAATGCCAACTACCAAGACGTCAAGGACGCAGCCATCAGGTCCGAGACAACATTCATCAATCCGAGAGAGGCACCAGCGACAAACAACAGCCGACCTACCTATGGACTCCCGGCGATTTCGCTGCCCATTACTGGAGTGGCTGGCATGGGCGGAGTTCCTATCCAAGGGCAGCTGTTTCCACCTATCCGATCAAATACCGCCCCTACGCTTCCAAGGACCAGGTCGGTCAAGGCTGCTGTTGGTCTCCATAAGAAGGGGGCTTCGGCTGGCGGAAAGTTGCAGATCAGCAATCCCGTTCTCCAGGACACCGGCAAAAACCCACTTGATAAGATTCCTACTGTGGACTTGGAGGACGCCATGAGGGCAGAGCGGGAGCGAAGAGAGAAATTGCTCAGGCAAACGAGCCTCGCCAGGAGGGAGATGACTGCACAGGATCCTAGAGAGGGCGTAAACAGAGCTCTGAGCGTGAAGCGGAAGGAGGTTGGATCACCACTTTCGTCCGGCTCTTCCCTCCGTCCGGACAGCATGGGTACGAGTTCCTCAACACAATTGTCGCCAGAAACGGGTGGAATCAGACAAAGGTCACCGCGCCAGTCGCCAGAACTATCCGTGCTCTCAAGGCAATCCATATTCCGATCCGTGTCCCCTCCGAAGGATTTCGAACCACTACCGAATCTCGATATCCGTCCTTCGAGACAATTGCCTCCCTCTCCTCCCACGCCACCACAGGAGAGGCCCCTGACCGCGCTTCAAAGGCGACCTACTACTGGCTTGCCATCAAACCCCAGAGCTAGGGCATTGAAGCTGGAACAAGATGCACCTGGCCCAGAACGCCAGCAAACTGTTCTTTTCTTCAACAATGTCATCTTTGACGACCCGGCCCTCGTACACGAGACCCTGCAGGGCTCTAATAACAAGATTGTCGACAAGCCCCAATCTCCTGGAACGCCCGAATCGGTTGTACACCGACCTCGACCCATTCCCAGAAAGGTCGCTGATCCCAATCCTTTTGCCATTCCCGGCTCGGGACACAGGAGAAGCAAATCTAGTGGTTCACTGGTCAAGAAGTCCATGTACGTTTCGGGAGACATGCCGCCGCTTCCCGCCCTCCGAAGAGTGCGGGCGCAGGGACTCGGCCGCAGCCGAACAGGACGCGGAGCATGACGGTCACTGAAAAGATCGCACTCATGTACCCTGGTGAGGTGCCAAATAAGCTGCCAGCAGTTCCCGAAGTTCCTGTTGCCAGGTCCTACCTTCAATCTCCTTCCTCGGTTGACTCTGAGGAGGTTCAACAGCCCACCCAACCAACAAAAACCACAGTCAAGACTGAGAACGCTCCTACCTTTGTTGAAGAGCCGAGAAAGGCCCCCGAATACAAGTACGACACGGATATGGCGGCGAAGCGGGCATCATCCCCGGTCCTTCCTGTCAATTCGGTACAACGAGAGTCAATGTATAGCGAGGGCTCGCAATCGCCAGATGAGGCCGATACAACCTGGAACTCGGTCCGCTCTACGCAGGTCAGTGTCGGACTTGCTGTGGCCCGACCTCTTCCTCGGCCAGTGGTAAAGACCGTACGTGAGGATATCGACACAAAGACTCACCTTGACGTCGCCCCGGCCAGTCAACAACCTGCAAAGGAAACGAAGCGCCCCGAGTTCAATACTGCGGTCGATAACAAGCCTGCGCCCAAGCCAACTTCACCAGTACAAGCTCGCCGGATTGGTGACAAGTGCCCAGTGTTCTCTGATAGAAAGTCAAGAATTAGGATGCCGCCTCCTTCACCTCTGCCGTTGAACGGACCACGCAGAAACACGGTCATGGTACAGGCCGAGCTCCCCGCTCGAGTCTCCAGAACATGCACTGCGCCAGATCCAGGAGCAGCTCAAGAAGTTCGAAGAGCCGGTAACTAAGGCTTGCCCAAAGGATCACACTGAGCGCCTCGCCCTGCTTGAGGACTTGGAGAAGGAGATGGGTGTTCACGAGAACCACTGGCAGGAAATGAAGCATGACATGGGTCGTGATTCGTTGTGCAGCATGCAGACCAACTCTCCGGCAAACAGGAACTCACGATGTGATTCTACCGTTGGCAGCATTGTGATCGGTCACGGTCCAGCTGTTGGTGCCATGGCCGCCGAGCGCCGAGCTTCTCGCCAGAACATGTTGCGCAACAGCGGCAGCCACAATCCCAGCAGGCTCTCGAGGGATGCTGTCAAGTCACACATGAGCATCTGGCAGAAGCGTCTGACCGAGGCACATATCGACTACATGGAGACAGCAGCGGAAAGACTCCGTCATCCCAGCGCCAATTACTTGCCTATGCCAATGCCTAATGTCCAGCTTGGTAGCCCTACGCCTCCTGACTCTGATGCTTCTGGTGATGATGATTCAGTGCTGTCCGCCCAGCTGGATGCTGTGTCGAACTGGTTGTCCAAAAAGGCCGTCAAGACCGTGTCTCTGTGGGCTCCGGTCCCGGAGCAGACTATTGTCGCCGCAACCCTTTTGTGGACGCCTGTTCCCAAGGCTTCACCTACATCCATGATCGCGACACCAGAGGCTGAGACTTTCGTTCGTCCCTTGGCCCGTAAGGAACTGCCTCCTCTTGAGATCACCAGCACGCAGTTGTGGTCCAAGCCTACAGTGAATGTGAAGCAGACCCCTACGCTCTGGACGCCTCCTGCGTCTGTGAAGGTTGCGCAGACCAATGCACTGTGGGTGCATGTTCCAAAGACTGCAAGTGAATGTCCTACGCCTCTCCCCGAGGCCGATGCATTTGTTCGTGCCGCCACGAGAAAGGTTCTGGCTCCTCTTGAGATCACCAGCACTCACCTGTGGAAGAAGGCTGAACCGGAAAAGAAGCCTTCACTTTGGACACCGCCGCCCAAGGTTTCCGCCGTCACGACGAACCGTCTGTGGTCACCGCTTCCCAAGGTTCTCGAGGCCCTTTCACTCGTAGCTGATTTCCCAGAAATATTTACCCGTCCTGCGGCTAGAAAAGAGCTCGCTCCCCTCCAAATCTTCTCCAAGCATCTCTGGCGCAAACCATACACCAGCACCAAGGACACTACCGGACTTTGGCGACCTTCCTGGGCCTCCGTCGCCCCTCCTGCTGATTTCAAGCGTCTCTCTTTGCAAGAAATTCCCCAGCCCAAACGTCAAAAGGCGCCCCGACCGGTAACGCAACGTCCTCCTCGTCGCAACAAGCGTGTCAGCGCTCTCCCCGACATCCTCGAGAACCCCCAGCCTCTTCCCGACAAGCGCGGCACCCTTGGTATCTTCCAATTCCCCTGGGGCGAGAAGTCCGACACTGCAACCATGCCTCTCCCGCGTCCCTTCGGTCGCTCCATGCCCGGCACCATGAGCTCCGGCGTTCCCCTCCGGGCGTCGTACACTCCCGACTACTCCGGAACCTCCTTTTTCGACGACTATGACGATGAAGATCCCGAGTCTGACTACGAGCGCGAGGAAAGCGATGATGAAGACGAATTCGACGAGACGACTCTCTGGGAAATTGCCAGCCTTCTCAATTCGGATGCTGTCCCCTCGAGGAACAGCCTCTTCCTTTCGGCAACTCCTGCTTACAGCGTCGATGAGTACTACGGCGGCGGTGGCGGCGGCAGCAACCATCAAGAACAATCCGCATCTGCGTCCGCCACCGACATTGACGACGACGACGATAATGATGATGATGATACTTCCAGTGAGCATGAAATCCTGATCGGCCTTGGCGAGGATCCCCATGATGGCGAAGAACATGTTGCTGAACAATATGACCACCAAGGATTTTTGGTGCAGGACACTGCCGGCTCCACCCCTTCAACCCTGGACCAGGGAGCCCAGGCCGTCGTCGCCACCCGGGCGGCATTAGCCGATAACTCGGCATCCGCACCGGCTCCGCCCCGAGTGGAGACCAGCGAAAACCAAGCCGTGGAGACGCGCCTGCAAATCTCGACCGGCCTATGGAGCCGCGCTGAATCACCCGAGAATAAGACTTTGTCTTTACCTCGCGCGGCCGAAACGACAAAAGGTCTCTTTGTCCTGGGCTGCCGTGAGTCGACGTTGTCCGACAACCGCACCACCGAGCAGCAGCCGGCCGCCGTCAACATGCACCGCAAACCCCGGGCCACGGCTGCCGACTCATGGAGGCCATTGGATAAGCTCATGTCCAACAGCCTCTGGACGCCCGAAGAGGCTGCTGCCAAGGGCGTTAGCAGGCAGGTGTTCCAGCACTGGCTCACTCTTGGCCTAGCCGCTAAGGCTGAGACCGATAAGGCTTCTGCTTCTGCTTCAGCTGTTCGCCTGTCTCGTCCTCAGGCTACCCCCGCGGAGTGGGACGCCGCTCTCAAGGAGGCTCTGATTGCCAGCGGTTATCCCCTCAACATCAAGTGCCGCACTGAGACCGGCCGCATCACCGCCACCTCTGCCGACTGGGCTGCTGCCCTTGAGGAGGCCATCCAGGCTTCCATCATCAAGGCCATTGTCCCGGCCTTCAACTCGGCCATCCGTCACCCCGTCTTCGCCGGTTCATCCCTCATCACCACCTCTGAGTGGTTCCACCCTGCCGCCACAGGCTACACCTACGACGTCGCCTGCGTTCACCCCATCTTCTTCGGCTCTCTGGCCATCACCTGCCCCGAGGAGTCCGTCCACCCCGCCATGTCGGCCTACGCTCACAAGAAGCTTCGTCGTCATCGGCGTTCGGGATCGTCTGCTTCCAAGTCTCACTTCCGCTCTGCTAGCACCTCCTCCACCGCCTCGCGCAAGCACAGCCGCAGTCACTCCAGCAGCAGCGGCAAGAAGCGTCGTGAGTCCATCATTGCTCAGATCCACGCCATCGAGGCGGAGATGGGTCTCATCCCCGAGGATTCTGTCGTCGTGCCTGAGGTCCCCTCGCTCGATGAGATCGAGGCCTCTCGCAAGGCCAAGATCCAAGCCCAGATCGAGGCTCTCGAGCAAGAAAAGTCGTTCGCTGCCCAGATGGCCCGCGAGAGCTTCGTGACTAGGCGTCGCGCCAGCTCCAGCGTGTCTCGCGCCACCACCGCCAGCGGCACCACCAACTCGGAAAGCGACGGTCCCGCATCCATGGACTCTTTTCCCCTGAGCCTGAGCAGCCAACGTCCCTCCACAGCCACTAGCGTTGACTTGGAGCATGATGTTGATCTTGATCAGGAGGATAAGTCCATCGACATTCCCGAGGTCCCTGAGATCCCTGAGCTCACCGTCTCCTCTCCCGAACCCACCAACAACGGCCTCTGGACCGCCCCCTCCCCCCTTCCCCAGCCCATTCCCAGTCCCGTTCCCACGCTGTGGACACCTCCCGCCTCTCCCGCTTCTTCCTTCGAGTCTTACGAGGAAGCCCTCCCCTCTCCTAAGTTCCTCTGGCAACCTAAGCCCGGCAAACCCGAGATCATCGCCAAGACTGATGAAGATCGCGAGGCGCACGAGCGCAGGGCTTTGGGCCGCAAGGGTCTGTTGATGAAGCAGCGCAAGGCGGAGATCCTTGAACAAATCAAGGCGCTTGAGAGCGGTGATATTGAGGGTGTGAAGGAGAAGTTCAAGAAGCAGGGACTTTGGACGAAGAAGTCTGAGGTGGTCAAGACCGAGAAGGACTGGTCCGTCACGCACTCAAGTGGTGAGCTTTCACCTTAGTAGTCCTGTGATGGCTGTGAGGGACGTGTGTTTGTGATGATGGAATGAACTGCGCGGGCTGGCTTGGCTTGTTGATTTGGTGTTATTGTTGTTGTCGTTGTTTGGCAACCGACATCCACTTTTGTGGGGGATGGGTTCGGTGCCTGATGCGATTTTAATAGTGGTTATGGTATAAAAAGGAAAAAGCGAAAACTGGCAACAAGGGGAAAAGCAAGGGAAATATTTGGTAAAACAACAGGAAGGAAGGGAATAAGGTGTCTAGGGATTGGAATTTTTTTCTTTTCATGGTTCGACTTGGACCAAAAACGTTTTTTTTTTTTGAGAAGGAAAGGAAACGAGGTTGATGGTGATGAAGAGGAGGAGATACCTGAATGGTGGTTGTTTCAGTTGCACTTGAGCAGTTGATGTACGATACCCAGGTCACCTACCTACCTACCCTACCGTACGTACAGCTTCTTCGTTTAGCATAAGAAGCGTTTGAGATAGTAGTGAAAACGGAAGTGCTCCAAAATTCAACATAACATGTTGCTTGAGCTCGTGACATGTTCGTGACAACATGTCCTGTCATCTATCTGTCTGGTCAAGAAATGAACGACGGACAAAAGCCAACAGAAAAAGAGGTAGTAAACGGGAGCAAGCAAGCATCAACTTGAGAATCCGGTGAATGATAAAAAAAAAATTGAATAAAAAAAAAAATTGGAAGCAGACAGGCAACTCTTCTTATATTCCCGTCCTCCCCCAGACCGCTTGCTTCGGACCACATCGCATGCATGGTGATCATTTCGATTATTCCCATTCAGCCGCTGACGGGAAGCCGGTAATGCTTTTGAATCCACCTTGAGCGCTGTTGAGGCTCCACAAAAGAGCGAATTTAGCCTAAATTACCCGCCGGCCGCCGTGATGCTCAGTACAGCCTGTGCAGGTGCAGGTGCAGTGGTGCGCTTCAACAAACACCTCCACGAAAACAACGAGAACAACGAAAACGACGAAAAAGGCCAACAAGAAATGAAAAGAAGGCAAAAAAGTTTGTGAAATGAAGCGCGGAGAAATGTAGCACACGTCGGTACGGGGTTGGCGTTTGGACTTTGGAGGTTTGTTAACATAAAGCTACCTAGATAGCTATCATGACATACGAAAATCGGGGAGGGGACCTTGCTGGCGAAAAAAAAAAAAAAAATGTTACTGTAAAAGCACAGAAGCAAGCAACCAAGTGGAAGCATGTGGAGTTCTTCCATTCCTTCCATTCCAACGAGCAGAGCACGGACAATGACATGACATGAAATGACAACCTTGAACATGGCGGAAAGAGAGAAAAAAAAAAAAAGACAAAAAGAAAGACAAAAAAAAACAAAAAAAAACAATACAACAACACCAAGTATTCATTCATCTGGTCGTTACTCATATACTCACTCACTCACCGACCGACCCATCACCCAACTACCCATTACCCAACTACCCAACTATCTTACTAGTTTCTAGTTTCTAGTCTCTAGTTTCTAGTCTCTAGTTCCCAGTCTACCCACCTAGCCTTTACCTCTACCGGCTTATTTAAGTACCTCACCAATAGGAGTTGAGCTGAGTTGAAAGAGGACGGGAATCCTCCAAGTTTTTCCCGGTAGGTAGTAGGTAGGTATGGTCGTTCGGTATGTATGTATTGGTTTGTTTGTTTTTCTCGCCCCCTTTAAGACATTAATCTTAGGAAGAAAAGGCATGTTATGCGAACGAATTGGAACATGATGGGATGGGCTTGGATAGGATGGAATGGGATGGTGGGGTTAGAATTGGAACTGGAATTGAAATTGGAATTGGAATACTGCTGAGACTTGTGGAAGAACATGTAGTGTGGGAATATAAGTAGGGTAGGGACTTTAAGGAGTTGGTGAGTAAGAGGATGAGAGAGTGAGTGAGAGAGAGTGAGGAGAAGGATGGATGGACACTCGGTGATAGTTGCACTTGTGGAACGCTTTGCTAGTAAAATGAAGATGGGTGCCGCGGTGGTAGATATATTGTTAGTTAGGAAATCGGAACATCGGTATTCTTCGTCACGTTGTTTGGTTTTATATAAGGTTAGTACAGTTGGTTATGTATACACAGGGTACGGCACTGTAACTGTTCGCGACCCACTTCGATATCAACCTTTTCCTTGGTATCCCCCCAAACGTAAGACAGTGCACAGTATTGGATGGCGTCATCGTCAAGAGAGGTGTGGCAAAGCTGGAGACTGATGTGGCCGGAGAGCGACTTGTCGCGGCTCAGAGGGATGTATATCAACATTTTCGCTAACCGTTTTAGAGTTGGAGCCTAAAGAAGAAGAGTGTACGAGAATGATGGCGTCATGTTGTTGGGGAGAGAAACAACGACGACAACGCCCGGCTCGACGGCCCTAATGACCTGTGAGGGATTAAAGAGACAGATAAGTCTGGGAAGGTAGGTAAAGATCCTTTCCGTCGGGCAGCGACTTCAGACGGCCTTGTCAGTTAGGTCTCATTTATTCCCGACATGCATAAGCCACATGAATGGGGCATGTTTCCTATTTATGTTGTAATTAGATGATCAAAACGGAAAGTACCTGTATACATGCCACTGTACGAGGATCTCATCCGAAGCATGCCAAAGGAAATGTGTGGTCAAGGTAACCACTTACTGAGCAATGCAAGCCCACCTGGTATAACCTCCCGGACTCCGATATCAGACTTCCCGGCCCTGGATCTTTCTTTCTACATGGATTTCCTGGGAGCCAGCTTATTCGCCACAACAGTATCCCGAAACTTCAAGGCTCCCTTCAGCGCGATCAACTCCCCATGCGAACAAAAGACGAAATCATCATCTGATGTCTTGACCGGTCGAGTTTCGCTTACGCCCCACGATAAATAGTCCTTGGACACGTAGATATGCTGTGTGTACTCGATATTGGCGGTATCTGAGCTAGATGTTTGTAATAGAATAGTGGACAAGTTAATGCTGGACAACCACGAGTTTCTGTGGATGAACAGGAGGCTCTTGGCTCCTCTGCTGGTAACTATGCCACTGCTAGCAAAGCCCAGCGAATGACCGCAAATTTGTGAAAGAACGGCGCTGTTGATGGGAGCGAGAACAGATGCAACAACTTTGTGGTCGTTGTTGGGTGCTGAAAGCTCAATGGTATTGCTCGGTAGACGGTAGATGAACGTCGTCGACGAGATAACAAACTTCTGTACGTGTCGTACTTGGAGAATGAGAATCTAGGTTGAAGGCTCGATAATAATGGTATTGATTTCTCTCGCGACATTGCCTTGGTCCATGTTGTACTGCAGTTTGAGTTGCGAGTCTGAACCCGCAGCTAGCTTTGGAAATGACTCAATGTCAAAGCATTGAATTGAGCCATCGCAGAAAAGTGCAAAGCTGGGCCTCGTTGTGAACGGAAAGTGAAGCCATCGCCATATGCCTCTCTCATGGAGTTCAAAAGTTACCGAACCCACAAAACAACATCGATGGTCAGCGACGTGATATACAAGATCCGATTTATTTGAAGATATGAGAAGATGCGTTCCCGCTCGGTTAAAGAACAGTTGCTTGATCTGGGCATCGGTGCGGATCTCAGTGAGTGGCAGCAACTGAGATGTTGCCAGTATGGATGGAACCAGTTCATGAATTGTTACCAAGCCCGTGATGTCAGCCGAGGCAACGACCCTCATTGTTGTGTTACTGTTCACCGCAATTTTGGAGACAGTTGATCCCGTGGGATGGCGATATAGGCTCACGGGTGCCGTTCTTGCAGCAGCCTTCGTCCCAAAACCAACGACTTGTCCGTTGAACATACCCGCGTAAGCAAAGGGTAGTGAAGGATGTGTCTTGAGCACAGTGATTTCGGCATTCTTCCGGGCCTCATACTCGCCCTCGATAATGGCAAGCTGGATAGCGTCATCGCTTGTGCTGTGTCCTCTTCCATGGTCTTCCTCCCGAGTACGTCCGGTGACCAAATGCGCATACCAGAATCCGTGACGTCAACCACGCTTGAACCGTCTGAGGTGAAGTTGAGAAGGCGAAAAGATGGAAACGGAGAGAATACGTGATACACTACAGTCAATGACTCAAAGTCCCAGATGTTGATATGACCTTGAGAGTCTGTGGTGACTAGCGTTCGGCCATCTGGAGTACACGATGCTGAGAATAAGCCCACGTTATCAGGCATGTTGTAGCTGTTGTTGAGCGCTCCACTCCATGTATCGTCAAGTGAAAGTCCGGGATTCAAGTATATCACGAGAAGCATGCTGATGTTTGGGTTCGGGTTAAACAAAAGCGTCGCGGCACATCTGTTTTCTTCATCCCGAGCAAAGCCAATGAGTTCCTGGGATTGCACCTCCCAAAGACAGATTGTTCCTCCTCTATATCCCAGTGCTATCATCTCATCTTCTGGAGACACAGCAGCTACAAAAGGGGGGCGTGCTGCAAGCATGTTGTGTTCAGTCTCCGCGGTCTCGTGGTTCGTGTACTCAAATGTGCACTCATCCATCAGGACTCCGGTCGCTTTGTCCCATTTGAAGAGGTGGCCATGTTTGGAAACGGTGATTATATGGTCAGTTGACGAAGTCAAAGTCAAGCAACGGAATCGCAGCCGATGCTCCAGAGGGTGTTTCCGTCGAATTCTTGAAGTATGATGGCTTTCGTCGTGCAAAGAGCGATATTCCGATCGCTGACATGTACCAGGTCAGCCGGATTCTTGTGAGAAAGGATAACTTGCTTTTGGCAGCTCCGGTGATTGTAAAGGTGGACATCTCCCGATTCCATGCCGACAGCGATCAAGTTGTCCCCACAAGAGACAAATGCTGCAATATCATCTCCAAAACTTACGTAGGCAATACAGTCATCCTACGCTGTTGGGCGCTGTCCGACAACAGACAAGCCATCGGGCCGCTTGCCAAACTGCTGGAAAATAGCAGAGCCCGTTGGGCATAAAGGAGGCAGAAGGAAGTGGACCAAAGATGGGTTCCGAATTAGGGCCTCTCCAAACTGGGTGACTAGGCGACTCAAGTCCGTAGCCTAACCATCGATATTTTTGACCTGGCATTCAAGGGTGGAAGGTACTTCATCCTGCGGTCCAGGTACGCCTTAAGGTTTCTTGAAGCTCGGATCATACAATGGAGGTCGCCTTTCCGTGCCAGTATATCGATCCAGCTGAGCACATTGATTTTGAAGAACCGATCTATTGCCATCAGCAAAGCGTTCGAATTCGCCGATGCAGCGAATATGTGTTCAGTGAACTGTGTGACAGCATAGTCCAAGAATGGAGGGGATGGCGGCCGGGTCTGAGATAGAAATCGTGGGTTTCGAGGAGGTCGTAGGTCATTGCCTGTAAGCAGTTGGATGCAAGTTAAGGCAACGAGCTAGTGTGCCACAGCTGAAGAAACCTTGAATTCCTCGGCTGCTTCAGATAACAAAAACTCTCGGGCGGTGGGGTGGATGAGCTCGATCAGGTTGGAGTCTGGCTGTACTGAGACTAGCTGGCCGCACAAACCTTCGACGGCACTTTTGGCACTTGGAAGGACAGCGTTGATGTCCACTTTGAGTGCCTGTGAGAGTTCGGATACTGTGAGTTTGCGCGTACTGACCATAGCCTACATTAGAACCGCTTTTGCAATGTGTTTCTCCAGCGTATTCTCTGCCATCGCGTTGACAGTCCTTTCATACAAGGGTATCATTCCCTCGGGGATTCTTTCCAGGACTTTCATTATATTCTCACTGGAGTAGACATGCTTCAACCCGTCAATGACCAATCGAACCCATAGAAAACAAGCGCCGAATTTGTGCAGAATCTGTGTCGCAAGTTCTTCTCTCTCGTCAATGTTGTCAATTGGTAGAGTATCGATGTGGCTCTCGATGTACAGCTTTATATCATCAAGACTCGCCTCCTTGAGGATTTCTACGCACTCCACAGAGGCGCTCGACTCCAAGCTTCGGAGAATTCGTGGAATGTCATGCATGTGTCGGCTGGTAAGAAACAGTCGAAGCGGAAAGTTGGGCCTTTCACCTCTTAACATGGTGAAGAACTCGTTGCACTTGTTGCACTCGTCAATCGCGTCGATGACCCAGTATTGTGGTGTGAAGAGGCTGGCCTAGTGGTAAGGTCAATATGTCAAGATGCGGAAGACTTTCATTACGCAGAAGCAGAAGTACACGTACGAGAAGTATAAATTTCTTGAAGAGCTTCGTCCAGATGGTCCTCGAATCGTCCAAGTCGAAAGTGGAGCCTGCCTCAAACAGCTTGAAAAGGCTGTCTCTTATTGTGGGGTTGGAGAGGGCCATCTGATAGGCGATTGATCGCAACAGAACGCCCAGAGACCTGGACTTTTTGTTGCCGACGTGGAAAAAGTGGGAGGCCCATTCAAGCTTGAAGTTCTGTAGCTGTGACACTACGTGGGATGCAAGAACGCTTTTCCTTGTACCGGGATTGACATGGATCCAGAAGATGGCCAAACTCTTCTCGCTGGTTGACTGTTCAGCATATCCCTCGGCTTTATGACTATCTCTCCATTCTTGGAAGTCGTCTCAATTGTTGATCCACTGACATGATCCATCGGTTCTCATGAACTGCTCGTCTGGCTTGTCGTCGATGCCCAAAAAAGTTCTCAATAGCGAGGCATAGCTGGGTTCAAGGGGGATACCACACCCAAAGATATCGTGGAGCGAATCAAGGCCAACCAGAAAGCGTTCGGCGAAAATCAGAACACAGTGGTCTAGGCAGTGATGGTCGACAATCCACCCACGGGCAACCAAGTCAACTCAAAGATTGATGATGGCAGTAGACTGGAGGGGGTAATAGTAGCTTCAAAGAAGACTAGTGCAGATATAGCGACGAAGTTGGAAAGCGTGAGACTCGCCGAGTCGACTGGCTCTTGTTAGTTGGGTTACGGCTGCTGAATGTTAGCCATTACTATGATGATGGAAATATTCGTGGTCTGTATACCTATAAACTGGTCAGATGGAAAAGATTGTTGCTTACCTCCCTGGATGGGCTCGTAAATACGGGCGTCTGAGCTTCAAGTTGGAACAAAGAATCGAGAATTGCAGATTTCAGTTCGTTGGCCCTGTTTCTTTCAGGTTGTGCGTGGCAAAGTCTTTTTGGGCGGTCGGCAATGGAAAGGACGTTCTGTTTTAGGCTTTGCGGGCGGTTGGTTGTCCAGGGGGAAGTGCTCCTTCCCCTCTTCCCTTCGTATACTGAGGAAGATGCTCCTTGCACTAATTAAAACCCGAGACGATCTCGGCAACCGTCCACACCCGGGGCAATCGAGTTCCAATTTGACAGGTAACATGTCACCCGACGATTCGTGTCCTCTCAACCGTGACAGTTCCTCGTCCCTTCGCAATCATGATACACCTCGACACGAAGAGCCTCACCATCATGGCGAGAAGGAGTTGCCGACAGTGGCGGAGAGGACCACTCAAACAGATCACTCAGTCTTCACTCAATCCCAAAAGCGATGGATAATCCTCATCGCGGCAATGGAAGGCTGGTTCTCCACTGCCCAGCAGCTTCATCTACTTCCCCGCCATCCCCTTCCTTGCCCACGACCTGAACGTCAGCATCGAGATCAACTTCAGCGTCACCGCGTACCTGATCGCCTCGGGCGTCTTTCCCTCAATAAACGGTAGCGCAGCGGGTCGATATGGACGACGTCCGGTGTTCATCGCCACCCTTGCAATGTATGTAGCTGTTAACGTTGGACTGGCGCTCCAGAGGTCACTCGCGGCGCTTATTTCCCTGCGCATGCTCCAAAGCGCGGCGATCTCGGGGTCATTTGCGTTTGCGTATGGGGTTTTGGGGATTAAGTACGCCGGCGGATAGGGGTGGGTTTGTGGGGTTTTTGTCCATTTTGTAAGTCATTCGCGTGAGGCCTCGGATGTGAAAAGAACTGACCATTTTTGATGCTCATAGCTTGAACACACCACCGAGCGTGGCCCCTATGATCAGTGGTCTCCTTCTGATAAAGTGGAACTGGTCTTCAATCTTCTGGTTCCTCTCGATATTCTCATGCGCCGTCTTGCTAGCCGTCCTCTTTTTGCTTCCCGAGACTTGCCGAGCAATCGTAGGAAATGGCAGCACACGGCCGCCTCGTATCGTCAACCGAGCGATACTCCCAATTCTGCGTCCACCATGGAGCGAAGTTGTCACCACCACTGGCCTCGCAAGCCCAGATTCGTCAAAGGACAAAACCAGGAAACCGAAAGCAACAGCCAATCCCCTCACCGGCCTTTCCCTCCTCAAGCACCACGGCACATTGCTCTCCATAATCTGCTATGCAATCTACTACACCGTCTACTCCTGCCTACAAGCCTCGCTCTCCACCATCTTCGTCGAGAAGTACCACGTCACCGGCCTCGTTTCGGGACTGATCTACATCCCCTTTGGTGTATCTTGCGTCATCGCTTGTTCTCTGACCGACAAGTTGCTCGACCACGACTACCGGCGCACGGCAAAAGCGCTGGGAGTGACCGTTGACCAGAGGAGAGGTGATGATCTGGCGGAATTTCCGATTGAATATGCCAGACTGAGGACATGTAAGTGGATCACGGCGGTTTGTGGGCCGCTGATAGTCGGTTATGGGTGGGCGTTGCAAGGAAGGGCGAGTATGGCGGTGCCGTTGGTGTTGCAGTTTTTAATTGGGTTTACGAACCAGGTGAACTTTACCGTGAGTGTCCTGTTTCGGTTCCCCATATTTGTTAACCAAAAAGCTGCTGACGAACTTGTGACACAGTCGCTCAACGCCCTTCTGGTGGATTATCACTCCGATCAGTCATCGACAATACAAGCCGTCAATAACTTGTTTCGGTGCGAGCTGGCAGCTGGCGAACTCGCGATGTTGGATGTGATATTGAGGAAACTGGGGCCGGGGAGGACGTTTGTCATTTTTGCGGCGCTGCATATGGCGACGCTTCCGGGGTTGTGGGTGTTGGAGCGGTACGGATTGGGGTGGAGGAAGGCGGAACGGGAGAAGAAGAAAAACGAGGAGAAAGAACAGGGGTGAGAGGCGACAAAGAGGGGGTTGTGATGTTTGCTGCGGTTGGTGCGGCATGATAGGCCGTGTTGGTTATCGATGGTTAGGCGAGGCCTCTGGTTATGGGTTTGGTAACTCGCTTGGAATTTTGCCACCACTCTGAACCAACATCAACCCCTTTCTTGGTTGTTATACCAGGAGAGTCACCGAGATGGACCCAAAGCTGCTGGACCCATCTATTGTCGGGGCATTTCCCCGTGGTTGCAGAATCTTGACCATCACCAAACATGGAGAGACCAATGTAAGTGATTGATCAAAGACAACTTGAACCATGCTTGAGAACTGACCGAGCCACAGTGGTCAATCGGCTTCAAGATCACTGTCAGGCTCTTCATCGATCCTCCCAAAGCCCAACATGCTGAGTCATTCTTCGTCAAGATCACCTCTCGAGCTTCCTACCTTCCCATGGCCCAGGCTGAATATGAAGGCCAACTCGGCCTGTCACGAGTGATACCTCAACATACAGTCAAGCCCGTCGCGTGGGGCTCCTACCGACGCTTCGACCATTCGCAAAAGCTGAAGACTTTCACCTGGTTCCTAGCCCCTTTCCACACCCTCCGTCCAGCTACCCCCAGGGAACTTTCCTCTATGCTTCCTCTCATCATCAAGGCGATCCAACAGAATTCCGTCTCCCCGAGTGGAAAGTTTGGCTTCCACATCGCTCCTTTCTTCGGCCCTCCCCGGATGCAACATGTGACAAACTGGACTTCCAGCTGGGAGGAATTCTTCACTCGCGAATTCCGCTCTAACCTCGCTTACCTCCTCCATTCTCGAGCAAGAGAGCTCAAAGACAGCGAGCTGAACGACTTGGTCCGGCTAGCTGAGCAGTTCATAGTGAAGGTAATCCCGCGCTTGCTTAGACCCCTTCAAACCGGGGGACGAAACATCAAACCAGTTTTGTTGCATGGGGATCTGTGGCACGGAAATATGTCCATTGACACGGCCACCGGCCAAATGATCATCTTCGACCCTTACGCCTTCTATGGTCACCAGGAAATGAAATTACAATGCTGGGCTCATAATCGGTATCACGAAGTTCCAGGCGGTAGTGGACTGAAACTAGGAAAGATGATAAGGAGGTATGAGGAGGTGGTGAGGGCGGATGAGCCGGTTGATGACTTTGAAGACAGGGTAAGGCTTTCTGCGGCTAGGAACGAGATTGCTAGTGGTGGGATTGTGAGGAAGGGGGAGAGGGAGGAGGATTGGAGGGGAATTCTTGAAGGGTGAGTTCCGTTTCCGTTCTTCTCTTCGGATCATGCCGTGATGAGAACATTGGAAGATGCCTGCTGACTTCGCGTGAATCTAGTGTAAAAGAAGAGATGAAGAGGTTGCTGGGAAAGTATCCTGAGGGGATCGCGGGGTTTGAGATGGGGTTGACGCCGACGGCCGCTCGCGCGGAAACTCAAGTGGCGCGCAAGAGGAGGAGAGTGCGCGCTACTCTCTAAGCGTGAACTGATTGAAAGTGGCTTATACAAGTTTGGGCTGTTCACCTGGTCATCGAAGTCGATTGAAAACTCGAGGATGCAAACAGGAACGGAGATGTCGTCGTCGTCTTCGGAAGCATGAGCGTGGTGGTTGTCCCGAGGTGGACGCTCACCGCGGTGAACCGCTGTGCGTTTGCAGCCAGTAGCATTTGCATCTGGGTCCGTGCACAGACCACCACCGTCAAGCGCACAGACACACCAACGATGCTAACGCGCGTGCACGTGACCTATTCGCTCCACTCCGCACCTCTCGTCCGTTCGTTCACGTTGTTCATCATCAATCAATCAATTGCACGCCCATCAAGCCCATCGCATCAACACCCATCAATGCCATCAATCGCTCTCTGACGATGGCAAATTCCGGGCCGCATACGCCCTTATCACCTACTCAACTTTTCGACTTCTGCGACGCCACCAACGACGATGGAGAACTATCACCAACCTGCCCCCCTCCGGCCTGGACCGGGGTCCCTCCACTTGCTCAATTGCCCGAGTACCGTGGCGACGACAACAAGCACCGCGACGGCGGTCATGCTGCGTCAACACAAATGCCTTCGTCCCTATTGTGAGTTTATCCGTTAGTCCACCGATTCGTTTGGCTTTAAAATCCGTATCATCTCCCCTCCAGCACCACGCAGAGAAGCTAACCCTCTTGCAGCAGTTGATCCCTCGTGATAGTTGGCGAGACGTTCACAACCGGCACACACAGTCTTCCTATGTATCACATCGACACACAATAATACCCATTCCCTTCCACTCCATCCCTTACATCCCCGGCCATTCTCTCCCATCCCCTGTTTTCGTCTCCCGCTCTCTTTCCCCCATCTTCCCTTCCATCTATCACCTCTCCTCCCCCTCCGTAACACCGCTCAGTGAGCAACCACTTCTCCCCGTCCTAGCAATGCGATGTGCTCAAAGTACACCTCCCGCATCGGTCAAGAGCCGTCATAAAATGCCAACTCCTACCCACTGCAGGTACGCCTGCTGGAAGGACTGGGGTTCTTGATTTGTGTAGGGAGGTAGTCCTGAGAGATATGTCGTCGCGCTCTTCCTTTGTCACTTCCCCTTCCCCTGTCAACACGATGTGCTCAAAGTACGCCTTCCACGCCGGTCAAGAGTCGTTATAAAAAGCCAACTCCTACCCATCAGGTACGCCTGATGGAAGGACTGGGGCCTTTGGCTTGTGTGGAAGTTTGTCCTGAGAGCTATGTCGTGGCGCGAGGGGCCTGCGAGACGGTCGCCGGACTGGGCCTGGCTGATTGTCCAGCAGAGTACACGAACACCTGTTCCTGTGGGCAATGAACTCGAAGTCTGTGACCTCACCCGGTACCTACCGGGTCGTTAGTAAGACGTCCAACTCCTACCCGTCAGGTACGCCTGGTGGAAGGACTGGGACCCTTAGTTTGTGCGGGAGCAGTGCTGAGAGCGATATTGCTACGCAAGGACGGTGGGATGATTACTGGAGCTAGTAGGCCCAGTTACACAGGCACTGCGTTTTCGCGAACAATGAACTTGAAGCACATCCCACACGGTTCAAGAATTGCGTGAGGACGGCAAGCCTATCCCTCCCGGTTGCCCCCCCCCCAATTCGATATCTGCATTGCCTGCATCATGATGGCGAAGTATACTAAGAAGCTTGTAGTTCCTACGAGCGGCCTGAGAACCGTGACGTGAACGATACCAAGTTGATTGAAAGGCTTAATGGGCATGACGACGGAGATGTATCAACCGTTTCTACCTCAAGCGACAAAGAAAGACACTGCAAGATCGATCTGCGCCATTGCAAAGGGGTGGTAACTTGGGAGGATGTCAACCATCAGGACCAGCATACATCAGACCTGTACATCGACCTCTACGTGGACACCGCAAAGCAGCAAGCCATCTTCGCCTTACGTGGATTCTTCTTCTTCAAGAGCGGCGGTCCCAAAGCGCATCTCTCGTTACTCATTTATCCGGAGAAAATTCAGTCCATTAAGTTCGCTCACAACCGCCCGCCCGTCTCTCCAATAAACGATGTTCCTGGTGACAGCTTTGTTTCGTTGCGTTTCGCGATGACACAGCCGCCCAGCCTGATGGTGCCAAAGGATCGGCTTCTTGAACCGAAACGCCAATACCAAGCCGTCGCTGATACTATAGCATCTATCGGCTCGGTCAAGCAGTTTACGATCTACTTGAGTGACGTCTCACCGGACGTTCAGCAAGAACTAACTTTGATACCCTCCGTCTTCTTGTCTACTTATCCATTTGGCCGCTTGCAAGCGGATGACAAGTGGGCGGCGCCTAACGACCTCTATGACTATACATTTTCCCAAGTCATCGACTTGAGCCAGACTGCTTTCGACTCTAAGTCTGGTTCGAAGAAGCTGGAAGAATCGGAAGGATTGGCTGTCGACGAAGACGCCGTTGCCCCACCATATTCGCCAGGTGACTCTCAGCGTACAGTTCAAAGCATCGGCCCTTCGAGTAGGAAGCGACAGGCTAGCGAACCGTTGATTCCTTACACAACCGAGAAGCACAGTGATGCGGGCTCCAGCATACTGGGATACGAAACACTCAGAAATGGGTCGCGGCCACCGGACACCAAGACTGTTGGTCTCGCAAGTCCTGTACACCTCTCAACTCCATCCGGTATGTGACCCCAATCCTCGTTCACATCTTATGCCTCCTAACAGATGCGCTGTTGTAGACCACAAACGCCAACGCACCACTGAGCTGCATTCTCCGATGACCAACGCCGATATCGTTTCTGCATTGCGCCGGGTCTTCGCCTACAACGCCTCCCTCTCGAACCGCATTGCACAACTTGAATCTCGCCTCGAGACCTGCTCCTCCCGTCTTGAGTCGTTAGCAACTGAGCTCGTTGCCGCGGCTGACCGCACCCCATGCCGCTACGACACGGAAGAAGCGGAGCATGTCTTCGGTCAGATCGATCACCGCATCGAAGACGGCATCCACGACGTACGTCACGAGCTCGAAGAGACGTTCAAGGTCGAGGCCGAGGAGCGGGTCGCCGAGGAAGTCAAACTGCAACACGAGGAACTCCGGGAGAAGTTGGAAGTGGACTGGACTGAGGACGTGAGACGTACTATTGTTCAGGAGATCGCCTCGGAGGTCGAAGAGAAGACGACGAAAGAGGTGTTGAAGGGGATTGCTGAGGCGCTGAGCGCTTACCATGCTAGCCAAGCAAATCAAGATGGTAGCTTGAGGCTTGGTAGCAGTTACACGCCATCCAAAGCATCTGCCGCGACCCTGCCTGGTGAGACGGCCCTGCGCGAGGCGGTGGAAGATATCCAGAGCAAGTACAAGGATCTGTTGACGGGAGAGGAAATGATTGGGGTGCTGGATTTTTTGGAGGAAAGTCCGCTGACTGTGGTCAAGTATAATGCCTGTGGGGAGAATACGAGAAGGGCGTATGTAATGAAGTGGAAGGCGGAAGTCTCGGGAGGGGTTCTGTCCAGACGGACGTGGTATAGGTAATAATGAATGTCGTGGAGATGTTGGAGGTATCGCCCGGCATAGGGGGTTCTCAGCGTACACGATGGCGAGTTATGACACCAATTTGAGTTCTGGATATCTACTCTCAAATTCCAGTGCCGGGCGCTCTTCGTCCCTTTTACAACCGCAATTTTTTTTTAAATTTTTTTTCAAAACCCGGGCGCTTAGTGACGTTCATTGCCTGTGATCCATCCCCTTCCCAAAACGGACCTCATTCTGCCTTGCTTTGAAAGCTTGCGCTGCCAATGCTAGATAAAGAATGGAACTAGGATAGATAAGAATGCGAATGAGGAAAGCATGATTGAGAGGGAGCAAAAAGAACAAAAAAAAAGAAAAGAAAAGAACAAAAAAAGAGATGATCCGCACCAGAGTCGAACCGGTAACTTCCCTCGTACTGAAAGAAGGCCCCGTAAAGACACGACTAGCAGGCGGTTAGGTTGTGTTTGCCCATTACACCAACGGACCATCTGGTAAGGAAGGCACGGATTGTTTGCTTATGTACCATCGCCAATCTCGAAAGTTGAGATGGCAGGTCTGCCTGGTTGGGGTTGGCCGGGACTGGATGCTGTATCATGTTGCCGGCATCGACATCGGTCGAGGATGGATGAAAGAGGGGAGGGGGTAAAGGAATGGGATGGGCCGGGAGGAGTCAGCGTTTGAATACGATCTTGTGTATTTCAAAATCACACATAAGAAATAACGGTCATTACTAAATGAAGAACATAGACTCGCATCGCTGCCTGCAAGTGTTTAACGCAAAGAAAGCCTGCAATATATGAAAGACCTGACTGGTGGTTGGTGTTGGACGAATCTAATGTGAGAGGGTTATCGAGGAGTGTAAGTCCACGCCAAGACAAATGATCCGACAGTCCGCTAAAAGGCCGCTAAAATACAGCGATCTACAGGGCATATTTGATAAGAGGTCCCGTACCGTTTCCAGGCAGTCACTCACCTGACCCCGCGTCAGCTGAACGCGTCATCGAAGCTTCCATCTCCGTCCGCCGCGGTAAACGCGACCTTCCAACCAAACAACTTCCATTTTGCAACACAAGACACTCGTCATTGAGCACGGCAGCTCACCACCTCCGGCCTCAACATTCAGCTTGCGATGAGCACAACCGCGAAAGACGGCTAGGATCCAGATTCATCGAGGCGAGCAGTGCCGTTGCGCAACGACTCGCATTCCACTCAACGACAACATGCCATGACCGACTCCAGGGCTGCGGCAGGGACACCCGCACAGGGTCAGCCAGCTCCAGCTCCAGCTCCAGCTCCAGCTCCAGCTACAGCTACGGCTCCGGAGCTCTACCCCCAGTACTGCTTCCACCTCTCGCCAACCATCAACAAGTGGTGTCATCTCCGAGCAGCCGATATCGTTGCCCTGTCGAGTCATCCGGGGTTTCAAGGTACGTCCATCCATATATCCATATCCCCCGGCATGTATTCTGCGAACGAAGGCTAACTGATGTGTGTGATGTCCAGGCCAAGACCTCTACTTCCACCTCAACCACCCCATCAAATGGGTCCGCGTCTGCGGCATCGTCGTCGCCATCGACGTCTACGGTGATCCCGCCTCGCGCAGGGGGCAGGTGCAAGTTGTTACTATCGATGATAGTAGTGGGCAGACGGTGGAGTGTGTGATTCCGCTTCCTCCTCCTCCTGCTGCGGCTGCTGCTGCTGCTGCTGCTGCTGCTCCCGTTGTCCGTCATGTCGGTCAACAAGGTCAACAGCAATATCGAGAACCACAGCCACAACAACCCGCCCGATCATTACCCCTCATCGACTCAGAAATTGACATCGGCCATACCCTAGATATCAAAGGTTCCCTGCGCACTTTTCGGGATCAGCGCCAGATCAAAGTCGAGAAAATTGTGCACCTGAAAACAACAGAGCAGGAAGTCGCCTTTTGGGAAAGAGTGGTGCAATTGCGACGAGAAGTTTTGGATAAGCCGTGGAAGCTGGAGGAGAAGGTGGTAAGGAGGCTGAGGAGGGAGGCGATGGGGGTTGATTCTGAGAGGGATTTGAAGAAGAGGGAGAGGGAGAAACAGAAGGAGGAAATGAGGAGGGAGAGGAAACGGAGGAGGAGGTTGGAGGAGGAGACAAAGAGGTTGTGTGAGGAGAGGAAGGCGGAAGAGATGGAGATGGAGATGGAGGGGGAGGCGAAGAGGATGAGGAGGTTGGAGGAGGAGCGGAAAAGAAGATTGGAAGAGGAGAGGAAGGTGGTGGCCGCTACTCCTGACTCTTTGGCAAAGACACAAGCACAACTGGTGATTCCGACGAGGACCAAGAGGAACATCACGGGTTTGGAAAGAAAGACCGTGTCAAGAGCGCCACCGATACCCCCGAGACCCAAGGAGCCTACGGGCCTGGAAAGAAAGACCAGGTCAGTCAGCAATGACAGGGTGATTCCTGTAACTGGCAAGTACGCGGCTCTTGGGTTGTGACGAATGGGATATTGAAAGGAAGGAAGGAACGGAGCAAGGGTCGAATGTAATTGTAATGTTACGAACGGCATCATTAATTACTGTGGAAAGATTCAATTCGGCTCGCTTCTCTCATCGGGGTCATCCACATTCCTCGTCCTTCCTAGACCGTTTCCTTTCACCTCCAATTTGCTTCTCTTTGCCATAGTCTTCTACACTTCATCATTTTCGAGTCGCTTCTTTTTGTCAAGCACATTATCTGTATTCACATTTGATAAATCAGTTCTGCTTACCTACTTGTGCGAAGAGAGACTTTGGGTACCATGAATAATGAAACTTCTTGCTTAGTGGTAACGATAAGGGCTGGAAGACAGGCAGGGAATATGACTGTCACCGTACGGTACTTAAGGTCGGTGTTTGGGAGCTACATGTCACCAAACAACCGTGGGGTGTGTGACGCAGCTGGCGAAAGGGTCGCTACCTTACCTTCGTCTGACTTTGGTCCCTCCGTAGTAGCAGCGGCAAGTCCGAACCCAGCCCAGCCTTGATCGCTTCGAACAACTTTTTTTTTTGGTCACTTTTTGCCCCCTTTTTTTGAAGTTATTGTGTAACTTTCTTTTGTAGATGTACCCTTTATAATCAAAACAGCGAGTTTAACCAGTGTATATGCGCATACACTGGGTGATCATTCTAGAACCACAACTACCGGATGGGAAGTTGAGATGAACACCAACTAATTGAGACAGTTTCCTGGTGTACAGGAAAGATCCTTCTTCTCATTGTCAAATTCATGGACACAGGTATGTAGGGATTTGTCAAGCAAAAAGACAGGTACCTACCTACCGAGATCATAAGGTACACTATGGCTACCTATGGCTACCTATGGCTACCTTACCTATGGTTTTGGAATCTAGACCTGAGGCCCTGAGGGGGAACGCGTTCGTGTCGTTCGTTCAGCAAGCAGTATATAATTTCCATTGGGAGTTTGAAAGTTTCCATTCCTTCTCCCTCTCAGAGGTTAGGATTCAGGTTCTTTTGATCAATTTCCTTCCTTGTGCTCTCATCTCTTTTCTTTTCTCTCCACTAGCCAACTGACCTTATGCCTACCTAAAGTGCTCGTATCCCTCCCTTCCTCCCCCCCCTTTAGAGTTTAGACAAAGTAGTACCCATCTATCTCCTTGAAACTTTCTAAATACAACTCTTCAATCTCATGTCTTAGATCAGGTAGGTAGTTGTTACCACTTTAGGGGTCACGGGGTGGTCCTTACCAGCCTTGTTTTTATTTTTGTTTTCACAATGGTAGGTAGATATAGGCAGGCGGTGGCTACGATGTGCTTGGGACTGATAGTGCTGCCTCTGGTGTGCGTGTCAGGCGTTGTACATCTTTTGTAGCGGCTCTTGTTGACCTCCAATCCTCCCGCCAAAGAATACAGTTACAGGTCTGCATAATTGGCGAAGAAGGCCCAGAAGTTATCAAGCACCGTGGAGCAAGGTTGGTCGGTCTTGCACCACCCAGAACTACCTCTAGATACTCACAAACTGGCGCTCAAGAAGAGGACAGAATTTGTAGGATTGGAGCTCGTTTACCACTTTCTCGAATTTCTTCAGTAAGTAGACACTCAAAGTTCTCATGTGCATAAATATAATCTGATTTGTATATCGAAAATATTAGTCAATGACAATACCGCCATCAATGATTCTCAATTCTTATCCTCTATCATGTGCCTTTATCCAAGCCCTCCATGGTCTGGTTGCCCGACACAGTGGGCTGGGGTATATCAATATCCGTCTAATTCTAAATCCAATGTTATCCAGTACTGTGTTTTCCGAGGGCGCTTTCCTTTCTAAACCCCAATTTCAGGTCCATTGATTAGTGTGTGTGTGTGTGTGTTTGCGGTATCATCTATCATTCCTCGTTCCATCATCGATTCATAACGCCATAATGTAAGCCCAAATAAAAACTCCGGTCTAATGCTATTCAAAAAGGTTGTTCAAAAGAGTGAATAAGAAGTGAAAGTAAGCCGAACAAAGCTGACAGAAGCTGAGGAGGTATCGACCTCAATGATATGCTATTCTGTTGATGCAGACTCAAAGTCCACCAAAGCTGTCTACTCGTTAGCATCATCCCATCAAACAAACACAAAGCAAAGGAAGAACAACTTACCAGCACACCAAGTCAAATACCAGGTCAGACTCGCGCCACCATCCAGATTCTCAGCGCTGAATCCGCCTCTCTTGGCCTTTGGCACGGAAGCACGAACAGAAGGGACTTTCATCTTGCCCTTTTCCAACGCCCTCCTTATTGTCCTCCTTGCCATCTTGGACGTCATGGCACTGACTGTGCCGTTCGTTGTTCCATTGCCACTGTCTGGTACCCCAGGAACGGGAATGGTAGGCTCGGAGGTTGACGTGGGAGTGGCAGTAGCAGTAGTCGTGGGAGTAAGAGTGGTCAGGCCAGGAGTACTGACGGTACTTGTCGGCAGAGATGTTGTCGACGTTGTTGTGGGAAGGGGAGTTCCAGTCGGCTCAACTGTTCCCGGGGCGGTACCATTTCCAGTCCCGGTACCATTTCCAGGGGCAGGAACAGGGTCAGCAGGTTGACTGCCACCATCACCCACACCACCGCTCGGTACGCCCGCACCTGCAAATATCTCCCACGCGCCCTTGGGATCAATGGTCGCGTAATTGCCGTACAGAACACCCTTCCATCCTCCCTCTGCCTGATCAGCGCCTCCACCCGCAAAGTACTGCTCCCACTCCTCCTTGACAAACTCCTTGTCGCGGATGAACATGGTATGCGGCAACAAGGGCAGCATGTGGATACCTTGGATGTACTCCTTCTTGTTTCCAAAGAAGGTGACATGGTCGACCTTGTTCTCAAAAAGGATGCCGGCGACCTTGTTGGGCGTGAACTCCTTTGGCTGGATCTGCGAGCCGGGGTTGGACGAGGAGTAGAGGTAGTACGAGTTGAGTGAGCGACGGAGGAGGGATAACTGGAGAGCAGAACGCTGGTAGAGTGCTTGGTTGTTGGTGGCTTGGGCCCACATCATCAGGGCGTAGACGTGCATGGAGTCTTCCGAGGAGGATTCCTGGTCTTTGCCGTCGCTGGATTCGTAGAGGCCGTGAGCCCAGGAGTGGCCATGGTACCAGTCAAAGGTGCGGAAAGCGGGGAAGTGAGGGTCGAGAGAGGCGGAGGGGTTGGCCACGTCACGAACGAGGGCGTTGACGTATTGAGCGTTGGAGGAGGCCCATTCGGGGTCGAGGTGGGCGAGAACGGCACCAGTGTAGATGAAGTAGCCATAGTGGAAGTGGTGATCGTTGTAGTAGGTGTTGCCGAAGTCGGAGCCGGAGTCGCCGGTGGTGTAGGAGGCCGAGGAGACGATGCCGCCCCATCCTTCTGTTGCTTTGTTAGTGATTGTGAACAAACAGAGGATTCAAGAAAGAACTTACGGTCATAAACCAAGGGATACTTCTGCTGATTCTCCGCATACCGCGCAAAAGCAACCTTCAATTGCTCCAACCCCTTCTTCCCCAGATCGGTATCACCAAGGACATCGTTGACAGCCACCAGGATGGCCGCAAACTTGGCAAGAGCTTTGCCGCCATAGTACATACTCGGCTGATCCGTCTGATTGAGCATGCCTTGACCTTGCAACGTACCGAGAAGTTCCTGTTGTGCAACAGTCTTGATGTACTCCTTCGCCGAGTCGCTGATGGTCTTGACGGAGCCTGCTTCAGGGGTCCACGGGACGAAGCCCATGCTCATCGGCTTGCTGACATCTTCCTCCATGGTCCACTCGTCGCCAACCACAGCGACAGCGGCGCCCTTGGTGGTAGTGTCGAGCTTGACCGAGGAGGCCATCTTGGCGGCTGTCTCGGAGCTGAAGGATGCCTGATGGTGAGGCAAAGCGAACATGACGAGACTAGAATTGGACGCCAATCCCTCCTTCTGGAAGTGGAAGGTATATCGACCTTTTTGCCCATCGACTGACCCGGAGAGTTCAACACCAGTGGCATATGTGCCACAAGCAGCATCGAATAGCTTCTCCGCGTCCGCCACGCCCTCAGTGCCATTACCTCCGCCAGGAAGTTTGGCAAGCTGCAGCATACCAGTAAAGCTCCCCTTGGCCACAGCGGTGTTTTTACCCTGGACGTCCAAATCCAGTCCGCCCAACTCGCCCCTCTTGATGGCGCTCACATCGCCACCAGTAGCATAAAGCAACCAAGTCGCTCCGTCGTTCAGCACCAACCGATACTTGACCACGCCCGGTTTCATCACGCCCATGGCCTTGGTCACCATAGACCATCCCATACCGGACTTGATCACCGGCGTGCCCTGCTTATACAGCGCAGTCACCATGCCCATGCCCTGCACAACAGGCGCCTCCAGCCTGACATCTCCTCCCGAGCTCAACTGCATACGAACGCTGCGCTCCTTGACATCCTGAGTCGTGAGCTCAACACCGCCTGTCGAGTTGCCCTTTTCCAGTTCTTCCTCAGAAAGAACCACATCGGCTCGTCCCACAGGACTCCCGAACCAACGTACGGCCCCATTCCCGTTAGGATCCTGGTCGCCAAAGAAGCGCTGACTGGCATCAGCATGTGAGACAGCCAGGCCCCAAGCGCCGGAATCGCCTTGACCCTTGGGCCACTGCAGGGAGTAAGGATGTGTCCAGACGGTGGAGGATTGTGAGCCAAGGAAGAAGTTGGCGTGAAACTTGTTGGTGGGAATCGCACCCCCTTGAGATTGCTTGATGCCCTTGCGAGGGACGGGGTGGTCAGGCTGCGTTTGAAGGCAGGCAGGGAGGGAGAGGTCTGAGGTGATAGGTGTGGAGAAGAGGTCGCCGCCAGTAGCACTGCCAGCACCACCAGATGGGGGATAATCGTCGGAAGGCTTCGAGTTGGAATTGGAGTTGCGCTTATTTTGAGGTGGTTGTTGGTTGTATGCCTTAGGTGGGTGTGACGATTGGGAAGAGGCAGGAGAAGGCTTGCTGCCAGTGCCCCTGTAAGGCGCGAAGGGGTTTGAAGGTGATGGGGCCACCATAGGTGTAGTGACGGCCATTTTCGGACTCGTCTTGCTGATAGGCCTTGGTGCCGTCTTGTACAGCTCGTCGGGGTTGATGTCGCTGATGACGGTATCTCTAGCTGAGAGGTTGCCGGCGTCGTCTGATGTTGTCGCCGCTCGGACGTTGGTACTTGCGCCCGCGTCCGCACCCGAACTTTCTGGAGTCGACTCTTTTTGGGTTAACGATCCTCGCCAGTCTGGTGCAAGAGGATAGTAATGTCGTTTGGCACGTATTGATTCTGGTATTATCGCCAAGCTGACTGCTTGTTGGATCTGTAGCAATGTCGTTAGCCACAGCAACAAGAGCCATGCTGTCGGCGTGCTGTGCCGTTGTCTCTCGGTGTTGATGATTCCAATCATATTGGATATCGTTCAACAGGTAAATATGTTCAAAGAGAGAAAAGAGAAGAAGAAGAAGAGTATATCATGACACTTGACCGCGAAGGGAGAGAAGGGGAAGCTCTGTAAGAAGGACATTGTGTTGTTTATGTAGGTATGTCGGACTCGGGGTTCGAGTCAGTCAACATGTTCCCACGATTGACTTTCCCTTTGCCCTCATCGTGGCGGTTTCTGTCGCTTTCAGATGTGTGCCTCGTCCCCCTCCTTCACGCTGAAGCCCTACAGTTCTCATTCTGTCTCTCCGGTCATCTGTAAACCACATTGTCGACCCAAGCAGGACAGAATCCCCTTTCGATGCGTACCACAACATCTCCAACTCCAACACTCCCAATACAGAGTAAACATCCAATTGTGCCATGTATCGTGTTGGAATGTGATCATTGTCTTGATCTGTCTCAACCACTCGGTATAACACTACCCCGACCCGACCCGTAGTCTCAGAACCACCATACAAGGAATGTTCACTCAGTTCACTCACTTCACTCACATAGGTATGGTAGGTAGCTTCACCAAGGCTCGCGAGCCTTCTGCTCTTCTCTTCTCGCAGTCAGTCCAGAACCCCAATTGCCACGGGGCACTATCGGTTCTCGATGTTGGGTGAGAAGTGAGGTGGCGCTCCAGTGAAAAGCTTCCAGAAGGCTTCGATCACCAAAAGTTGGAAACAGAGGATATAAACGTGCGGTGGCGGTTTGTTTCGAGTTTTAACCCTATTTGGAAAGAGAGAAACAAAAGAGAAGGATGTCGAATCGTAGAAAGAAGAGGAATGTTTCGAAACAAAAAGTGGGTTTTGGTAAGCAATGTTAGGTACCGTGCGCTCGGGCTCAGGGGTCTTCGGTGAGAAGTCGAGGATATTAGGTGTAGGTAAAGGGTCGGTGCGTTTGACCGGCGATTGAAGTCTAGATCTTTCGTGGAGAGTAGGTGAACTTCGGCTTGGTGAACAGACCGCGTGACCGACCGTGTGGAAAATGTTTCGGTTCGTTTCGTTTCAAACTCCGGGTCCGCGTAGATGATAAACAATATTCGAAAGAGATATCTCTGGTAGGAAGAGAAGAAAGAAAAGGGTCCAAGGAAGAGAAGAGAGGATTGTGTGTAGTGTCAAGCAAGGATGCAAGCTTCGAAAATTGACTCGAGTGCGTTGGGAGATCAGAATTTGGAGGAAAACATCACTCTTGCCCACAGGCAACATTCAACCTCCATCCTTCCTCCCGGAGCTCCCATAGTTTCCATGCTTGAAGCTCCCCCAAAGAGCTAAAGAAGGCACCTCATGGTAAGGCAGGCACAGCTCGTCCCCTTGACCCGCTTGGATCATCAAGACTCCGGTTGGGACACCGCATAGACATCCCCATTCCATGCTTGTGCTCGTCTTGGCGCTTGGGGACAAAAGAAAATGTTTGAAGTAAACTTCGGAAGAAGATGAAAGAAAGATCATGGTCGCGGGGCATGGAATTGACCAAGCTCTTATCTTATCGGGAATCGCACGCCAGCGGCCGGCGGGTGACCGCACTAACTGATATTGGCACTATTTTGTTAAGCATCCCGCGCATTATCACCTTATCTCCAGCCACACACTAACAGCGTGTTAGCATGCTGAGATATATGCATTTAAAACGCACGTGTGATGCACTAACACTCTATCAGCATGCAGCTCGACACTCCCGATTCCATCGAGACATATTCACATTTCACGATGGATTCCCGTCTCGACGATGGGCATTGATTTCGAACACTTTTCACGTGTAAGTCGACGGATAATAATAGCGCAAACTTCATCCGAGGGTTTATCGTTGAGTGAGCCTTAGCTCACTGTCACCCAAGGGGAAGATGCCGAATTCGATGAGTGTCTCCATGCGCGTTTCACTCTCTTTCCAGCCTCTGCTTATTGAATGATAGGTACATGGTGCATGATGAACCGTTTACTCACAATGATCTTTCTAGATGAAGCATCGATGCCGTTGATATCTTTTCCTCGCCCGGGAATCAGAAATGCAAAACCAGGTAGCTACCCACATACCGAACGCAAGCAGGACGCCATCATGTCAATAGCAAAGCTGGGGCTGAACAGGCTGCCATGACAATTGGCTAGGCCGTCGTGGTGATCTTGCCATTCGCCGACTTTATTGTGAATCAGCACATTCGAATTCTGCCCAACTAACACAACTAACCGGCCTCCATCCATCTTTTCTGCGGTGGCACAAAATGGCCAGTTCGCAGCCTTACCCACCCCGTGGGCCGATGGACAACTCTTCCTTCCCAGGACATCATTCCTGATATCTCCACTTGTCTGAACGCTGTCCTAGGCATTTCAAAACACCTTCACCTTCTTTCTGGTCGAGCATACTTACCACTCCAATTCTTCGAACTCTTCGACGGACAAAGACAAAAAAAAAACATGCAACGATACACCTACGAGCCCCTCCCTCCCTCTCATATCCGCCTACTAACAATTTCCACGGGAGAAAACGACCAGCTATACGCCACCATCCGTCCCGTCCCCTTCGATGAGAAGAATCCCCCAACTTACTCGGCCCTCTCCTACGTCTGGGGTACAGCAGGGTTCACTACCGCTATGAAATGCAATGGCAACACGGTTTTATACATCACTCCCACGCTGGACGAAGCGCTACGCAACGTGGCCACCCTACTTCGCGATCGAGAGTCCATTTGGGTCGACCAGATCTGCATCAACCAGCAGGATCTGGAAGAGCGGTCGCAGCAGGTCGGGATGATGACAGGTATCTACCAATGCGCCAGCAAGACCCTCGCCTATCTCGGACCGCCAACTCCGACAACGGCGCTTGCAATTGATCTTATCAGGCGTGTCGGGACTATCGCAAGAAAGATGGCTGGTGAGATCTTCCTCCAGGATCGAGAGGAGAGGAATCGCGGCCTTGCTTCCCTCATGACCAAGGAGGAGATCAGCATCGAGGAGTCAGAAAAGCTCGGTATATCGTTCCGCGACCTTGCATCCTGGGATGCGCTCATTGAGTTTTATGACCGCCCCTGGTACGAGCGAATTTGGATTGTCCAGGAAATGCTACCCAGCCGCAGCGGATTCGTGATTGTTGGGACTCTTTCTGTCTCTTGGGAGTCCGTAAAAGGTGCAGCGCTATGGCACTTCTTCAAGGCTGGCGCGGTTCCTAAGCGGCATAAACCATCTGTTAGAGGCATTGAGCTAACTGCAAACATGGATTTGCCTTGGGACTGGCGAGGTAAGTACAATCGTCCATGCCCTTGAACATTATGTTTATCATCCCGCTAACCGGTTCGGTTCTGTTGCTTGGTGCTAGTGGGTGTTGGGTGCGTTAAAGAGCTTGCCGGTCGAAGGGTCATGCCCACTTTTCGATGGGAGCTATCACGGCTGCTCGCCATGTTCCGACGGAGGAAAGCAACCGATCCAAAAGACAAGGTGTATGCGCTTCTCGGCCTGAGCGAGTTTGACTTGGGAATGGGTTACTTCACAATCGACTACGCCAAGGACGTCAAAACAATCTTTACTGACACGGCCAGGGCGATCCTCAAAGGAGACAGTGACCGAAAGAAGCCGAATCTCGACATTATCCTTCAGGCACGCCGCACTACCTGCAAGTGTGAGGTTGATGCCGAGCCTCAGGCCGGTGAGTGGCCAAGCTGGGTTCCTGACTGGCGACAGCATTCGGGGACGGGATGCACATGGGGCATCGGCGAAGACTTTGAAGAATGGCACGACGAGCATGCCGCCGGTAAGCATGTCGAAGAGCTGAGTGATATTGCCTCGAACCCTTTCGCTCTTGTGACGCGGGGGGTAGTCCTGGGACGAGCGGTCTACGTGAGCCCTTATCGCCATTTCAGCGACATGGCTCAACAAGGCCGCATGCGAGAAGCTCGGGACGAATTTTTGGGCATGGTGTCCTCCTATCCAACTGGTCAAGATGTCGACATTGCCTTTGCCATGACAATGGTCGGCGGAGTTCTGCCCAAATCAATCACGGACCGGGGACATACTGATCGGTGGTATGTGGACAATTATCTCAATTGCATTGACATCCTATCGATGCCAAACGGCACAACCGAAGAGGACCAGCTGCGGGATACCAAAGTGATAGAGTACTGGCTGGCTGGTTTCGAGGACAGTTGGTATCAGATCGCCCAAAACGCGTACTGCGAGAGGAGATGGTATGTCCTCGACACCAACCACGTTGGGTTGGGAAACCATCGCATGCAGCAAGGGGACGTTGTCGCCAAGTTGGTCGGCCTGAGCATGCCCTGTGTTCTTAGGCCTTTGGCCAACGGAAAAGATTATCAATTCATCGGGTGAGTTGGCCCATGAAAGGGCGGCATCTAACTGTTCGTGCTGACCGTTGTGGCTTGTAGTGAGGCGTATTGTCACGGTGAGATGGCTGGTCTCGGCAAAGGGGTCCCGCCGGGTGTTGATATTCCTGCGAAGCATTCGCTCCAGAAGATCGTGATTGTCTAGAACGACTGTCGATCACGATATCTGTCAGTATACGGTTTCGATTTTGGAAAGATATTGTGCTTGGTCGACGGCGGGTGTAAACTGTGAATCGCAAGAAATCTCCGAGAGAACTGAAGTGCGTGAGGGTGTGGAAAGATGTCCGGTGAACAACGAAGTTGAAGGAGCAAGATGGTCAGTACTAGCTGTGGAAATTTTTCTCGTCTTCGCACACCTGGGCAGCCACGTGAGAGGGCGCCTTCAGTACCTACCAGTAGGTAGAGTGACTCCTTCCCTCTCTCCATCCCACCCACTTCCATGAATCGTTCTTACCTTTCTTCTTCTCTTCCAATCTCTCCCCTCTGATATGCAGGGCCGGACCCCCGCGGGAACAAAAATAGAAGGAAAAAAAAGAAATAGTTAAACAAAAGAAAAGGGAACTGAACATGATCGGTCTAAAAGACGCCAACATACTAGCAGGCACTTTCCATTGTTTCCTTCCAAGACTCCCAATACTGGGGAAAGCTGCCCCTCACTCGGCCCCTAGTGAAATCCAGTCCAAACTCTGGTGACCAGACCCATAACCAGACCCGGCCCATCCATGATTTTTGTTCGCAACTTCCTTCCTTAACCCCCGCCGAATCCGACTCTGACTCCCTCCGACTTCGCCAAGGCAAGGCAAACAGCGCAACTCCTATCGTAATCCAGACTTCAGTTACCTACCTCTACTTAAATTCAAATCCACCCCGAGGTCCCGTCATCCATGGTCTGGTCGTTCTAGCCTAAAACTAGAACTAGGTACATACCTAACCTGACGTTATGTACCTCCTCCGATGACCCAAATCTCGTAGCTGTCACGACAAGACCTCAACTGCCTCTAATGGAGTCGCCCGCTCGAGTCTGGACTGGATTCTGTTGGGTTTCATGTCCCGTCCGTCCAGTTCAGTTTTGACATGCGTCGAGCCATGGCGGGAAATGGAATCCATGCTTTTGTGAAACATCAATCAATCTACGCGGCCGGGATCCTGGGTAGTGGTAGGTGGTACCTGTGATACACTATATCGGAGAAGATAAGATAGAATTTCTAGAGTTGCGTTTGAATTGATTACTACCTCTACCAGGGAATCCGAGGAAACGAACCGAAGGCAGTGTTGTTGTTGTTGTCGACGTCAAACGGGAGGCAGTGATGTCTGATTTCAGAACCACAAAAGTCCTTATCGTATCTCCTTATCCGTTTTGTTATCAATATCTTATCTTTCAGTTATCAAACTACACGCACTCACTGCATGAGCAAGGGGCTGCTTCCATTGGTTCAGGGGGATAATGTCATACTAACATTATTAAGGGGCGTGCTGTTAGCGTGGCCACCCTATCTCTATTTTAAAGAGGCATTATACTAGCAAAATATTAGCGCCTCTGATTATCTTCTCCCAAAAGTGCACCGAAAGGCTCTAACTTACTAACATCCCAACTCTTAAGTCTGCGCATGCCACGGTCTTTTAGCTTCATGAACTCTCGATGTTGGATCGATCCCTCATTGGAACGACGGGCAAGTTGACGACAAGTTGCTTTGATATCCGAGCGAAGGGAGCAAATGAAGGGAATATGCAGACCAAGGACGAAAGACCGGATAGACCTGTTCGTCCATTGTTGTTGGTTTCCCCGAACAGCCAACGCCGACGCCAACAGCTTGTTGGGTCATGGGAGATACGAGTCTTGGACCTTGGTCATATGTATGTCCTCGGACACCCAACCCCCCTTCCTTCTCTCCTTGAAAAGAAACGCGGGGAGAACGAAGAACATGATTTTCTGCAAAGTGAGCCGGTTGAATAATGAATCGTGTCATATTCATCAACAAACGAAAGCAAAAGCACCGCCACCAATATCTGACGAGAAAGTTTCAAAAATAGAAATACAACGTATATAATCTTTGCATCCGAAATATCTTCCAAATCCCAATTGCTGCGCTAGCCCCCCTTTTCTCCTGACCGGCTTCTTAACAAGTCTCTGGCCGCTTTTTTCCAGTTTTCCAACGCATGGGTATTTCTCTTCTTTTCCCTCCCTTTCTCCGCCTCCCTTTCTTTTCATGACTTGAAGTCTTTCCTCCGCGGAAAGCCCCTGGATGTAAAACGTATTCGTGGCAAGGAAATACAGCGTAGTAGTGATGTAACAGATGTACAAAGAAATGAACGTAGGTAGTAAAACAAACTTCGAAGGAAAACGTTCGAAGGTCCAATGCGGCGAAACGTGTAAACTTTCGCGTTTAGAAGATGGCGGCTGAAAGCTTGTTAAGAGCATCAGCCGGGCTGGCCCAGAAGGCAAGGGCGATGATGATGTAGAGTCCCATAAGCTGTTGTCACAAGCGTTAGCAACCGTTTCCACAACTCTCAAGAGAACTTTCCTCGAAAGGGGAGAGAAACTCACCATAGCACCCTCCAAGTAATTGGACTTTCCATCCTGCACCGTGTACGTAACCACCATAACCGACAAGGCAAACGCGATCGTCTCAAAGGTCTCGAAATGAAGCGTCATCGGCTGTCCAATGGCCCAACCCAACAGAACCAAAGACGGGGTAACCAAAAGGGCAATCTGAATGCTGGATCCAATCGCCACACCCATGGCCAAATCCATCTTGTTCTTGACCGCCACCACACAAGCCGTCACATGCTCGGCCGCGTTTCCAACAATCGGGATAAGAATAAGACCAATGAACGTCTTGCTGATGGCGCCCGAGGCAGCGATGTCGTCGATTGAGGCGACCATGTAATCAGCCGCGTAGGAAATAATGACAGTGGTGGCGATGAGGACCAAAGCGGCGGACCAGGGCGAGAGGATGGGATCCTCCTCGGGTTCCGTGACAACGTCGCCCACAGCTTGGGCCTCGGGCTCAAACAACTCCTTGTGGGTGCGCAGGACAAAGAAGAGGTAGGCGCAGTAGAGGATCAAGAGAATGACGGCGGTACCGCGCGAGAGAATCAAGATACTGTCTTGCTTCTCTTGGTTTCCGGAGTGGTTGAGGACGTTGTAGAGGGCTGCCGGGATGATCAGGGACGCAGACGCGAGGGTCATCATGGAGCAGGTGGTCTGAGCGGTTCCCGACGCAAAAGTCTGTTCGGTGCCGACGCCGTTGGAGTCGCGCATGTTGACGATGCCGCCGAGGAGGAAGCACATTCCCAAGACGAGAAGCAGGTTAGAGAGGATGGAGCCAAGCATCGAGGCTTGTACGACCTCGATTTCGCCGGCGCGGAGGGCAACGATACTGACCTGATAGAGCGGAATGGTTAGTCCTAGGAAAGGGGAGCGTTTGGTCAGAACTCATGGGTGTGAAGAGAAGGCATACAATTAATTCCACCGCATTACCAAATGTTGCGTTGACCAGGCCGCCGAGGGTTTCTCCCAGTCTGTGAGCGATCTCTTCAGTAGCGAAGGAGAGAACCGCGGCGAGAGGAATGATGGCGAAGAAGTTGAGAGTGAATACTGCTGGTGCACCCCAGTTTCGTTCACCGGCGATGAAGCCCAAGGGTACGAAGACGAGAAGGATGTTGATCCAGGCTGGGACATATTAGCCATGTACTGCTTGCTGTATAGTGAGGGGATACATACAGCTCAGAAGAGTGACCTTGGTGACGTTCCATACTCGGGTAGGGTACTTGATGAGGGGGTTGGAATCTTCGGTTCCAGGGGTTTTCTTGTTATCAAGGAAGAAGGTGCACCACGAAAAGTCGGAGTCGGACTCGGTGGTCCAGCGGCCGCCGTTGGCGTTTCCGTTGCCGAGGAGCGGCCGGCGTTCGGAGTCCATGGTGGTATAGCCGTTAGTATGACCGTTGATGTGACCGTTGAGGTGTCCGTTAGTGCTCCCGTTGGTGCCGTTAACGTAGGTATAGCCGTTTCCGTTGGAGATGCCGTTGGGATGGTCGCCTTGACGCTTGGGTACTACGCTACTGGATGCTCGACGAACTTGGGCGCGGAAAGGAGTAGTGACTGTTGATATGATGTTTGTTAAAGGGTTGCCCATGGTTTTAAGACGAAGCTGGCTGCGAGACGATGAGGACGAGGGTGTGGAGGTGTCTTGTCATAGCCCGCCAACAGAATGGAGTGATTGTTGTGGAGGTAGTTCTTTGTTTGCAAGTCGGCACTAGCGCGCTCTCTTGAGTGCGCGTTGGGAAACGGATACTAGCGATATCACGACCCCGTCGTCGCGAACAGATTGTGTAATTTTGATAGTTTCGAAGAGGAGGAATCCAACAGTTCGTCCTTTTTTCTCTTAAAACAATCAAAGGAGTGGAGTACGAGAAGTAGGGATAAATATGGGGTGTGGTATATGAAAAGGGGACAACGGATATGTATTGTAACGATAAGGGTCTAGAGATAACTTACACCAGGCCATAATTGATGCTGCGACAAACCCCCGAACGAGATATATATCGAGACTGTTTCGCAACAGTGGGATCCCCTGCTCAGATTGGGTAGGAAATTACACTACACGTTAGGTTAGGTCCGGTAGTGTGCGCCGTAAAGTACCTCTTCCGGTATGTGCGGATACCCAAAACCGTCGATTCAGGCGTGACAGGGGCAGCGGGATGGGCAGACGAGTGGGGTGTGTTTTGTGTCGTCTCTCAGTAGGTAAGAATTGGGACAGTATTGCCCAGGCAAGGCGTGTTCCTGGGCGTCCACGGTACCTTTGTCCAGAAGGGTGAAAGGGCGGTTGAAAGGGCCAGGCAGCGTTGGATCGGGAGTGATGCCAAGGGCAAGCCGAAGGGATAATCTGGGTTGGTCAGTCCAGTCCGAATGATGAATTGTCGGGCAAAGCCACAGTGAGGACGCGCACAACGGCAGTGGTTGGCGGGAGGTGACGAGGTGGGTAAATAGTGCCGAAAGTGTCAATGTTAGGTCGGTGGGAAATCTGATGATGTAGGACAACGGGAAAAAGGAATGAGGGGAAATACAGGCTGGGAGCTTGGAGAAATTGAGCTTGATGAAGTCTCCCGTTCGGGTTGATCGGGGATCGTGAGGAAGGAAGCTCTGTGCTGTCCCAAGTCCCTTCCACTTGTGGATGAGGGGGATGAACTAGTGCTTCTTTTTCAATCGTTCCTTCTTCCAGAGGTCTCCAACGTCACTGATGAGGAGTCTGTCACCGTCGGAGATTCTCCTCTTTTTTTTTCTCCCCATGCCACTGTTGAGATGGCATATCCGTGCGCCAACCCAGGGCACCTCATCATCTCAGCTCGTCTCTGCAAGCTCAACCACCCCTCCCCAGTTTGTAGGCGGCAGTCAGACGGGCCTCTTTTTTTTTTTTTTCTGAGTCTGTTTCTGACCGATCTAGACCAAAGACGGGGACACTAACAGTTGTGCGATGCAAGCATTTGCCAAGGAAAACAGTGACTTACACGATAGTAGATCCGGTAGCGCAAAGTGCGTACGTAAGGGGTTTTGGCGGATTGGTTTGAATTCTCAGACTGTTCTACAATTCGGGAGCAGAGGAAGAACAAGTACAGGAGGCACAGAGGGGGATATAGATCTCGTCCACCCAGCATCAAACATAAATACTCCCTGACCTACCTATCTACCTACCTACCTACCTACCCTTTGTCCGTGCTGTTCCGCAAGCGCCGGCATTGCGTCGTTCGGAAACGTGGGACATGGCCCTTTGGGACAGATATTTTCGGAAGACCAGGGAAAATGGAAACAAGAAAAACGCAGCTACACGAAGCATGTGTTACAGTGTGGAATGGTGGATATCAAAACCGGTTTGTTTTGGAGTGTCGGGTCAAAGTATAAAGAGGGCAGGCAGGCAGCATGTTGACTTTTCTTGCGAACAACAACAATATTCCCGATCGACTTGACAATGAATTTGTAAATGATGACGAGATGGTGCAGGGGGAATGATTGAAGGAAACATGGTTGTGGCCTCAGATCTGACTGATCTGGTAAGGTATGGAAGGTAGCCTTCCTTGGAGACGGTGATGTTTGGAAAGTGACCATCAATTCGAGTTTTGACAGAGACAGAAATGTTCCGAAGACTTGCATCCATTCAATTCAAGCAAGTGGCCCGACGCTAATTGACGCCGGGGTGTCGCTGGACATGGCTGAAAAGGGTAAGGTTCTCGCTACATGATGTTATCGATAAGGGCACTTTCTCCAGCAGTATGTGGGGGCCTACGTCACCAGCAGACCACTCAAGTGTCGCAGAAGATCAACAGGAGACGGCTGGAGACCCGCTGGAGACTTTGTCGACCCGAACACGCTCAACAAGCTTTTTAGTTCCAGAAAGTTTCTTTGCACAGCCCCCTTGCCAAGAACTGGCTATGGACGAATCCCAGTTGAGCTGATGGTCGACATCAAGGTTCACGACAGACCCAAGTTCAACAGTTCCTCAACAGCGGCCGACGGGGCGGACAACAGGAAGAAAAGGAGGAGCTGATGGAATGGAACGACAGATGGGGAAGGATTGGAACCTCAGCGATGGAAGAGCGCGAAGAGAAGGAGGAGGAGGAGGACTGGCGCGAAGTGGAGGGGATGATATTAGGGGACGACGTCGCACCACCGAAAAAGAGAAACGCGGACGAGAGTCATGACAGTGCGCTGGTCGAAAAGTCACAAGACACACTCTATTTGACGCTCCATGTCTCAACATCGCTGGTATTGCTGGTAGAACCTCGAGCACATGGTGGACTTGGGAAGACGGGATGAGAGGACGCTGGAGGAACAGAAGTTTTCCTGAGGTCTGAGTTCTGACTTTGGAGGTGTTTCTCCGCAGACTCGGGACTTCAGTACCTGCTGCGCTGCCACTCTGCAACGCCCACCATCCGCCAAACCCGCGCCCGGCATACGTACCTCTACCGGTGACTAGTACCTACGCAGAACGCGTGAAGCGCTGCATGCTAGGTGATGCGGGGAACGGCAAGGCAGCAAAAAACAACCGCCATTCTGCCCACCGAAAAAGAATATTGGAGAGAACCCAAAAGTGCGATATTCAGATGCGAGGATACAATGGGTGCCTCGGAGTGCCTGCTTCAGTGACACCTTGGGGTGATACCAGTCCGCGGATAGGTGCCGATGCTGAGAAGAAAAGGTACGTACCAGTGCATCTCTGGGCGGCATAAAGTGGGGAAATTGAGGCCTCCGCCCAGTTTTATCCAATGAGGATGGCGGAAAACACCACGCTTCGGATGCCGTTTCTGTGCCTCGAGTGTGCATCACCATCTCACTAGCCATCAGTGAACCAGTCAAACCTGAGGGTATGTTACCGGTTGGGTATCATGGCACGAGGATGGACATCGAAACGGCCTATGAGAAACAGGCGACCGGTTTTGAGGACAAATGGGAAGAAAGTAACGCTCAAGTGACTGTGTCTCGTCCGGATCACCTCCGAGTATGGCCGGGACCGGAGTGCCGGATTTGTGGGTCATCCGTCCCGGATATCGGAGTCAGCTCGTCCCGGAAGTACGGGTTCACACGAAACAGTGGCTGTCGTAACCGACCGGCCAGTGAATCCCGTATTCATTCCGGATTTTGTGAAGCATTCCCTTCCCTGCAATCTTTCTCTTGATTAGCGACAGTCTCAATCAATTCCATGCTTCGGCTTCTGTTATTTTAAAAACATGATCGCACACTCTGGATTCCACGACAGATCAATATCTCTATTCATCAGATCATAATATCGTTACGTTTCTGAACGCTTGAGCACCCATCAAACTCTAACAGCCTGCAATTCCTCAATGACATACTTGGTAAACGCCTCCTGCAAGCGAATGCCAACCTCCGAGTCGGTCGACTGGTCTGGAAGATCTTCCACACCAAATCCCTTCTCGCCGTGAGCCCACAGGCACCTCTTCACGGCTCTCCAGTACCTGTCTCCCATGGTGTTGCGAAGTTCTCGCAAGGGATTGGGGTTGACGGCTTCGGTGAAATATTCTTGCCTCACTCGCTCTTCGAGTAGCCACGCTCTCACCCTCTTGGACTCATCCAAAGAGACCGACGGCTTTTCTCTCGCTTTAATTTCTCCTTTCATGGCGTCCATCTCTTTCCTCATCTTTGCCTCGTGATCTCTGACTCTCAGGTGCAGAATCTCGTCAAGTGGCTGCCAATGTCCAATTTCCAGCAGCATCAGGCCGAGACTGTACAAGTCGTACGTCTTGCGTGAGTTCTGATCAGTTGGGTGTTCCCGTTGAATCGCAGGCCAGCGATACAGATCCCAAGCTGTATCAAGGCTGCGCGCCGTTGTCTGGCTGTTTTCCGGTCGGGAGTATTCAAAGCCTGAAAGAAGCGGCTCTGATGCATCATCCCAGAATCTTTGATGCGCCAACCCACGACTATCTACATCAGATCCTTCGAGGCCACGAAGTGGCAGAAACCGGCGAAACCAGAGGATGACATTGACACTGAGCACCCCCTTATGCAGCCAGTTAACCGCATGTAGGTTGAGAACCGTAGAGCAAAGCTTCAGAGCCAGGTCAACACGCTGCGAGATGCTCGGCTTAAGGGCATCAATACCCAGCACGTCGTAAAGCGAGACCAGGTCGAAACTGTTCCAATTTGCTTCCTCGGGGTGCATGAAGATCAAGCCATATCTCTCCGTGCCAAACGCATCACGATCATCCAAGAAGCCGATGCACTCGGGGACGTGGAGCGACACCGGCTTGGGAAGACCCAGCATCTGGGCTATGGTGAGCGTTCGCAAGTACGACTCACGCTCCTTGACTGAGCCCTCTGGATAGTCGCCCATGGTCTTCCACTCAATCCAGACCGGTAGATTATCTGTCCCAGTCCCGTCAGGTCTGTCCACGCAGAGGTACCCAAGCGGTCGCGAGATGAGACTGGGATCAACACCCTCGGGCTCGTCCAGCTCAAAAATCTCCAAGAAGTCCTTCCGGCCGTCTTTCCCACCGAACCGCATGACTGTAATTTCCATGTCCAACTCCATCTCGGGACCACCTGACTTGGCCGGATCATGAAGCGTCCTCAACATCTCCTCCGACAACTTCGCCATTTTCTTCAACCGCACCAGATCTCTCACCTCATTCACCGCCCTCCTTCTCCTCCTTCTTTCCCGAGTAACTCGGGATATCCCATCCTCATTCTCCTCCTCGTCATCATCCTCCCCATCTGCTCCATAATAGTCGTCCTCATCACTATCCTCATCAACCATCCCCTCCACCATCCGTCCCAAAGCCAACACCATATCCTGCAACTCCCCAATCCCGTTCCTCGCCAAGATCATCTCCCGGTAAGTCTTGGCGACAATGTCGTCCATCTTGGCCTGATGATGATTCCTCATTAGCTCGTGCAGGCGTTCCGTGAGCGAGTGCAGGTCGAGAAGCAAAGCTTCAAAGGCTTCCTGGTCGACCATCACCCACCGGACGCGGACGGGGTGGGCGATTACGTCTTTGGTGTGCTGCAAGAAACGGCGGATGTGGTTGGTGCCGCGGCGGTGGGAATCTTCTTCTTTGGAGAGAGGAGTGAGTGAGAGTTTGGTGGACTGGTCGTAGGAGAGGGCGAGGGAGGAGATTTGGAGGAGGGATGTTTCTGTTTTGAGCTGTGGAGGTTTTGCTTGGGGCGTCTTGTCGTCGGATGAAGAAGAGGAAGAGGCGCTCTTCTCATGCTTTGCTTCGTGGACATCAGTCCCACTCCCTTTCAACACCTCCTTCGGCTTAGACCTCTCCATCGGCTTCCATACTCTCCCCTTCTTATCCTCTCCTCCCTTGTCCTTATCGTCCTTCTCTTTCTCCTTCTTTCCATCCTCCTTCTTGTTCCCCTTCACACCAACCACTTCATCAGGAATCAACTCATTCCCATACCGTTCATTCAGCTCCCTAAACTCCGCCAACAACCACTGGATCCTTGACAAGATAAGGATCAGTTCCGTGGCATTGGTGTTGAGGGTAGACGCCAAGGTGGCGATATTCTTCTTTTCTTCTTCTGCTCCATTTTTCTTCCCATTTTCCTTCTCACTGGACGAGGGGGAAACAGAATCAATAAGCCCAACAGCCTTCGCCCATGCTAACACGCGGTTGTACTCGATTATCAGCTGGAGACGGTACTTCTCACACTCCTTGGGGAAGTCGACCAGCGCGGAGAGGAACTTGAAGAGCCGGACGGTGTTGTCGAAGACTACTTGGGTGAGCTCGAGGGCGGAGAGGGGGTCCATTGTGACTGTCGCATACGGGTAAGGTGAGTGATTGGAGACTTCTGGCTGCCCAACAAGGTGAGAAGGTGAGAAGGTGCAGTCGAAATCGCTTGACTTCACCGTAACGAAGTAAGCGCCAAGACGTGCGATAATTGCTGACAATGGGAAACAGTGACAATTCCAGATGTCACCGAGAATGGTGACAAGATGGAAAAAACCGCAGGTTCTACCTATAGACAGGCAGAGACTGAAGCCTAACTCAGCACTTTGCCTACCAGGTAGTTTCGTGCAGGGCTGAAGGCTGACGGCATCATCGTCTACCCCTCCGACCTCCGTCCCGTTTGGCTTCTCAATCGCTGAATGGCGCCCACGGCCCAATCGGCCACCCACCTGACCAATCATCGTGAGCTATGGTGTCGATTGATCTTCAGGCCTCCCACCAGCATAGTCGCATTAGCTTTCCCCTCTTCCGCGGATAGCATCATCATCATCTGCTGCTACAAATCACTCCCGATAACTTTCACACGTTGTCTTTCTTTTCGGTAGAGGTATCAGATGCTAACCTTTGGCAGTTTGGCACTGCCTCGAAAGTAGCCTTACCCACCTCTTGTCCTCTTGTCCTCTTCCGATTGCTCATTGCTCATTGCCCAGATTGTTGGCCAGTGGCCAGGTGCAGCAGCAATGAATCTCCTCTCTATGTTGAGATCGTGAGATTTATTTCATCTTCAGTCGCTTGCGGGTGGGATGGCTGCGCCTACGGTAACTGAGTCACGGCGCCGAGGTCCGACTACCTCTACTAAGCGTTCGGCTCGGTCTCACTGTAACTAGCCAGCACCGCCGCGCATTCATCACTGATTCCGGTGAGAAGTAAGGAGCAAACACAGGCTCTTGGGAGCTTACAAACAGAAAGGAGGCTATCGTCGGGATGTCACTTCTAGCGACAACCGAAGATCTAGATAGCCTGTCTGATGGCCTAGCGAACTGCCTGCCCGCCCGCCCGCATCAAACATCCCGATCGTATCGTATAACGAACAAGCAACATGTGAGCGCTGGTGAGCTTGATGACCTCACAGCCACAACGGTCTGCCGTCGTACGGACCACGGACCACGGAGAATGCTTCCTAAATCCAAGTTTTCCATCTTAGTACACTACAAGGGGATAGGAGGAAGGGAACGATCTGGAATGTTTTGTCAGACGCTGCGCTTCATTGCTGATTCCCGACGGCCTGGATCACTCGCCACTCCCTTCTGTACCCTCGACTGTAACTATTTCCGTTCAGGGACCATTCTCAGCGAAGCTTGTCATCCGTTCCGCTGGACGTGTGACAGCTTCAGCCACCTACAACCACTAAAAAGCGGCTGGTGATGCTGGGAAATACAGGGGGGCTTGCCGTCGCATGGTGTCCATGGTCCGCAAAAACGGGGGAGGCCCAAATGGCTGCACGAATTAGGGGGCCGGACCAAGTTCCAAGAAATTCGCCCAGTCGAGCCACCCAAATCAACGAGTGACACCTCAAACGGGGGGTCATCTTTCTGTTTGAGGAGTAGAGGCGTGACCAGTGAGAGTGAGCGGTTGCCTTCAGAGCCTATAAACCTTCAGCCCGCGGCGCCGCTCAACTTCCTCCTTGATTTTGAAGTTCAGTTGGCGATCTCGAGGCGATCAATCAGGCACAAAAAGTCCATCGCGACTTCCCGTCTTTGCTCATAGAGCAACGAACGAACATTATCTTCAACTCGCTACAAGCGAGTGCGCAAGCAAGCTACCTAGCAATTGTCAGCTAGGCATCATTGAAAACCAAAGGTCGTGACACAGTGAAGATTGACTCACTGTAAAGAACGCCGAACAAAATGACAGACGAGGCTGTCAACCCTCGCCGCCGACAAGAGCAACACTCCTCAGACTCACCATCACGTGAACGGGAACGGCCCCGTCCTCCTGCCCTCAACACAAGCCACTCGGCCCTCCGTTCCGTAAACCGTCCGCCAAACGTCCGGCGAATATCCAACCGCGTGTCTATCGCCGAGCCAGAACCCGAGCCTGAAAACACCACCACATCCTCTATTCCTCCAGACCCAGCCGCGAACAATGACACCACAACCGATGACACCAAACCCGAACCCAACCTCGCCGCAAACCCCATAGCCCACACCGCCTCCACCCTCAAAATCGCCCAAACGTTACACTCCTCCCTCTCCGCCCGGCTCCGCGTAACCACCACGCCCTGGGCAACCCGAAACATCCTCACCCTCGACGGCGGCGGAATCAAAGGCTACTCCTCCTTAATCCTCCTGCGCAGCCTAATGCGCGAAGTAGCCGCCATCGAAACCTCGCTTTCTCCACCCGCGTTTTCCTCTGCCGACCCCACGGGTAACGACAACTATTACTTCACCGAATTTGATGAATATCTCTATGGCCCGGGCACGGAGAATCCGGAGTCGGAGCTGGCTGTGAAGTTTCGCGAGGGGAGGATAAAGGTTGGGGATTTAAAGGTTGAGGTTCCCGAGGAGGTGTTGAGACGCGGGGAGTACCTCCCAGCTCACTATTTCGATTATATCGCTGGTACGAGCGTGGGCGGATTGATTGCGATCATGCTGGGGGGTTATGGGTAGGACGGTGGAGGGGTGTGTGGAGGAGTTTAGGGGGGGGCAGTGGTGGGAGGTCGCGGCGTTGCCGCAGTTGTTTGTGGAGATGGATGAGGGGCAGGAGGTGGATGTTGGGGATGGGAGGGCGGATCGAGATGGAGGAGGAGGAGGAATTGTGAGAGAGAGTATGGAGAAGGCGGAAAAGAGACGGAAGGTGATCAGTTTTCCGGGGTTGGGAAGGTTTGAGATTCCGTTATTTGGGGGCAGGGATGAGAAGGAGAGGGATAAGAGACGGACGACGTGGCCGACGAAGAAGAGTAGAGCCTGGTTTGAGACGTTCTCGAGGTTTAGTGCTACTAGTACTGATTTGACGGGGACTGCTGGGATTGGGACTGGGACTGTCGCCACTTCGAGAGCTGTCGCCAGTGATACCGAGGAGGTCTCCCCCAAGACCCGGACCCAAAGGAGAGGGACGAACAACAGCAACGATTCCCATTCCCGCTCGAGCATAACTACCGCAACCACAACCACCACCTCCAGTCCCGCCTCGTCCATTTCTTTCAAGAAGAACTCCTTCCAATGTCAGACCCTCGCCTGGTGCAGCGAGATCGACTCCGAGTCCCCCACCGAGCGCCACCCCTACGCCTTCTGCACCTACGAAGAAGTTCTCGTAGCCGACGACTCCGACGAAGAAGGCAAAGTCCCTTCGATCCCCGAAGTCGCCAAGGCCATCACCACCCCCTCGGACTCTTCACAATTCAAGCCCTTCAAACTTCCCGCCATCGGCCAATTCGTCGACGGCAGCAAGGAGATCCGCGACCCGACATTGCCAGTGCTCAAGGAGATATCCTCCCTTCTCGGCGTCGACCCTTCCGCCCCTACCCTCCCCTGCAACTACGACCCACCCATCGACTTGCTTTTGTCTCTGGGCACAGATGAACATAACGCTTGGTTTTACGAGACGTTCGTTCAACCTTTCACTTCTAATTCCAACGATGCACCAACATCTTCCCCAGAGACACCCTCCACCCCCTCACCCGCAGAAGAAGAACTCAAAAAACAAAAAGGGCATTTATACCACCACTACCGCCGCTTCCAAGTCTCCCCCCTCTCCTTGTCGCCAGTCGTTTCATCCCTTCCATTCCTTCGCCGCAGGAACCACCTCAAAGAAATCGAAGAAGCCACGGAACGCTGGGTGTCGGCTAATAACGGCGAGCAGAGTACGTCACTAAGGAAATACGCGGAGATGTTGGTGCGCAAAAGGAGGCTGAGAAGTGCGACGAGCAGGTGGGAGACGTTTGCGCTGGGGGTTAGATACTTTTGTTGGCATGAAGGGTGTGAGATGAATCCGCATACTCATAAGCATGATGATGGCCAGAGAGAGGGGGAGATGGGGCATGAGCAGGAAGGAAATGAAGAAATGGTCGAAGGGTTTGATACAAGAGGAGACTTTTGGGATCATTTGGATGCGAATCATAGGATGGCGAAGAAGGCGGTGAAGGGGGAGGTGTTGATTGAGGAGTGGTTGGATAAGGGGAGGAGGTTCGGGTTTTTGTGAGTGTTTGTGAGACTGTCAGAGGGACTGGAGTTTGATACCCTTGTGCTTATGTTCATGGTTTGGATATGGGACATGGGATATACATGTGGATATTGGATATGGGACAAAAGCTAGCAAGCGATGCATCGCGATGGCGTTTTGGAGTTTTATTTCCACTTGGTTAATGATGACGGGAATTTTGATGTTTTTGGACAGAAGAAAACGTTGTTAGGTGATGATGCCCTGAAATGCCAAGCTTACAGAGCCCCGTGTGCCCTGTAAATCTCCACATTTCCACTGTTTACACAACCCCCCTGTTCCGTTCCCGCAGCGCCGAGCCGTAGCTTGTCCCCGCTCATTACGGCATCGCCCGGCCGGGGGTCCGAATTTCACTCATCCGCGGTCCGCGGTCCACAAAATTCCCGACTTCACCTCACCTCGGGTCTCACAGCGTCCGTGGTCTCAGGTCCTCACAACTCCCATCCGGTCCAGCACCCAGAGTCAGTGACCACAGCGCCCCCATGAAGTGAGGTCCTCACCACTTCCCATCTTCATCCGACTCACCACAAAACCTCAAGCCTCCATCCGGGCTACCCACCACCACCATGACCGGCGCCAACACCATCGCCGCCGCCCTCGAGCGCCACGCCACAACCGTAACCCGCCTCTCCTCCCAAATCTCCTCCTTCTACGCCTCCCGCCTTCCCTACCGCATCTTCCACGGCTCCACCAACTCGACGCGCCCACCCACGCAAAAGGGTAACACCAAATTCGTCGACATCTCTTCTCTCAACAATGTCCTTTCAGTAGACAAGACCACCAAGACGGCGCTGGTAGAGCCCAACGTGCCCATGGATAAGCTTGTGGAAGCCACGTTGCCGCATGGACTTGTCCCGCCTATCATCATGGAATTTCCTGGTATCACGGCCGGTGGAGGTTTCGCTGGAACCGCAGGAGAGTCTAGTTCTTTCAGACATGGGTTTTTTGATGATACGGTTAGGGAGGTGGAGATGGTTCTTGGTGACGGCGAGGTTGTCAAAGTGAGGAATCCGGATATCGCCAAAGCCGAGGCGAAGGGTGCAGCCGTGGAGGTTGAAAAGGGGGATTTGTTCAGAGGAGCAGCTGGTGCGGTCGGTACCCTTGGCACCACCACCCTTTTGGAAGTCCAGTTGATGGAAGCCAAGAAGTACGTCAAGACAGAGTACAAGCGCGCCAGCAGCGTCGCCGAAGCAATCCGCATGGTCCGCGAAGAAACCCAGAAGGGGGATAACGACTACGTAGACGGCATCCTCTTCAGCAAAGACCACGGCGTGGTGGTCACGGGAAAACTCGTCAACGAGTTGCCTTCGGATCTCGCCAAGCCGCAAACCTTCAGCGGAGCCTGGGACCCGTGGTTCTATCTGCACTGTCAAGAGAAGACCCTCACTTCTGAGAAGGCGACAGACTACGTCCCCCTAGCCGAGTACCTCTTCCGCTACGACCGGGGCGGATTCTGGGTCGGCGCCGCCGCCTTCCAGTACTTCTCCTGGGTCCCCTTCAACCGCCTCACGCGCTGGTTTCTCGACGACTTTTTGCACACCCGCATGATGTACCGCGCCTTGCACGGCTCGGGCGAGTCCGCGCGGTTCGTGGTGCAAGACATCGCCATGCCCTTTGAGACGTCGGAGGAATTTGTCAACTACACCTCTTCTTCTCTCGGTATCTGGCCCCTGTGGCTCTGTCCCCTGAAGCGTCGCGCGCCGCCTACTTTCCACCCGCACACCACGCGCCCTGGCACCTCCCTTGGTCCTGCCGACGAAAGCAAGCAAGATAGCATGATGCTCAACATCGGCGTGTGGGGATGGGGTCCCGACAAGCCTGCCGAGTTTGTGGCCAAGAACATCGAGCTGGAAGAAAAAGTGCACGAACTGGGCGGCATGAAGTGGTTTTATGCGCACACTTACTATCAACAAGAAAAGTTCTGGAAGATGTACGGGGGCAAGGCGTGGTATGATGCGCTACGGAAGAAATATAATGCTGAACATCTGCCGACGGTGTGGGATAAGATCCATGTGGACGCCGATAAGGCGGGCAAGAAGCAGAGACATTGGTTGTTGGCTACGAAGCCGGTTGGTGGGTTTTATGGCATTTGGAAGAGTATCCAGAGCAAGGATTATTTCTTGCATAGGAAGGCGGAGTGGAAGTGGAAGGAGAAGGGAGAGTAAGTTATCATAGGTAGACCTGGATTGAGCTGTGGCTGTGGCTGTGGCCTGTGGATTTTGGGGGGTTTGTAAGATCAGCGTTTTGTCAGGATAGAGATAGACTTGGATCTTGATGTGGATGTAGATGTAGATGTAGAGGTGGTGTGGAAAAGTTAATACCCCCTTTGAGAATTTTGTACAAAAGATTGTCACTTGGAGAGAGCAAGTGTCTATCGGTGATGGTTCCTTCACATTATTGATACAGATGTTAGGTTTCTTTCCCCTCGTCTTTCTCTTTCGTGCCCCTTTCCCATTTTTCTTCTTTTTCTTCAAAAGTTTTTTCTTTCTTTTTTTTCTTGTTTTTCTTCTTTTTCTCTCGCGGCAGGAGCATCTTGAGTGTCGGGTATCCGGTAAACCACAACTTCCTCTAGGCAAGATATGATGATGGTTGGTGAAGATCTGTTCCATGCCGGCGGAAAGTGTGTAGCTCTCATGTCACGGCAGCCTGATCAGCCCAGCTCAGTTCTCGAGTCTTGACAATACGGCGTCCTGAGAGTGAAAGCGGCAAAGGGGACGGACACTCGTCGAATTCCGTATCTTCTTCTCCTGGGATGACCAATGAGGGACTGCGGAATGGTAAAACATTGGGTTTTCTTAGAATCATCATAGTTCGTCAAAGACTAATTTACATGAAAGGCGTGTTAAATTCATGTCCATCCTCGAGACGGGGGTCTATTGTGGAATGTGGACATGCACAGGGAATGGGGAAATAACACTGTAAGTTAATGCCGAGTGTTATAGCGTTATTGCTGCACAGGAACTTGATACACTAACGTGCTATTAGTGTATTTTTGGGCTGAAGGTGACAAGATTGCTGGATGCTTAGCAATGTAGGGACAACAGGCGGTTAGTGCAATCCCAATCCTCCGCCGGTGTTGCGATAACATAAGAGCTTGGTCAACATCGGTAATCGATTGCTCCAACAACATCACCTTTGCCTTTCACTCATGATGTTTCAACTTTCTTCCATATATCTGGCAGGTGTACCTCAATCCATGGGGAAAACTTGATTGTCAGATCCTTGAGTATCCAGGTTCCATCTTGTCTCTGATCTTCCATTTCTCATCTGCCATCATTGCATGTAATGACCCCTTCCTGTCTATTCATGTATGTGTTGGCTTCCACTTTCGTACTTATCTTCGATTTATTATCACTTGCGTCTCATTTTTGGTGTCTCAAGTCTGAAAACCACCTTTACGTGCTGTAACGTTCATTGACATGGAGGTCAAGTGGTAAAAGAGGCCTTCCTAGATCACGTACCCAAGCAAGCATTAAGTACTTAAGTATATCATCTTCATAAACGCTTCCATTCCATGCATTGAACTTCCTATATCTCGCTATCCCGCTACCCAATATACACAACCAGACCCACACCTCAAACTTCTACTTCCCTCCTCCCCATAGGTATGTCCCCACCCCCTTCTCCCTACATGCCTACCCCATCACCCCATCACCTCTTTCCTCCCACCCATGATCCCCAGTCCCCTCTCCAAAAATCAACAAAAACGCCCACCCAATGTAGTAAGTGATAAAGTATGAATCCTCGCTTTCCCATGGTGCCGAGTGCCGAAAGATACATGATGAATGACATAAATGATGCTTTTTGTCTGGACAGAAAAGTGGAAATCCTCCTCTTTCGTGTCTCCCTTTCTTCTCTTTTCCCTCTCCAATCTCCTCCCTCTGTCCTCTCCCCCCCCCCCTCTTTCCCCCTTCCTCTTTCTTTCCCCTTTTCTTGGTCGTCTTTCCGCTTTCCTTGGTCGTCTTTCCGCTATCCCCCTTTTTCTATAACCATATGCGTGTTCCCTCCTCTTGAATATGTCCCTCCGCTCATAAAACATTATCGGAACCGGGTAACCCTCGGTGTCTTTGGTTCTCTTCTTTGTCTTATATACCTTTGACGTGTCGGATGCCGCATGTCGATATGTTCGAGATGTTTAGACCGGGAAAGGTTGTTGCCTGTTGACGGTTATCGCTGTTGTCTGTTCCATCCGGGTGGATATGCAATTGTTTGTAACCAACGATGTGCCCAGGAAAATGGTTGCTGACTCATTGTCCTTTCGCCCACACGAATGTGTCTGGTGAGCGCCATCAACGTTGATTGTGCCACTGGAGTTGACTTGCCCTCCCTCGCTGATGTTGTCCAACCCATTCCCAGTGAATGGCCCAGCGAGTAGCATCGATCGTTGCCTCGATGCGCCCCTCTCAAACATGTCTTTCCGTGACCATGCCGCCGACCACGTTGAACCTCTGAAAGTGTATATCGACCACACCACCAGTCCTTCCCAACTTTGCATCCCCAACCAAGGAAGGGCCCTCAACCATCCCGCCAGCCACTTGCCATCCTTCCACCCTTCCGCTTCCCCTCCTCCCCTTCCTGGGCATAAGATGATATATGAACCATGGCCTTCTTTGTTGACCCCACGCCGCCAGCCAGCCGGCCAGGCAGCCAATTTTCGTCCCAACAAATGATGAATACAGACAGAAAGCTGAAGTATGTAAACCTTCCAAACCCCCCCACCACGCATAAACCCCCAACCCCTTTCCCCCCAGCCAAAAGCCCAAAATCTCTCCCCCAAAAAAGAAGAAAACTATGAAGCATTGTACTGTATAGGCGTCTTGTGCACACAGAAAGAAAGAAAAAAAGAGTTAGGAAGCTACGTAAAATTTGGGGGTATCTTTCGTTCACCGTCACCAATAAATCCATTCATCCTTCTCATCCTCTCTTCGTCGTCCGCTGGTTCCAACCATCGTTTGGTCCATCATCCTTCCACTATGCATGCTGAATGTCCTTGGTCCTCTCTGTTGGGATTTCGCTCTTTGCTTTTTGCGTCAATGGATATCGACTGCTGCTGATCTTGTACTCTGACGACATGTTGTATGTGAGCCAGTAGCCATAGGGCCCTTTTGGTTGTTGTCGAATAGCTTTTGCGTGCGGTCCTGGGTATGGCTTTATGGCTGGCTGGCTATGCGCTGCTAAAGGGGTTAAAGTTCCAGACCACTCATTTGTAGCCACAACCCATAACCTTTCATCCCTACTTGTAGAAGCGTTCAATCCACTTCTCACCCTATAGCCAAACGGAAAAAGGTCTCGAGTTAGCAGGTTGTTCCTTTGCCATGAATAGTTGCTGCTTTGCGAAGCCGAGAGCGTGCGCGTCCAGAGTGGCAAATTGACCAAATCGCAAAGGGGTGGTTTTTAAATTCCAAGACCGCTGGTGCTGGGTTCGACTACATTATCGGACAGGTTGATGAGGAGCTGCGCCAGGCAACGCTTGGTGGCGGCGTCGTCGCGCAGGACCGAAGAGAAGGTGGCGTCGCGAAGGGGCTCCGGCAGGCACTGGCGGAGTGCTTCGCGGGCACGAGCATTGTCGCTAAGTCTATTTTGCTGTTGTCAGTACCGAACGACAACCAGAGAGTTCAAGGATGGGATGAAAAACATACCTCAAGAAGCACCTAACAACATGTTTGAGGAGCCTAGCGGTTTGCTGCTCGACGAGCTGCGCAACCATATTGCTGAGGACGGTGCCGACAGCGTAGAAGCGCTCATAAGTGGCACAGATGTAGTTAAGACCATTGTCATCGAGCAGAATCTTCTGGACGATGAAAATAGCAACCGTCTTGCTGAGCTCCGACCCGGTCTCCATGATTCTAAGGCAGAGGGGAATGATCTCGGTCGTGAGGAGGAAGTTGATGACCTCGGTCGAATCGTTTTTGACAAGCGCACCGATGACCCCCAGCGAAGTAAGCCGGAGGTATTCAAACGGGCGCGACTTAGACGTCGTGTTCAGGAACGGGTAGAGGAAGAGGGGGATGTGCGCTGAGGAAAACAAAGTTAGCAAGTGTAATCGGTCTTGGCTTGTAACAAAGGGGCAACCCACCGTTGAGGAAGAGGGTACGCGTCTCGTTGTGAGACGCCACGCACTGAAGGAGGGCGAGGGCATTGCAGACCCGGTTAGAGGCAGCAGCGGTGAGCTGAGAGGGGTTGAGGAGGGTATAGACACTGATAATCTCCTGGAGGAGAGATGTCATAACTCCTAGACATGGGGGTTAGCGCATGATCGGCGGACAAGGCTCGCGCGAGGCCACGAAGCGGCGGGGAGGGGCTCCGAGTTATAGATCAATCAGTAGTACTTACCGAACGAGTGCCAGAGAATTAGGGCCAGTTCGGGAACCTGTTCTCGCTTCTTGCTGAGCTCCAGGAGCGCCGCCTCCCTGGTATTCTCGTTCAGCAGATCGGCTATGTACTGCAGGGTACGGCGGTTGTCGTCCGAGACCACGGGCTCAATGGCATTATCCTGCGCATGGGTGGCGGCGGCGAGGGCATTCACATTGTTATGTGCGCCGGCCATGCGGTTATAGTGCTGCTGCTGGGCAACATTGGCGGCGGCGGCGGCAGCCTGGGCGTGCTGGTGGTGGGAGGTCTGTTGGTGAAGCCAGGCAGAGTCGGCCTGGGGGTACTGGTGGTGGCCGTAGACATGGGGATTCTGCATCATCTTGGCTGTGTGTCGTGGAGTGGTGGGTCAAAGACGTCGGAGCTGTCTGGATATAAATCGATGGAGAACTCGGGGATGGCGCTGATGTTGTCGGATTGTTGGTTATCTTTCGCCAGGAACTTGACGATGGGGCAACGGCAGGCCGGGCGGCATGAGAGGGGTGTCGTCGGGCGCGTAGAGGGTCTCTCTTTTTCGATGGCGGATATATCAGAGCAGCGGTGTCAACGGCTTCGTTCGGGCGGGTAGGTTGTGTAGAGTAGACAAAGTGTTGTGTGAGGCGTTGGCTGGATGGAGAACAAAGGCGGCGACGGGGGCGGCGGATTAAAGTGCAGATTGCAGAAAACAGTCACAGGCCCGGCAGGCAAGTGCTTGACGATCGCGACGGGTCTTTGAAAAGATTGGTATAAACGCAAAATATGGCAGAATGAGAGTGGTTTGTATTGTTGGTTGGTAGAGGTAGGCAGAAGTGGTGTCGGTGAGGTGATCTGGCTGTAGTAGTTAGGTGAGTAGGATTTGGTTGTAGTTAGTTGGCGGGCAAGAATCAAGATGAAAGAACCAAGCTGGATGGCGCCCGCCTGCTGGAGTCGAACCTCGTCTCCTGCTCCTGCCGGCGTTCGAGGGTCACACCCACAGCGGGCAGAGCGGTCCAGAGCCGCACCCGACAGTTTGCGCACAGACCACTTAGCTCGACGTGTGGGGAAGCTTCGGTCTCGTTCCGATTCATGATGCATAGTTAACCCTGGGTTGTGTCCGCTCACACCTATAACCCTACCATGCTCAGGGGATGATGGTTGGGTGACAAATGCCGTGTGCTTTTCTATCAGATGAAATCTGCGGTCTTCGGGAAATCGAGGATGGGAATGATCAACACGTTCCGATTTTCAGTCAGATGAGATGGAAGGAAGAGGAGATCAAGGCATCTACTATGACATGTGAAACTTTTCCAGAACTCCAGAATCTACGCTGACGATGAACACGCCGCACCTGCCTGCCCCCCTGACGCTTCATCCCGTCTCACATCGCTTTTATCAGCCTTAGAAGGTAGCACGTTTCAGTTTCATATTGAGGTTATTTACTTTCATCTGCAATGATATCTAATTCCCCTTCAGACCAACGATCCTAGCCTAGGTATTTTTTAACAAGCCATCCGTACAAACACCGAAAAAATGCAAACCCCTTTTCTGGTCCACCAGACGCCCGGTCCAGAGACTCACTTCCTAACCCTAAAAGTCTTCAGCACATTCTTCCTCCCCCCAGGCCCCTTCTTATACTTCCCATGCCCTCCCTTTCCACCCTTCGCCCCCTTCTTCCCCTTCTGTTTCTTCCCATCATCATGCTTCCTAAACGGCACAAAGCCCACCTGGCTTTCGGTCAAGGCGTTCTTGCCGTCGCGAGGCAAAAGGTAATCGGGCACGTGCTTGAGATGGGCCTGCTGGCGCATCTTGGTTCCCAGCTCGCCGTCGTGGCGCAGATGAGAGAGCTCGTTGGGGTTCTCTTCGAAGTAGCGCTTCAAAGTCTCGGAGCGCATGAGTTCTTGCCGAAGCTCACGGGTGCGGGCTTCGCGGATTGCTACTTTTGTTACGGCGACGGAGGGCTAGTGGCATGTACGTTAGTTAGGGAACTAGAAGGGGGGGAAGCAGGCAGGGGGGGGACTGACCATCGTTCATACGATAACGGAAAGCCTCCATCTGGTCCTTGTTAAAGTTGTACGGCTCCAACTTGCGGTTGAGCTTGGCCTGCTGACGCATAACCTTGGCCAGAACCTTCTCGTCCTTCTCGCACTGCTTGATAGACGTGGGCTTGTGCTTGCCGAAGAGGTCGTGGGGGACGACCATGGACAGAGCAATACCCGCGCGACCGGCGCGGGCGGTGCGGCCTATCCGGTGGATGTAGGAAGAGGAAGAGGTGGGCATGTCGAAGTTGATAACGGCGGCAACGTTCTTGAAGTCGATGCCTGAAAACAAAAGTTAGTTAGTATCCAGAAAATCCCAACCATGGACAGTCAAATCAGACTTACCTCGCGAAACACCGTACTCCTGATCCCTTCTACCCTTCTTCTTCTTTCCCTTGCCGCTCTTCTTGTCCTTATCCTCACCATCCTCCTTCTTCTCAGCCTTCTCCTCGGTCTTCTTCTCATCCTCCAAGAACACCTCGCTCCTCTCATCCGACGCAATGATGATATCGTAAATACCCCTATTGAACTCCTCAATGATCTTGATGCGGGTATTAATTGGCAGCTCCGAGTTGAGCACACAGCTGCGAATGCTGAACTGCTCAAAGAAAAGCTTCAACCGATACGCGCGATCGATGTCCGCCACAAACACCAGGCAGGGGCCCTTGATCAGCTGCAGCTTGAAGATCAGGTACGAAATCAGCCACTTGTCGTCCTCGCCGCACTTGACGTAGAACTGCGTCAGCTTCTCGTCCTCGGCGCTGAAGGACTCCTTCAGGTCCAGCATGGTGGGGTTGCGGCAGAAGAAGCCCTTGAGGGTGTCGAGCTCGTCGGACACGAGAGTCGCGGACATCATGGTGGTTTGGACGCCGCCCTTGGGAAGCGAGCGGGCAATGTTCTCCATGTCTTCGTCGTAGCCGTAGGACAGGACGAGGTCGGCCTCGTCGAGAACCAGGTACTGCAGCTTGGCGACGCTGAGAGCGCCAGACTCGATGTTATGCCAGGCGCGGGCGGGGGTGGAGACGATCACGTCAGGGGCGTTGGCGAGGAGAGACCGGAGAACGGCGTCGGACACGTTGTCGGTCAGCTTGGCGGATTGGATGTCCTTGGTGCAGAAGGCGGAGAAGGCGTCGATGGCTTTGTGGACTTGGTCGGCGAGTTCGCGCGTGGGGACGAGGATGAGGGCGGAGGTGAACGGGGCTGAATCGGTCTGTCAAGTTTCCATTTCGTTAGCAATCCATCTCTGTCACAACCCATTCCATTCTCCCAGGTGATAAGATAAACTCACAGCCTTCCTCTTAAGAATGCCACTCAACACAGGCAACACATACGCCGCCGTTTTGCCAGATCCCGTATTCGCCTTGCACAACACGTCCTGGCCTGCTAGCGCAAGCGGGATCGCCTTTCTTTGCACAAGCGTCGGCTTCTCGAAGCTCTGTTTCGCAACGGCCTGCACGAGGCGAGGGTCGAGACCCAGGTCGGAGAAGGTCAAGTCGGCATCGTCATTCTCGTTCTCCTTCTTCTGGTCCTCCTGGCTCTTGTTCTTCTTCTCGTCCTTTTCGTCTTGTTGTTTTTGCTCGTCCTTTAGTTGTTGCTCGAGCTGTTGCTCCTCCTCGGCTTGTTCTTGTTGCTCTTGTTGTTGGGTCTCCTCGTGCTTCTCCTCCTCCTGTGGTTTAACATTCTGCGACTTGGACTTCTTCTCCTTCTTTTCCTTCTTCTCGGTTGAGGCCTTCTTGGTCTTCTTCTGGGTCTGGGGCTCGGCCACGACCGACGGCTCGTCCGTCTCGTTCAACTTGCGCTTGGGCGCCATTGTGTCAGGGTATCTGGGTTGTGAGGTGTGGTATTAATCTGATCTTGAGGGACAGTGGTTATGAAGTGAAAAACACGGTGGGAGTGGGTGATCAGTCGGCTGGAGACGGTTGTGGTTTGGTCAATGGAGGGAAAGATGGAAGATGAAGAATGTGTTTTGGTTTGGAAGTGGAGGAGGGGCCTGCACTCGAGCTACGAAACTGATTCGATCCCCAATTCGAATCGACCGAAAGTTTGGGAAAAATTTCGACGGGGACTCGCCCAGGCTCTGCACCCACTGATTGGCCAGCGCTACCAGTCCACTTCACAGTGGGCTTAGGCGCTAGCGCACCGGCAGCTCATTGCCCCACAAAAGCTTAATCCAACAACCCCCACAGCGACCGGGGGGATCAACACCGTTGAGGTCTGTTCACGACTTTCACGGGCTGTTCCTTCCTTCACTCTTCAGTAATTATGCCTTATGGATGTTGATCCTGGGGAAGCGCTCGGCAAAAAATGTCAACATGCTCAGTGAAGATCACATCATCTGCACGGGTACCCCAAGAGCTGCTATACTAAATTTGATGGAAACCCTACTGGTAGGTACCAAGAACGCAAACAAATACATCTGATCCATAAACCATACCCCTTCAAGCAATTCCTCGTTTTCTTTTGCTCGAAACGATTCCGTATTCCACGTAAACAGAAAAAAAGAGACATGCGCTGAGAATCAAACTATTCATCCAACACGAAACGAACAAAACAAACCCTACCAAATCTACACTTGCGCAGGGCGATTCATACCAGGCTCCCATAGCACTACTGGTACAGCTCTGGCGCCGCTTTTTACCATACCATAATGATATGAACGTCTGAAGACAAAGAAATACTTCAGCAATCGTGTCTCATGCTCGTTGTCCACGTGCTACATGAGTCTTCCCATCAGCAACCCTCTAATACTAAAAGCACTGCACCACAGCTTTGTACCTCGTTGGTAACCGTGGCTTAAGAAGGCCGCGGGTACATGGAAGTTCAATCAGTCATATGAGGATCAGTCTCCGGCGTAACGCTCGGAGGGCTGGATCGGCAGCTGCCCCGGTAGATGTGGCTATTGAAATGGTTTTCGGTGGGAAAGAACTCTCGACAGGTCGGACAGGTGGGCTCAGCGGGAGTTGAAGACCGAATCCTCTGGCGAGGCCCCGGTGTTGTATAATGGTCCCCGTGACCATTTACTGAAGCCGCTCGCTCCGTCTAATAGCGACGGCCGTAGTCACGAGGCGGGTAGGGCTCGCGGGGGTACGGGTCACGCGGAGGGAAGTCCACGGGAGGAGCGCGGCGATCGTAAGCATCCCCGCGGCCGCTCATGTACGGGTCGGGAGGGTAATCGCGGGGAGCGCGGTACGGGTCGTCGTAGCGTCCGCGAGGGGGAGGGTAGTCGTCGAGTGGGCGCCTGGGTGGCGAGCGGTAACCACCTCTCCTGTCCTCATAGTACTCGCGCCTCGGTGGGGGCGACCTGTCACGGTAGCCATCGCGGTATCCGTCACGGCGGGGGCTGTATCCACGAGGAGGGGGTCCACGGCGGTCGTAGTCGTCCACGGGAGGGGGGTATGGGCGGCCACGCGGCGACCTCGAGCGAGCGCGGTGATCGTTTCTGGGGATGTCGGGTTGGGTCTAATTCCAAATGTCAATAACCATACCCATTTAAGCAGATGATGGTAGTCCTTACATTGGCAACGCAAGTCACGCGCTGGCCCTTGAACTCGCGGTTGTCGAGTTTCTCAACTGCGGTCCTCAAATCGGCGGCATTCTCGAACTCAACGAAGCTGTAAAATCGGTCAGTGGAAACGTTGACCAACCTTCACCGAGGTTACATACCCTTCACCGTTCTGGTTGCGTGTAGTCTCGCTATAGACGACATCAAGTCCGGACTGACGAGCAAAGTCCTTGAGATCCTAAAAAGCCAAGTCGAGTAAGTTGAAGTCCGGGATCTGGCAGTTGGTGGTCCTCCCATGTATCACAACCAGCAAGAACGTGTCCAGGAAGCCGGTTTTGTATGGCAGGTTGTCATCCGGCTCTGGGGTGTCATCTGCCCTAGTCCAGCCCTAACAAGAAACTCCAACGGCAATACTGAGAAGGATGAAGTGAAGGAAGCCGGATAGAGCCAGTTTGGGTGTACAAGAGAGAGCCAAGTGCGTTCAGCTGGAACGGCCGGACCCCAAACAGTCGGTAATAGGAAAATGACGAAGTCCGAAAGGCCAAACTTGCGTGTGACTGTGTGACGGGGAATATGCCATGCTGGGGGATGCGAGAACAGAGTAGGGTGCGGAATCCATAGGTAGCCCGGAGAAAGAGAGAAATCCATATGATGATCAAGCGGCGCACAAGGAAGTGGAAGGGTGACAGACCTGCCAGCTGGTTTCATTGGGAAGGCCAGAGATTTGCATCCGGTGAGGCGTGCGTCGGGGCCTGGGTTGGCTGTTACGCTCGTGGGTGAAACCGGGACCTCCTTCACGGTGACGGGCGCCACGTGCAAACTGAACAGTAAGGCGCTCTCCCATGAAGTCCGATCCATCTTGTTATTGTTAGTCGGTCGATATCGTAGCGAGGAGAAAGGGTTGAAAACGTACGGAAAGCTGGAGAGATAAGGACGGTTAGCGCGTGTTTCTTTCATGTTACTGCGACACACACAGAGAGCACTTACCAGGAACAACATCGCGAGCGTCCATGGCATCCTTGTACTCGATGAAACCGAAGCCGTTCATGAGCTTGATTTCGGTGATCTCGCCGGTGCCATGAGTTGCAAAGTGGGCTTCCACATCGGCCTTGGTTGCTTTGCGGGAGTCAGCATTGTGTACCGTCGGATGGACCAGACCAGACCAGACCGGACCGGACCAGGGGCCAGAGCAGGAACAGCTGGACGGAACAGGTAGCCTCGCTGCGAATAGGGAGTGATTGATCCTTGATCATGGGAGACGGCCGCTGGTCGACGGTGGCTGTGGTGGTGATGTTGGTGTTGTAGATCCAGGTCACTCACCGTGCCGGGGCAGGTTGCCCAGGTAGAGACGGGTCGACGATACTTCAGTCATTGTGTCGAATCGTGTTTGCGAAACCTGTACAGGATAGCCAAGTTGTGGTAGGGCGGATGAAGGCCGACACGACAGAAGAGAACGGAGCCTGGCGAGGTGAAGAGGGGGTTGGTCGGGGTAATAAGCGCGACGTCCTGTATGTGTCCTGCCAAAGCCTCGTAAAAAGCTGCGTAAAAACTTGTCCGGAGCCTTGTTCGCGCGCCGACCAGTCAAAGTGCAAGCCGTGAGAGAGACCACTCTGGGCGGAGGGGCGGGAGGCGCAGAGAGGGCACGTCAGCCAAGTTGTGGTGGGTAGTGGTATCGCTCGGATGATTCGATCAGAGACGAGATTTAATCACGCGACGAATGGGCGTCAAGTTGTCGTCGCGGTATTGTGTGGTTATTGAGAGTTTCAAAGTTGGGAATGATGGATGGTGGGAAAAGCCCACAGGATGTTGGAGGAGAGGAAGCTGTCAGCGACGGGACACGGTTGGGTGGATGAGGGATGAAAGAAAAGTGGAGGAAGGATTGAAAGTCAGGGCGGGTTGCGGAAGAGGGAAGTAGGTGGACGGGCCCTGTTGCTGCAGCAGCACAACTGAACCAGGACAAGGAAGGAACAGAAAAAGAGGGAAAAGATTTCAGCGCACCACGCAAACGAAGAAAATGGAACTCACAAAGTCACAAGCGCCGACCGGTCTCCTGCAGCACAGTCGTGCCAGTGAAAATGCCTGCCCTGTTGCGCTACAGTCACTTCCGTCAGCGAGGACGACGACGACGACCTCGGAACTGCCGCTGTGCCGCCTACGGTTACAGCCAAAACCAGGCACTCAACCCACTGAAAAAGGCATGGGCCTGGCTCTGGCAAGCAGTGGACGGCGGGCAGGCATCATAGACGAGTGGGGTGCGGGAAGATGTGGGCCGCCAAGGCTATTATCTGTCCAGTAGGAAACCAGCAGTGCCCTGAATGCGAGAATGTGTCACAACCACCCTGGTCCTTGCGAGAGGGGAAAGGGCAAGGCATGATGCACGCGTTGCACGGGCACCCCTCCTTGTTTGATGCCGCTGCTGCTGCTGGTCGCCGCCGATGTGTTTCTGGGGAATGCGATTGGTTTTGTTTTTATACTTGGCTGTCGGAGCCTTGTTTGATATATTGGCATGGCATTGTCGAGATTCATGAGGGTAGCAATGGTGTTGAGGATGAAGTCATCACCAGCTCAAAAATAGCTTTGTGTAAACACAAGGAGCTTTGGCCTCTCTCTCTGATGCAATTCTATGGAGCATCTCATATCTCAAAACCCCAGAGCTTCCATTCCCAACAGGGCTGATCTGATTCATGTCATTGCGCCGGCTGGGATGGTGACGCTTTGTTTCCTGTCATTTTTGTCCCGCTTCCAGATCTATTGTTCCAGATGTTCACCGGCAAGTGTTGAGTTTTTGTATGCGAAATTGGGATCGTCGACTATCGATAAGAGCGCTTGCTCGTTCTGGGTACCCTACGGTACAGTTTGAGGTTAGATCTCGGTGCCCGCCATACCCCACCTCGGAAATAGACACACCCAGCGTTCGGGAAGGAATGCCCCGTCTACCTACCTAGGGAAGAGGAGGTTATTCTCAAAAGGAAGGAGAGGAAAACAGCATAGTACAGGAAGGAAGGCACAGGCACCGGGAGGAATCCACGGCCGGCCCCGACATCTTCACTTCTTGGAATTGGCCTCCCCCGACCTTTTGAGTCTTCTTGATTTTCTCCTTATCCTCTCACACTTCTCGAATCAGTTCATATGACTATGCAAGCCTTGCCACCTGGCATTTCTTTACGACCTCCTCTGTCCTGGCAGAAGAACAACCATGACAAACAAACCAGGGTGATATCGCAAGTTTCACGACCAGGGAAAACGGACCATTACCAATACACAGTTACGTGCACCTGTGGCAATCGATATGCAATTAACCAGTTTATTCAATTTACCATTACGCTCATATTATCATGATCATTAAACCCATCCCACATCAACATCCACAACCACATCGATCAGTCCTCACCACCAAAGACTCTTTACTTCCTCTTCCCACCAGCCTGCACAACCAAAACACTAGCAGCCACCGCATTACTAACCAATCCCTCCGCAACAACACCCACCGTCTTGCCCAAATCTAACCCTCCGTTCGCACTACTACCAACATCCACCCTGCTGCTGCTAGCAGCCGCACTACTCGTCGCAGCACCCTCACCATCAACCTTCCCATGCCGTCGGCCAACAACAACCACATCGCCCGCTCCGCCCTTCTTCTGCCCAACAGTAACCTTGGCTAAGCCAAGCACCGTTTCCGAGAGGTTGTTCTTGCCTTCTGTCAACTTGGACTCCTCGAATACTACTCGTGAAGAAACATCCGCGGGCAGTGAGTCGCGGAGGGTTGCGAGAAGTGTTGCGTCCTCGTCATTTTCGGGGTTAGAGCCGGAAAACTTGAGATGCACAACCGTTGCCGTAACATTCTCCTTCCTCGCCAGCTGCAGAACCAAGCGCAGGGCAACGCGATCATCAGCGCCACCGATGAACGGAAGGAAGACGTGGTGAGTGCGATCGGTGATGGTGGGGTATGTTGCCAAAGCTGGCGTGCGGTGGTGTTGGGAGTGGAGGGAGACGCCTGACTTTGAACGGGTGAGTCCACCGGGGGACTGCGCGGGACGAGGACCAAAACCGCCAAAGCCGTTGTCGATGAAAATACCCGCGTTGCAAACCTTCTCTGCTTTTGCTAAGGTCTTGTGGACAAATTCCAGGTGGGGAGTGTTACCCTTGAATCGATCGCTGGCACCCGAGAGGGAAAGAGGTTGGTCAAAGTCTGACAGACTGCCGTATTCGCTCCATGGAATCAGGGCAAACTCCGACTGCGTATCAGCGGCATGGGAAGTGAGTGTTTCGGCATAAGAATACTCGGGGACGACGGCTACGCGGCCCGAGACGGCGACGTTGTTGGACATCGGCGACAAAGAGGAAAACGTGCGGAAGGTGTTGATCACGGGATCGCGAAGGGAGTAGAGCTCTTCGGCTAGGTCTTCGGTTACTTGCATGACGGAAGACGTACGATCGGTGAGCTCAATGAGACGGAGGCCGTGGACTTCGAGGGGCTTGGTCTTTCTGGTGATCGTGACTGGGACAGATTTGCTGCCTTCGCCGGTGTCTTCGACAGTGGAGTCAAGCTCGGGTTTAGGGGTATTCTCGGTCTGGGGACTAAGGAGGGTGATGAAGGCGAAGAGAGAGGGCAAACTGTCGAGACGGAGATAGACGAGCATGCGTTGGATTTGGAATTGGTCGCCGACGGACTTGGAAGGATCGGAGGTGCTTGACTCGGATTCGGATGGGGCAATCGGGTTTTCGTCCCAGTCGATCTCGCCACGACGCCATTTTTCGACTTTGCGCTGATACCAAGGGGGATACAGGGCTTTGGTGAGGGGGGTAGTGGCGACGGTGGTGACGAGGGCCATGACGACGAAGATGGTGAAGGTCCTTTGGGAAAGGATCTTGGCTTGGAGACCGATGTTCAACACAATGAGCTCGACGAGACCCTTGCAGCTCATCAGACATCCGATGGTGAAAGATTCGCGCCAGAGGAGCTTGTTGGCTCGGGCAGCGAGAGTTCCGCCAATGATCTTGCCGGCGAAGGCGCAGGCGATGACTCCGATCACATAGCCCCAGGTGATCCCATCATTAAGGAGACCAAGGTTGGTGCTGAGACCGGAGAGGGCGAAGTAAAGGGGGAGGAAGAGGACGGAGATGAGATCCTCGATCTTTTCGGTCATCTTGATGGCAAAACCACCCTCATGAGGGCAGATCAAGCCGACCAGGAATGCGCCAAAGATGGCGTGGATGCCAATGATGTCTGTCCTGGTTAGCAGAGGTAAGTAAGTATTAAGGAAGGGTATACTGACTCGTAAAGAAAGCTGAAAAGAGGACGAGCAACAAAGTCAACGCAACAACACCCTGCGTAGGTCCATTCTGCAAGCTCCCCGTTCTCCTCACCCACCACATGAAAGGCGGCCTCACCGCAAACACCAAGAACAGAATCCACCCAATGCAGCACAGCAACGCCCACAGCGCCGCCAACCCACTGTTATTATTCACCAATGCCACGCAAAGCGCCAGCAAAATCCAACCCGTGACATCATTCCCAATTCCCGCCGCCAACACCGTCACGCCCACGTTGCTTCTCAGCAGCTTGAGCTCAGTCAGAATACGACAAAGCACAGGGAACGCAGTGATAGACAAAGCCGTTCCGATGAAGAGACCGTATACGCCAAAACTAATGGGTACGGTTGTCCCGTCATTGTGGAACTGGTGGTATAAACCCCAGGCAATGCCGAATCCCAAGCCGAAAGGGAGGATCATGCCGGCTAGACCGACGGAGAGGGCGACTTTCCAGTTGGAGGTGAACATGCGCATGTCGACTTCGAGAGCGACGAGGAAGAGGAAGATGATGAGACCGAGGTTGGCGACGTTGTTGAAGACGGGCATGGATTCTTTGGGGAAGATTGCTGTTTTTTCGGCAATGTTAGTAAGTAGTTGGCTTTGAGTGAGTATAGGTGGATGGGTGTAAGTGCCGCCGAGTGAAGTCACGTACTTTCTTCAAAACCGGGTATCCTCATCATAACGGAAGGACCGAGTAGAATGCCGCCAATGACTTCGGCAATGACTTTGGGTTGATTGATCCATCGTAGCGGGTAAGACAGAAGCTGGCAAAAGATGATGACGATGCCGGCCTGGATGATGAATAAGGTGATGGGTGCCGAGGCGCTGTATTTCGTTGGGTTGGCTCCCTCGAGAACACCGGCTTGGCCGTTGACGCTTGGAGTTGTCGCGTTTGTGGAGGAATTTGACGCAGTTGTGGCTGCTTCGACGGCTCTGATGACGGTCTTGAGGACCGCGTCTGTTAGGGTTGAGGCCATCTTGTCGAAGACGGTTCAAGGGTTGCCGTTGGCGGTGTGGATGCGGATGTGGTCTGCTAAGACCAAAGCAACCGAGACGTGCGTACCCGAAGGAATGCTGTTGTCAGTCGTGTCAATGCAGCGTTTCGGTTACTGCATATAAACTGTTATAAGGAAGAATGGAAGAGTGAGTGGCCTCAAGGGACCAGCTCAGACAATGAAAAAGGTTGAAGCCCGGAAGCTGTCACTCGACAGACTGACAACAAAGAAAAGATATATAAAAGGCAGATGGCTGGTGTGGGTTGCAACGGACCCGGACCCAGACCCGGGACCCTGGGAATCACTCCATCCATTGATGATGAGGTATCATCGCCTCCTTCTGATCCTTTCCCGTAGAGGCTGCATTCCTGACTGTACAATGTACAATGTAAGCGGGCACCACCAGCTAAAGCACTGTGAGGAGGTGGGTAGTGTGTTGTGTGTGCACTCCACGTGATGGTGTCCAAGCCGGGGAGGGGGCTTGAAGGATCCAATTGCAGTCATTCCAGTATGCGGAAGGATCATGGACATGGAGGGAACACCACTCATAGAGGAGGTGGAGGGGGTTGGTTGGTCACTGGACAGGGTGAGCTGGGCTGGGCTTTAGCGAGAGATGCGCATTTGTTCGGATCTTGTCCACCTTGTCTTTCGCCTTTCCCTTTCCCTTTCACATGCCTGGCACACCGATAGAAAGAGAGCCTGGATGGGGGAGAAGAGAGCTGGAATGTGTCTAGGGATGGGAAACACCCTGTTGTCTCGCACAAGCACGACTTGAGGCTGAAACTGTTTCTTACTGGCGCATTGCTAGCATACTAAGCTATTCATCCGATAGCGTGTGTGTAATACCAATACAGTTCTTGGACTTCCAAGTTCCAACTCGGATCCATACACTGTCGATAGCGTAGTGTAAGCCCGCGGAATGGTGTCGACGACAATGCCTCAAACTGCTCAATGGTAAAAAAAAGGGTCTATGGCGGTCTAGAACTCGGGACCCTAGAATCTTGGATTGGGGTAGCTGGAGACATCGATTGGATCGCCTTCGAAGCCATGGCTGCTGATGGCTGCTCTGCTGACTTGACTGACTTGACTGACGGGACAGCAGCTGACTTGATCTCACATCTTGGCTTTCGAGCGTTGTTCTTGTTTTCGACACGCGATATCACCTTCGTTGTAGTTGATACGAGTGACGGGAGCACTGAAAAGATAACAGAAAGAGGAAGAGATGAAAGGGAAGACAAGAGAGGAGAGAAAAAGCCAAGAACGACAAAAACCTGGAGAAAAGGCCCACACGTTCTTTTCGATCGGGAGTTCTGGACTCTGTTCCACTTTTTACAGCGCAAGTTTGATCCACTGAAGCGGGGCATTTAGTCACTAAAGCACTCCACTATCGTCTGTTTCTGCGGGGTTAAGTCCATTGTTCTTTCAGTCGACTTCGACAGCGCAGCTCAACCAAAACACCAAGAACATTATCATCACTTCACTTTCCATTTAGGTTGTTGCCCGGCACTTCAGGTTCGGCTCGTTCTTATCAAGCAAGCTGAATGGGAATACAAAACATCAATTCTAGGTTCATGCTACTGTTGCACGGTTGCACGGTCGTGCAGTTCTCCGAGTGGTTGATACTGTTGCACAGGTTGCGCAAAATAGACCCTTGGATTACCCCAACTCTCCCAACTCCCGAACTCGGGTCTTGTCCGAAGTACGGCACCGTTAGACCGTCCGATGGGATGCTTGATGGGATTTGGTTTGGTCTGTCTCGCGTTGGGCTGAAGTTTTAAGGGATCATACGCCGTGTAGACACTGCAAAATTTAGGGTTTAGTTTGTGTTTAAGACTCGAAACCGGTCAAAAGACGATCGTCCTGCTTGGGTCCTATGACCATGAGTTTGACCTGCTGATGGCACAGTCAATAGAAACGGCCGAGCTCAAGTGGCACGGTGGCCTTGTTATGTCAAACCTTCAAGTCTTTGCCTCGACGTTATCTCAACATTGTTCGTTCATGTTTTTCGATAGTTGAAGTTTGAGGAATCGGAGAATAACTAAGGGTAGTGTTCTGATGTCAACAGGTCGAGTTACCTTGTGATCCTTGTGATAAGCGTTCGCAAACCAGGAGACATGTAGTACCTGATGAACTACCAGGTTCGCTTCGATGCTGGCATCTGGCAAGAGCTTTATGAGCGTGAAAAGAACTTACACCAAAGAAAGAAAGAAAAATCATATTTCGATGTTGCCAATGCGTGCAACCAGAATTTGACAGCAATCACCGACTTTGTCCTTGATAATACATGTAGTTTTGCTGAAGTTGAAAAGGGTCAAAAATCTTCCCACGCTCGATTGGTATCCTTTGAAACATCCATAACCATAACCAGAACACCATACATGTGCAAGACAACAAGCAAAACCACTGAAAGGACCATAACCTCAACTCCGCAGACCGTTTCACATCCATCAAGGATCAGACTTGAGCAATCAAGCACTCCACTCAGCTTCCATGCTTAAGCCTTCCTCTTTTTCCCCTTCTTCGCCCTATCACCACTTGAAGAGCCAGAACCGCCCTTCCCCAACCCAGCCTGTATCCTCTGAAACTCCTCCTCATCAATCTCGGGCGGCTCCAGGTCCTCCTCCGCCTTCCTCTTGCCTCCCTTCCCCTTCGTCGCCTTCGGCTTAGCCCCATACTTCTCCGCCAATTTGTCAAACATGTTCCCCCTACTCTGCTGCCTAGCCAGTATCAACGCAGCCAGAGCATCTTCGCCGTTATCTTTCTTGCCTTTGCCTCCCTTGGCACCACCCTTGCCGTTACCCTTAAGCTTATCATAAACTCCCAACTCCTTAGCCAACTCCTCCGCCTCTTTCGCCTCGCCCCTCGCAGCTTTCACCCTTGCAGCCCTCTTCTTCTTCGTCTCCTTCGTATACTTCTCATACTCCTCCACTTCGCCTTTCTCAATCGCTTCATCGATCCAAGTCCTGAACCTCTCGTCGTCTTCCAGGACATCGCTCAACATGACAGTCTCATATACCCCATCCATGTCGCCCTCAAACTCGGTGTAAGCAGACAAAACATCTGCTCGTTCTTCGTCAGAGTTTTTGTAGGTCTTGGCGAAAGCCTCGATGGTGGCTTCGGAGATGGAGTCGGCGAAGCAGGAGGCGTAGTATTCGGCCCAGTTGAAGTCATCGTCTTGAGAGAGGGTTTCGGAGGTTGAGCCTGTTGTGTCGTAGAGTTGGCGCCGGGTGGGGGAGGAGAGGATTGCGTAGGCGAGGGCGATTTTTTGGAATTTTTGGGTGGCGGAGTCTTTCTCGGAGGGGGGGACTTTGTCTGTTGGGGAGATGGGAGGTTAGTTAATGCGAGTGAGGGAGGTACGGGAGGGTAAGCGGCGCAAGAGAACTGAGCATTCCAAGCGGGCGCACTGAGGAGAAGGGAGGCAAAGAAAGCCGAGGGCGGGAAAGACAAGGTGGAATGAGAAGATATGGATTGAAAGACGATTCATACCAGGATGATTCCTCAAAGCAGCCTTCCGATACGCGGTCTTGATATGATCAGCAGTCGCATCGCGCTCGAGACTCAGGACCTCGTAAGGGTCGATGGTGGGGGGCTCTTCGATATCGGAGAGGTCATGTTCGTCGTGGTCATCTTCGGAGCCAGACTCGGAAGGAGGTTTCGCGGCTTTTTTGCTAGGGCGCGGCATCGTGATGTCCAGCTGTACAACAGTTTTTCGTAGAAACGCAAATGTGTGCTTTCTGGTGATGCGATGCGACGGATTCTTCAGTTGGTGAATTAAACAATTAAACAATGATCCGGGGAGACGCGACGACGCGGCTTATCTTATCGGGTAACAAGGGTCCGCGGATCTGGAGGTGGGGCTGATGATGTCGCGCGAGACGGACACCTTGGCAGCTGCCCGGGGCAGTGACGGGCCGGCCGGTACCTGTACTTCGAGATGTTGGTCAATCCAGCTGTTGACAGTCATCTCTCCTTCCCTCAACATCACCAGCACCAACCATAAATCAAGATGACTTCCTCAATCCAACCAGGAGACCACAAGGCCTACATGCGCCTTGCCCTCTCTCTGGCCCAAAAGTCTCCACCAAAACCAACAAACTACCGCGTTGGAGCCGTGGTCGTGGATGTCCCCTCCAACACCATCCTGGCGACTGGGTACACCTTGGAACTAGAGGGCAACACCCACGCCGAGCAATGTTGTTTCATGAAACTGGCTCAACAACATGGTGTTTCCGAGGAGAAGCTGGCTGAGGTACTTCCCTCGAACTTGGCACTTTACACCACCGTTGAGCCCTGCTCCAAACGTTTGAGCGGGAACTTGCCATGTGTCGAGAGGGTGCTTAGGATGGCTGGGTGCATCAAGACGGTCTATGTTGGGATCTTGGAGCCGGAGAAATTTGTTCAGGAGAACACGGGCAGGAAATCTTTGAAGGATGCGGGAATCGAGGTGGTGCATGTTGAGGGCATGGAGAAGGAGATTCTGGAGGTTGCGACTGCGGGGCATGTCAAGGAGTGAACAGGAAGACGAATACCAACCGACGCATAAATTCAATCTATCGCTACGCTGCTCGCTTTTGCCTTGTCTAAAACTTGGGTCCCTCAAGAATGGGCCTAGCCTCCTCCGTCCTCCACCAGCTCTTCTCACCACCGGGATACTCAAACCGATCCATGCTCTCGGCCTTCATCTCGACCGAATACCCGGGCTCAGTAGGAGTCTGATAATACCCATCCTTGATAACCGACGGATACAAAAAGTGCTCATGAAGATGATCCACATACTCCAACACGCTCTTCTTGCCACTAACCACCACATAATCGATCGTGCTCAGATGCTGGGTATACTCCGGCAACCCGACACCCCCAGAATGCGGGACAATCGGCACGCCATACTTCTTCGCAATCAACAACACGGCCAACACCTCATTCACCCCTCCCATGCGACACGCGTCGATCTGGCACACGTCAATGGCCCCGCTCATCAACAGCTGCTTGAACACCACCCGGTTCTGACACATCTCGCCGGTAGCCACACCGATCCCGTACTCCTTCAGCGCCTCCCGGATGGCCTTGTGGCCCAGGATGTCGTCGGGGCTGGTCGGTTCCTCGATGAACCACGGCTTGAATTCCTTCAGCTCCTTCATGTACGCGATCGCTTCGGGGACCGACCACACCTGGTTGGCGTCCACCATTAGGACGTTGCCCTTGTCGTAGCCGATAACCTCCCGTGCAATCCCTAGGCGGCGTTTGTCCTGCTCCACGGAACCGCCGACCTTGAGCTTGAAGTGCTTGTACCCTTTATCCATCGTCTCCTTGAGCAGAGATTTCATCTTATCCTCGCCATACCCCAACCATCCGGCACTAGTCGTGTAAGCCGGCACCGCCTGACTCTGTTCCGCCTCCCTGATCCTCTCCCCCTTCGTCTTCTCCGTTTCTTTCAACATCTCCACCGCTTCTTGGGGTGTAATCGCATCAGTGATATACCTAAAGTCAATACACCTGACGAACTCTTCCGGACTCATCTCGCTCACGATCCGCCAGACGGGTTTTCCCAAAACTTTGGCCCATAAATCCCAGATGGCGTTGACGACTGCGCCCAAGGCGAGGTGGATCACGCCCTTTTCGGGACCGATCCACCGGAGCTGAGAGTCGTTGACTAGGTGGCGCCAGGTTTGGCCCCAGTTGGAGACGAGGCTGGATAAAGTGCGTCCGCGGATGCGGTCGGCTACGTGGTTGATGGCTGCGCAGACTATGTCATTGCCACGGCCTATGGTGAAGGTCTGTTTGCACGGTCTGTTAGTTTGTGGTGTTTTGGTTTTTGATTCGGTTTGGCTTTTCTATTGGAAATGGGAACGAAATATGGGTGTGGGAGTGGAACAGATATGAAAGAGAGGAGGAAAACGAACCATGCCATGTCCGGTATACTTTGAGTCCGTCTGGAGAATGCAATAAGCGGCAGAGTAATCGCCAGCGGCATTCATGGCGTCGGAGCCGGTCTTGTCGAGAGAGGTGGGGAAGCGGACATCGCGGGTTGTCCAGCCCGTTATTGTAATTTCTTGTTGTTCCGACATTGCGATTGCGTTATGTTCAAGTTGTTCGTGGTATGTCTATCGTAGCTGCTGTAGGTGAGAGGTCCGATGGTGGTGCAGGACCGGAAGAGACGTGAGAACTGAACTCCTTCACAATGCTTTCCGCTGATTCACGAAGAGAAAGGAAAGGAATTGGGAACAAGTTGTATTTCAGTCTACTGAACAGCAGTTCCTCGAACCAAGGGAAATGGTGTCTCGGTTTCGGCTCATCGTTTGCGAGGCCCAACTCCCAAAAAGCTGTCATCGTCGGTCATCTTGAGCCGTTGGAGACTGGGGTAAACTGGGGAAAACTGGGGAAGAGGGGACGGTTGTGAGGGGCATGGTGGGGTTAGCCGAGGGAATCTCAGTTAGCGTGGTACTTAATTATGTCTGCAAACTAGGCTCAGTTTTGTGTACTAATCTAACAGATTTTGAGGCCTAACAACTGATCATCGTCAGCAATTGAGTCTTCTGATTGATGGATAAATACAAACCTAGCTTCTGCAAGTGGGGGCCATTGATGGGATTGAACCGTTCCTATCATCTTTCATCCTTTTTCAATTTGGATTCTGGACTCGAGCTATCAAGGTTCCCAAAGTCAGCAGACATGAAGAAATCACAAGCTTCGTTCGGGTTCGAAATAGTGATTGGCCCAGTATATTCAGCTTCAAGGAGAAAGTGTCGGGTCTTCTGAACCCGTCACCACCGAATTGTCACCGAACACCGCAAGTCGTGTAAGTCGCACGAGTCATTGCTCACTACCATAAATACACGTGGAAATCGTCATTCCGGAGACTCTTGGACGTCTTCTCAGGTACGGTGCCAAGCAATTGGCGACTATCTGAACGCTGGTCAGTGGCCGCGTTCGGATCGTCCAACAGGGTCATGACACGAGAAAGTCAAAGCGGACGAGGTACGACGTCTGTGTTTGTGTCTGTGCAAAGAGTATGTTTGTCGGGTTGTTTTTCTCAATGGCAAAGGGCAGTCAGTGAGTGGCCAGTCGTTGGACAAGACGACTGTTACTTCTATAAAAACCAGAAAACAATAAACTCAATCAGTGTTGATATACTCCAGGATGGAAGAGGGCAAACCTCCAATGATTGTCCCTGCCAAAGCCGATTGACAGTCAAGCGATATCGGCCTGTTCCGACGATTTCCATGTGGCACTGAACCACGAGTCAAGACCCAGGTCGATCTCGCCGCTTCACAACGTCTTCTTCCATGTCCATAGAAGTTTTCTAGAAGATTTTGTTGGGTCACCTGCCCATAGTCCCACTGTTCCAGGCTCTGATCTCACGATTGTTGTTTCCTGGACATCTCGGAAGTAACACGACGACTCCAGTGCCTGGCACTTCGATAAGTCAAAGCATCAAGACCGATGGTTGTGTTCGTCTTGAAGGAATCAACTTGAAATTCTTCAACAATTGCTTATCAGGACTTTCTCCAGCAGGGGGTAAACATGTCGGCATGACCTCACTGTCATTGACACAGTATTCTGGGGTTAGGGTTGAAATAGCGAAGTGCGCTAACAATTACCAACTGACCCACTTCACCAAATGCCTTTTCCTTGGCAGTGGTTTCGCGAATCCTGAAACCTCCATTTTGACTTTCTCCTCTTTCCAGCCAAGAAGCCGTGATCACCAGCTCCAGTCACACGACAATGGCTGTCTCAAGAGGCACACACGCTCTCATATCCGCAAACGCTACTCGTCAAGCGGCCCCATGATATATGGACCGGCGAGACTTGATTCAGCTGAAATGATGGAGCTGACTTGAGCAAATCGGAAGCTCTTATCACAATGTCAACATCGCAACCTTCCCCCGTGGGCCCCCGTCGGTGTCATTGTTCGAGATGACCGTTACGATGACGGCTGCCTGCTTTTTATATATCTTGGTCCCTGCATAAGTGGAATACACGTGTACGCGATCATCGGTTTTGTGGAATTCGATCAACTCTCGTAAGGACCGGATTTTGAAAAGCGTCAGAAAGCTTGGATGACACGGGGAGTGGAGGTCATCGGCGCTTTTCAAGGGTTCCAGTATCACCATTTTTAAGGCATTCTAGACTTTGACTGGAAGCCCAGGAAAGCCGAATGATTCAATGTCTACCAACATGCGTCAGTTCAGGGTCTTTTTGGCTAATTCTGACAGGTCACCCTGGACAAGCACCCTCTACAGTACCAGCCCTGTGAGTGAAGCCAAATCCGGTTTTGGCATTGGATGGGAAATCGTCATGGGTCCCCCCCCTCCCCCATCCCACTACCTCCATCCACACTACCAAATGAGTGATGGACACTCCAACGTCATATTACCCAACAACCAGCCTTCGCTATGTTTGAGGTCACGGAGAAAAACCATTGAATATGAACTCCCCTTTTCATGACCGCGGCAGTGTTGCACACAATATCTCTTCCCATATTAACTGACCATCACCAGAAAGTTGTTTTCTGTCTGATCGTCAAATTACCACAATACAACTCACACAATGACGGGAATGGAACGAACAAGAGAGGCCTTCCACCTCATGACCACCAATAAGGTCCCGAAACTGAGGCGGAAACTTCAAAAATCTGTCTCCAAGTCAAAACGCACCGACGAACCGAGGAGGGTGGTATCAGACACATACAGCAAGAGAAAATCCTCAAAACACCACATCACCACTGCCGACATCAGCAGTCCCATCACAGCTACACCACCGCTTTTACCTCCTGTGACAGTAACACCAGGAATCAGGGAGCCGGAATGGTCAGAATACCTATGGCACTCTCCTCCGCGGACACCTCCTCGGCCTCGACGGTACGACAGGAACCAACAGCCACAGACACAACCAGAACCCAAAGAAGATATCCCAAACCCCGATTCACCCGTCAGGATCATTCCCGAGCTCTCCCACCTCGCCATCAGCGATGCCGACCGCCGGGCATCTATGAGCAGTGGTGATCCCTCGTCCCCGGTCTCTCAAGGCTCACCAAGACGCTGTGCAAAGACACCCATCTCCTTCATCGGCCAACTAGAAAGTGGAAACATTCCCCGGCCACGAAACGCTCTAGCAGACGAGAAGCGGTCCAGCGTTGCACAAATCGCCGAGGAATCTCGCGCCCTTCTGGAATCTCGCAACTCCTCCATCTTCTCCCACGCCCGCTCAGACCCGACATATTCCAGAGAGCAGCTGAGGAGACAACAAACCACCTCATCCTCACGACGGGCCCAGTCCCAACCACCAATTTCACGAATGAACACCACTCGCAACCGTCAGGTTTCAGTCGGGAACGGAAATGGCCACCGCAACAGCCACACCGGCATTCACAATTTGGAGCTCGCTCCTTCAGCACTCAACATCTCCCCTCGACTCTCCTCTTTCACAAAACCACCAACAACGCCCAAAACTCCTTTACGACCGCAACCCTCGCCGAGATCAGACAACGGCACGCTAGTATCCTTCGACGATGAAACCGTTTACTTCAAACCCGACTTCGCCTCCCTTCATTCGCCCTCAATCTCCGACTTCCCTCTACCATCACCTACTCCGGCACCAATAATCCAGAAAGATCTCTCCCTACAAATTTGTCTCGACCTTTTGACCAGAGACCTATCAGCGCATTTGATGCCCGGTTTGAGACATCGACAAAACCGGAACTCGACGGGGGGGAAGAAGGAGGAGAAGTTGTCGACGGAGACGTCAGCTCTTCAAGTGTGGGTGATGATTGAGGGGTATGAGAAACTCCGGGAAGAGTTGCTCCAGGAAGGGAAGTTTGGGGAGGTGGATGGGCAGCAGAAGGAGGCGGTGAAAGCCATGTTGGAGACGTGGTTGAGTGCGTTGTATAAGATTTATGATGAGTTGAGTGAGGAGGCTTTCGAGGTTAGGGATGATAACGGGAGTGAGTGTAATTATAGTGGGGATGAGGATGGGTATGTTTCTGAGTAGAGTGGAAGAGAAAGAAGGGGTTTATGATTGACAACTGAACTGGTGGTTAGACTTGGCATTGGGATGGAGGACAAAGGGACCGGAAGGATTGCAAGGATTGGATAAGATTATACCCTGGAAACTGGAAAGACAGATGGATGCATTGGGTCGGAAGTTTGGAGTTAACTGGTTATGAATTAAGATTGCTTTCGGTATTCTAGATAGCGGATAATAGATGGACAATGATTTAGCGTTCAAATCTTCTCCTTAGCCCTTTCGTGACCACTCCTTGTTACATGACCGCTGCACATCTCCCGAAGAGCTCGCGATGGCGAAAAGAGCATCAGGGGAATGTTCACCCTCAACCCCAACGAAGTGTTCGATCCTCTCCACCATCACGGCTATGGTAGCCGGGCTTTCGCCTTGACATCCGTTCCGAGCTGTACATAGTACTCTTCGACATTATGATCGGAGATAGTTGTCTGTCTACTTATATACTAGTTTTATCACATCACGGTTCTTGCCCATAAATGGTATGCTGAAAAATGAAGGGTTTGTTTACATTCATAACATATTCACTGACGTCATTGTCCCTTTCGTGGCGTACTGTGTAATCAAAATGGCGCTACTGTATTACACACTGTCCCCGCATCGCGACCACTGCATCTTCAATTCTAGGCTTCCCCAGATCTTGGCGCATCCATCTCCATTTCCATCATCACCGAATTCGCGATTGTTCGTCGCGTATTGGCTCACCATACTAAACAAAATGGACGACGACTTCGACGACGCCGACCTCCTCCAAGCTCTCGCTGCCTCTGAAGCAGCAGCAGCAGCACGACAACAACGCCAACCCCAACGTCCACCACCACCACAACAAGCACCACCACCAGGCCGCGGCGTCGTCCAACCTACCCCCCAACATCTCGACAAACCTCCTCCCTCCAACTCCTCCTCTTCTTCGTCACGAATAATCCAACCAACGCCCCAACCTCTCCCCGGCGGCGTCGCTGTCCCAGGTGGCGCCCGCTCCTCATCCAGCTCCTCCATCCTCGTCTCCCCGCGCCAAAAAGGCAACCCAGTTCTCGCATCCATCAAATCCACCGCCTGGGAATACAGCGACATACCCTCCGACTACGTTCTCGGCAGCACAACCTGCTGCTTATTCCTCTCACTCAAATACCACCGTCTCCACCCAGAATACATCTACACGCGCATCCGCGCCCTCCAAAACCGATACTCGTTACGAATTCTCCTAACACTAGTCGACATCCCCAACCACGAGGAACCTCTCCGCGAGTTATCCAAGACATCGCTAGTGAATAACGTAACTGTTATTCTCTGCTGGTCAGCGCAGGAAGCGGCGCGGTACCTGGAACTTTACAAAAGTTATGAACATGCCAGCGCTGCTGCGATTAGAGGCCAGACGAAGAGGACGTATGCGGAGCAGATGGTGGAGTTTGTGACGGTGCCGAGGAGCGTTAATAAGACGGATGCGATTGCCCTGGTGAGCACGTTTGGGAGCTTGAGGAGTGCTATTAATGCTACGACTGGGACGGGGACGGGGGCGGAGGGGGAGGAGAGGTTGGGGCAGGTGCAGGGGTGGGGGGAGAAGAAAGTGAAAGGGTGGAGGAGGGCGGTGGAGGGGGGGTTCAGAGTTGGGAAGGCGAAGGGGAGGAAGGCTGTGACTGATGATAGTGGGGGAAAGGGGAAGGGAATGAGTAAGGTGCTGGAGGAGGCGGTGGATGTTGGACTTGGAAGGGTGGTTGGTTCGGAGAGCGGGACACAATCACGGACGCAGACACAGGCACGGCAGCAGGGGACCGGAAGTGGGACACAGAACAGGGCTGGCACTACCGGACACAGGCCGGAGGACGATGATCTGGATAAGATGGAGACTGTTATGGCTACTTCGGGCTCGACCTCCACTACTGCCGCCGTGGCTGCTCGTAGACGAGAGGAAGAGGAACTCGGCGGTGGAATTGCTGCTGCGTTGGCGAAGTTGAGACAAGGAGGTTGAGGTACACCAACCAAAACTTCCCCAACACGTTTGTTTGGGTGCCATGAAAGAAGAGCGTGTCTGTTACACCCAAGCACGCGGAAAGAGTTACTACGGGCATCTCTTTGAATCTTCTTCTATCGACGACATGACGGACGGAATATCTTTACTCGCCGTGCTGACGGTGCAGCGCTTAAATACTAAGCCATAGTGCAACTTACTCAGCATTCACACCAGAAGCATCGGCACATCGGTCAACAAAGCAACATCTTCGCACCCGGTTCAATGTCATCCCAATGATCTTACGAGTATGTCCCGACAGTCAAAACACCACAGCAACACCGTTACCCCTCACAAGAAATGTGCGGCACCTTGCGGCTCGCTGCAGGTCCGGGACCACAGACCACAAGAACATCTTAACACAACGTCCAACATCCGCGTGGGCACGAAGGACAACAACAGATGACGGTAAAGTCATGCACAGAACACCTGTCTCACGACAAACTCGAGCGGCATGCCTTCTGGGCTGTTCGATAGACTGAGCCATAAGGCCCAAGACTCAGCCCTTCTTCTATGTCTCTGTCTTAAGAGTATGTCAAAATCAGACGAGTGACCACGTCTAAATTACCAGACATATCAAATGCACTCAAATGCACGACCGTTGGGCCGTTTACGCAGCTAGTATCCAACCACCTGTTTACGCACGCTAGTATGTGGGTAGATGGTTTAGGAAAATGCATCATTTGGCCCTGGCAGCTGGATTGATTGATATCGTTGGGTGTCGTTTGGAGCAACGATACACGACATCTCGTATGTATTGTGTTGTTGTATGCGATGGAACTCTGGACGGGTGCTCTAGTTTGGAGCATACAAACCTCCTTCGGACCTTTTCCATCCTGACTCCAGGTTACAATATTTTCATGAAAAAAACAAGAATCGGGTACCTTTCTATACCCGGTATTGGCACCTCGCTTTATATGGTTCAGTCGAAACGTCGTTAAGCGGTCCATGCTGATCTCCAACATCTCTAGCGGTCATGATGATGGCGGGGGCTGGAGTTGGAGTCTGTGGGACTCTTGTCTCACCTATAGTCTCTGATATACCGCTCTTATACCGACTATACCGACAATCTCCTACCAAACCGGAAGGTCTTCGCAGATCGACCAATTAGCCCAATAAGGTCGAGTTCAGCTTGCCTTTAGCACCCCAACATAGCATGAAAATAATGCTTCAGACAAACCATAACTCCGGAAGGGATCTGGGCTTTGGGGACATTGATGTCAAGATATCTCCAGATCCCTTTCCTATTTCCATTCCCGGTTCATTTCCCCGCCAAAACACAAAGCCCCGTCAGTCCTGTGTATGCACATCACTCAGCTTTGCAGATCTTTTTCCAACCTTGGCGGTGCAGCTTTCCTCTCGTCATGAATTGACACAACCACCCGCCCGCCAGTTCTACAGTGTAGGTAGTATTTGGTGAAAGCAGATGAGAGGGGCACGGGACAATGCCTCTTGATGCCTTTAATCCTACTCTGTTTAAATTTCTCAGACATTGAAGATATTAACCAACCTTCACGACTCCTCAGTATCGTCAATGGAGAAGGTCGAACACGTTCAAGTCAAACCGGCCGCAAAGCCACCCTCATGTAGGAGACTGCAAGTTGCACCCAACAACGAGATGCACTGCATTGTCCTGCATACAACCCAACGAACACAGCGCGATATGTACCGGTATGCAGTGTAGACACTCAGACATCCAGACATGCATCCGCATAAGGCACATGCCTACCTCGTCTCCTCGTCTACCCGATTGCCGGCCTCCTTCTCCAACTCCAAACAATACCCCAATTGGCCAAACCAAGAAATGATTGACCCCTTATGACATCTGGACATCCAGGAACTGGTTGTCGTTCCTTCCCAGATTCAGTTCTTGTAGTCACTGTCTCTGATGCCACCCCTTAAGAGTCAAGACCCCATGTCAACAAAGAGGAATGCTTGCTGTTGTTGATCGATGAATCGGTGTGAATAGACCGAGAGATATTTTCCCCTCATTCCTTGGACCGACCCGAGCGACCCCAAGATGGATGGGCCTTGGCTTGGCAGATTCGAAGGAAACCGAACCGAGTATATACATCATGCACCTCCCACCTCCTGGGCCTTGCTCTTCGCTTCGTGCCTGGACTGCACTGCACGGCCACGGTTGAACCCCCTCTCTTGGTTTGTCACCTACCTACAGACCAACCTCCGCCTCGTTTCCTGAGTCTTCTGCAGAGTGACCGCGTGGGAATCGCCTCTTACCTCACTGTTTACCTCAGTCGTTCGTTCGTTGACTGACACTCAACTCACTCATCATCTTACTCGTGCGTCTTCGTTGTCTTGGCGAGCTGCGGTTTACACGAGCCCCCAAGGTCCACTTTCGGGGAAGACCGTTGACAAAAAAGGTCACTGTTTCCCTTCAACAAGACCAATTGAGGTCTGATGCTCACGAGCGTTGTTCCTGGCAACATCATGTATCCCAAGACGGCAGCGTTCCTGGCGGGTGCCTTGACCCTCACCCTCACCCAAGTGCACATGGTCACTGCAACACCCTTCCCCCAACCTCAACCGCAACCTCAACAGAAGCACATCGGGACTGTCGACTCTAGCTCTGCTGCAGCTTCGTCTCAAGCTGAATCTGTCTCAAACCAGGGGAGACGAGATGCCGTCAAACAGGCCTTTCGGATCTCTTGGGATGGTTACTACAAATATGCTTTTCCGCATGATTCGCTGAAGCCGGTGTCGAATTCTTGGGAAGATGACCGGTAACCTCCCCCTATCACTTCCCCTTCTCATCTCCTTCCCCCCTTCTCGCCCCTATCACTTCCCCTTCTCACCCCCCTTCCCTCTCACCCTCACTATCAAGATGCTCATACAATGCACAGAAACGGCTGGGGCGCCTCGGCAATCGACGCATTCTCCACCGCCCTCGTCATGCGCGACTGGCCTGTCGTCTCCCAAATCCTCTCCTACGTCCCCAAAATCGACTTCACCACAACCTCCACAGAAATCTCCCTCTTCGAAACCACCATCCGCTACCTCGGCGGTCTTCTCTCCGCCTACGACCTGTTGATGAGCCCTCCTCTGGTCTCCGATCCCGATTTCAACTTCACCTCCAAACAAACAGACGCTATCCTCTCTCAAGCCATCTCACTGGCAGACGCACTGTCAGTGGCATTCGACACACCCTCCGGCATCCCCGATAACGTGCTCGTCTTCGACCCGAAAACCGGTCCGAGGAGGGTTGGTCAAAAGACCAACGGCATAGCTACCATTGGCACCTTGGTGCTGGAATGGACGCGTCTTTCCGACCTCACTGGCAACAGCACCTACGCGCGACTTGCCCAGCGCGCGGAGTCCTTTCTGCTGAACCCCCAACCTAAGGCCATTGCGGAACCTTTCCCGGGCCTGCTGGGAACAAACGTTGATATCTCCACGGGTCTATTCGTCGATAGCTCAGGCGGCTGGGGCGGCGGGACTGATTCGTTTTACGAGTACTTGATCAAGATGTACTTGTACGACCCAGACCGGTTTAGTTTGTATCGCGACCGCTGGACACTGGCTGCCGACTCTTCGATAAAATACATCGCTTCGCACCCTAGTACCCGCCCGGACCTAACTTTTCTCGGAGGCTGGCGCAACAAGACCCTTCGCTTTTCGTCAGGACACCTGGATTGTTTCGACGGCGGCAACTTTATCCTCGGCGGGCTCACCTTATCTTCCTCCAAATATCTGGAGTTTGGTCTCGAACTAGTCAAGTCCTGCGCGGAAACCTACAGTTCCACAACCACAGGCATCGGCCCCGAACTTTTCTCCTGGCAAGACTCCCGCACGCCGCTAAACGCCAGTAACAACCCGGTCCCTCCGTCAGCTGAAAAAAAGGCATTCTACGAGGAAAACGGGTTCTGGATTACCAACGGACAATATGTTTTGAGGCCGGAAGTCATTGAGAGTATGTATTATGCGTGGAGGGCGACTGGCGACGAAAAATATAGGGAGTGGGCGTGGGCGGCTTTTCTCGCGGTGAATGAGACTACGAGCGTTGAGGACAGGGGGTATAGCAGCGTGGATAATGTTAATGAGAGGGGAGGGGGGAGCAAGACGGATTTCCAGGAAAGTTTTTGGTTTGCGGAGGTGTTGAAGTATTGTTGGTTGATTTTTCAGGATGTGAGTTGTTGCCCTCTGCCCTTTTTGGTCTCTTTCCACTTTCTCTTTATCCCTCTCCCCCTTTTCAAGAGGATCTGCTTTGTTGCCACGACTGCCATTGTTATGGAGAGGAAGTGGGGGGAAGTCAAATGTGAGGAATATGCTAACAAGCAAACAGGAGGACGACCCCTGGCAAGTCAAGTCTGATCGCACAAACCAGTTCGTTTACAACACCGAGTGCCACCCCCTCAGGTTGGCAAAGGGACGTGAGACCCAGCCCTCTTCTTCGTCGTCGGGTTCTGGTTCCAGTTCCGGTTCCGGGTCAGGTTATGGCTCAGGCGGCGACCGGGGCGGAAAGAACAATGGACACGGCCACCACCAAGGTGGACACCAGGAAGGGCAAGGTGTGTGGAGGTATGGAGATGACGACGGGTATGGAAACGGGAAGGGGAGGGAGAAGAAGAGGTTTTCTGGTCCTAGGCATGCGTAGGTGGTGTACGTACAGGGTACATGTACCATAGGTGGTGAAGGAGGTATGTAGCTGATTTGGATATAACGTGACAGCGAATAGTATACGAACGTTCCTAAGCATGGATATCTGTCTGTTGATGAGTGAGTGTCGACTCGAGCCCACAATTGGAAAGGTCCAATCAAGCCTCAATTAGTTTCGTATCCACCGTGTCTGGAAAGCCATGTATATATGGATGGGTGCGTCTAGGCTGTTGGCCGTAGGTAGGTGCACGTCGGTAAGGTCCATATGTCTCCCCTACTTACTTCCTATCTACCCTTTCCATCGCCAAAGACCCCCTCGTTTTTTCTTATTTAGTACCAGGAAGAGCGCAAAAGCAAAGGAAAATGCCAAATGGCATTTCCAATGTCTTCAACTATCTAGCAACAGATCAAAAAAGGGCAAAAAGCTCGGTCGCGCCTAAGACTGTGTTGGCATGCGCCAGCTAACCTACGAAAGACCATTGCCAACGAGATAGCCGGTTTTCATCAACGGGGTCGGTACATTTAACCACTGGGCCATGAGACCACTGTGGGCCCTTCCGCTGTGCTAAAGGGGTCGGATGGCGGACCTTATATGGTGCCTGTGCCTGTGCCTGCGGTAGGACAGGGCACCTTGGCTTAGTGCCGCCATGCCGGGCGGCCGGGGGACGGGGTGAAGGGGTGAAGGAGGGAGGGGTTCTGTCGTCCAATGTTTGCGGCAGTGGTAAGGGTGCCGTGGGCTGAACGTTCAAGGTTTTCACATGGGTTTACTTGGGTTCACAGAATAGACGATGGCGGGAGCTCAGTTTGACAAAGACACTCAGTCCTATTCCTTTGCTGAGGCCATCGTCACTTCTTAACGTCCGCAACTCCTGCTCCAGACTCTGACCCCGACCCCTCTAACTCCTGCCTCTCCCACGTCCTCCTCTTCGCCTCTTCATCAGCAGCCCTCGCCGTCGCCACAGCGTCCAATTCCACCCTCGGGTCCATGAAGTTCTCGCTCGGATGCTTCGCAATCCTTGCTCGCGCGGTGTGAATGGCGTCAAGTTCCGCCTTAGCTTCCGGTGGGTCATTATTCCCAAGGGCGAGAACCTTTGGTTCTGGTGGTGGTGGAGCAGGTTGAATGCGAGGGTCTTGACCCTTCTTGTGTAGTAAGTGAACAATTCGTCGGCGAGTTGCTTTCGCTGTTCGTCGCGCTTGTCTCTTTTCCTTCGACGGTACCAGATCCCTATGGCAGCTGCTAGGAGAACTAGGACTGGAATGACCACGCTCAATATGACGATTCGTCCTGTTGGTGTCAAGCCAGATAAGTCAGAATCTGATTTTGATCCGCTGGTAATTTGGTCAGACGGTTGGCTTGACTCTGACTCCAATGGCGAAGTAGAAATGGCCGTCGAGGCCGTTGTCCTCAGTTCCGTATCCCCAGTCACTGTATCACTCTCGACGTATTTATCTGAGCTCGTCACAGTATTCCGGTCTTTTTCACGCCAAACCAACTGGACAGCGGGGGCTTGGCTCGTTGCGGTCGCGATAAGGGGCGGGTCGAATACCGGGCAGCGAGGCAGACACTTGGCGAAATCGGCATTGGTGACGATGGCGGAGTATTGGAAACTTGTTGATCCTTCTCCGTCAAAGTTCGTTTCGCAGCCCCATGCTCGGTAGGTGCCTGCTTCCATTCTGGAGTAACACATGGGCGCAACGATTCGAGTTGGCTCAGGGAGGTACGTTAGTTCGAGGTTGAAGCCACTGATGATACCAGAATGCTAGTTTCTGGTTGTTTGAAGTGTTGAAAGAATCGGAAACTAGAAGCTTTGCGTTGTTCATGTTTTCACCGACTTGCCTCGGACAACAAAACCCAGCCGTCTCCCCCGCTTCCAAGACGTTGACAATATTTCCCACCCCGCCATCTTTCTCCATCTGGCCATGACTGATGGTAGGACCTGCGTTGTCCATCCACCCGGACAAGCTAGGCCCAGCGAGTAGAAGCCCCATGGCGCTTCGGCGTTGGATATAGCATTTGAGGCTTGTGGGAGACAGGATGCTCGCGGTGTGCCCAGGCAGTCCTCCGCATAGGCTCTACACGTATTGCCACGCTTTACGTCCAGCAACTCGTAACATGGTGTACAGTCGGAAGGAGCCGTGAAGGTTGTCGTCAGAGGCCCGAGGACAGATCGTGTAAAGGAGGCGGCGACCAGGGAAGTTGATGATGCTGAAGCTACGGGCATGGTTGTCAGATTTGGCGTTTCTGGCGGAGAAAAAGAAGGAATGGAAGAGGGATTCGACTCACATTGGGCCCTGCGATTGACGAGAATGATCCCTTTCCTATAAGACTTTTCCTTTCATGCCATGAAGACATGGGTGAGAAGACAAAAGGGCATTGTTGGTAGTATTCCTAGGTTCAGTCTCTAGAACGGGCCGCCACGTCGGCGACCACCCCAGCTAGTGCGGCCCGAGGGTGTGGTTCATGATGGCCAAGGTCTAGTCAACTGCCTATTCTGGCTTCGTGTGATGGTCTGTTGGTGACGATGTCGGAGGGTTTGCATCTGGGGGGGGGCTTCTTCCTTGCATGTGGTGATAAAATTTTCGAGTGTTAATGCGCACTTCCACAAGGAATCAAAGCCACTCGGGAATATGTGGATGGAGTTGTTAAACTGGGTTTTGGATCTGCAAGGAACCGCCAGCTGAGGACTGAGTCACGATCCCTTGGGAAAAAAATGAGAAATGAGCAGATCTGCGAGACCGATAGTCGACGGTGAGAAATATGATCCGATGTCGCTGATGTTCATCATGATGAGGAAGTTGAGTTAGGAGAAGGAAGCGGGAATTCGAGAAAACGAAAAATTGGGAAACCCAAAATCATTCGAGCGCAAACTCGCATCCCGTTTCCGTGGTTGTTCCTTCCCTCTTGCCATTCCCACTCCGGCCGGCTCCTTCCTCGTCACATAGAATAGAACATTACATATCGCCAACAACAAGAGCGATAACAAGATCAGAGCACCCCGTTGAAACGATGGAAACTTGGAAGTGCAGGCCTGGAAACGAGAATATCAAGAACAAACGCTACTAATACAGTGGTATCATAAACTCAACCAACTCAAACTATCACCCATTATTCCCTCCACTTCGCCCCAAGTATCTTTCGACATTGTGTCTGTAGCAGACCAAAAACAGTAGCAATGAGCAAGCAAACCAAACACATACTCAGGTGTCGGGATATCAAAAACCAAAAGAAAACGCACTCCTGCAAAAACCACTCCCCAAAACAAATATCAAGCCCGTTAAGCTTGGGCTGACTAGCCGTAGGAGTAGGAGCACCACTACTGCTCATAAACTCATCGGCAGTAACGAACCGATCCAACCCGGGTCTGCTTCCCAAAGTGCCCGGCGTGCCAGGAGTGAGAGGAGTAGGCAACGACATGCCTATTCCCCTTGTGGCGTCCAGTGGTGCGGTGGCATAGTTACGAACTTCGGCTTCTTGGGGGACAATTCTCTCCGCCTCCTCCTCCTTGCTGTGTCCATTGACGATAACTTCATGCTTCAATGCACTCCCGCCAGCCTGTTTGCCGTCAACTTCAGCAGAGGCAAAGTCATCAGCACCGGGCATCAAAGACAAATTGTCCCTCGACGCACCAGCGCTGCCACTGGTACCCGGCGGACTTTGCAAGATACTTGTACCGGTCGTCATCTTACTCTTTCCACTCTGCAGAGTAATCATACTAGCCGTCTCGGCCTTCTTTCCCAGGCTGAACGGAGTTGCCAGACCATCGACAATCGGCCTCTTCCCCGTGGCTCCGACCTCCGGGGCCTCATGATGCTGTTCCTCCAGCTCTCCTTTGCGGTAAGCCAGAATCTCATCGATATGTGCCCTCTCGTGGTCTTCATCTTCTTCATGAGGGCCCGTCTGCCCCATATCCGCAACACTCTTATACCTCGACCCTGAGGCAGCAGACGGTCTGGTACCGAGACCAGGACGATCCACACCGGCGGCTGTCTTGCCCTGAACGCCGGTACCTTCCTGGTTCTCGATATCGGTGTAGCTCCTAGCGCCCTCGCCGCCGTCGGCGCCCTGGACGGTCTTGGTGGTAACATCCCGGTCTGCGGCGCGGTCGGCCTTTTCTCCGCGTTCCATGGTCATCTTGTCGTGCTTGCTGCCCCATACGCCCCAGAGTGACAGACCCCAACTCTTCTTCTCCTTCTTCTGGTCCTTTTCGCGGTGGCCAATCTTTCTGCGGCCTGCGAGCGCGGAGGGAGGGGGAACGTCGCCGCTGGGGAAGACTTCATAGCCGCCTTCGCGCATGTCCTTGATTCTCTGCTTGTGCACCTTGGACTTGGTGGAAGCAAAGCGGGAATCGAACTTCTTCTTGTGAGCGAGCCACTTGCGCACCGGGCCGGCTTTGATTTGGCCAATGGCGTTTCTGTCCATGCAGCAGGCTGGGAGGTCGGAATGTTCGGGGAGAGGAAGGATCAGGCCGGTGGTGGTGACGCGTTGGCGGATCATGTGGTGGTGGAAGGGCGGAAGGGGGTCGCCTGCTTTGCCGACGGCATTGGCTTCGTTCTCCAGTTCGGCAACCGTCTTGGCCCTCTTGTTCTTGACCTTTTTGTTGGTCTTTTTCTTGGGCTTTTGCTTTGGGTCTAGGTTCGGCTCAGTTGGGTCAACGGCGGGTGAAGGGATGTCCTCGTCAGATTCATCCCCGCCGGAGTGACCGGAGATAACAGAGACGTCATCATCGTCGAGAATGTCAATATCCCTCCGCTGAGCGCGGGCTAGTGCCCAGGCGCCGAATTGGGCGATAGCTCGGAACTGGTATTTCGCTGGCCGTGTGAAACTCAAAGTAGGAGCCACATGGCACAGGTCATCCCAGACTTGGAGCTGGACGTCGGTTGGTGGGTATTGCTTCAGTTGAGCCCAGGCGTGGTCGTCCATCATGGCGTCGGGTGGGAGGTATTTCTCGGGGTGGGCGCACTTGTGGGCCAGGTAAATCTGTTCGTCTCGCAAGATCTCCGCCCCGCCGGTCATAATCAGCAGAGGAGGAAGACCGCCGAGGGTCGGTTGCAGAACTGGGCTAACAAGTGGGTGGTTGAGCATCTCGTTGGTGGTGTACATCTGGATCTGCTCCTTGATATCGATCTGTTGGCCGTCGATCGCAAGTGACAACCGAGTAGGTTTGTCGACAACGTCGCCAATGGTGGGAATGCCGCTGTTGGAATCTGAACTGCCCTCCTTCACGCCGTCGCCCTTCTTCTGCTCGACAGCAATCTTCTTGAGCTCCTCCATCTCATCCTCATCAGGTGGTGGCCATGCCCTAGACGGTCTATGATGGAACCCATGAGGGGGGAATCTCCCGCGACACTGGGGAACGAATGTGTGAGATCGACCCAAGGACTGATCAAAACCGCACCAGCTGGCAGGGGAATGCCCTGGTCTCTCAGAATCACCAACAACGACAACACCATGCCACCACCTGCCGAATCGCCCGCCAAGATAATCGTCTTTGGCTCCTGCTGCGTCAACAAGTACAGATACGCAGCCAAGCAGTCCTGAATTCCACACGGGAACGGGAACTGTGGCGCCAGTCTGTACTTGGGCGCAAACGCTCTGGCCCTCAGCTTTCGGGCATGTCTCTGAATCATGAAGCGGTGCTCATTGACACTACCAAAGAAGTACGCGCCTCCATGAACATACAACATAACACGATTGCCCGGGTCGGCGTTTTTCTTGCGGTCTTCGTAGTCGGCCTTCATCTCGATCCACTCGGCCATCATGGGGCTCTTGGGTTTGCGCCATTGCCACCAGTCGCGGCCGCCGACGCGCTTGATACCTTCGGGACCGAGCTGTTCGTGGAGAAGGTTGGCGGCGTCTGCGAGTTTGTCTTGGGGGATTTCGACCTCGTCGACGCGAACCCAAGAAGGATGAGGGACCCATTGGCCGGTGAAGGCCTGGAGTTCTTCGACGGGCCGGGAGGATGCGAAGTCGAGGAAGGATCGGATTAGGTGGAGGCCTTCGTCGTAGGAGAGTCGCTCGGTGGGTTTTTGGCGGACTCCTTTGCGGTTAAGATACTGTTTTTGGGTCTGTTAGCGAGCGATCATGTGTGGATTGTTTTGGGTATGAAAAAGATTAAGGTTTCTTCCGGTGGTGGATGTGGATGAAAGAGGAAGTGTAAGATGGGATGATTCCGTTATGAATGCACGACTTACATGACTGAAGAGGGTGGAGACGACTGTTGGCGTGACGGCCATGCCAATCGTCGCCGTGTTTAGAGGAGGCATCTTTGCTCTCTGTTACTCTCGCCCTAATGAGTGACAATCAATGGTGTTTTATGTTTTCTTTGGAATGAAAAAGAGAGAGCACGGCCAAGATAGCTTAAATATCGGATGTCAAAGCCCGACGAAACTAAGGGATCAGGCTTGAAACGGGCTTCAAGGGGCTGGGCCTGTCACTGAAAAGGGATTGGTTGGTACCTGAACACACAGGAGAGGACGGGACAAGAACATGCAGTGGGCTGGAGCGCTAATTTGTTTGGGAAAGACGGGAAGGGTCAACCACTACCAAATGGGGAACATGATGTCATTCCCATCCATTCAGAGAAACAATCAACAGAACAGGAAAAGTAGCTTTATGAAATACTTACATAAAGTAACTCAGGGCCATGTTTGGGTCCGAGTTAAAGGGCAATCACATCTTGCCGCGTTGTGGATTAGTGGCACAGCGTTTGGTACTCAAGTTACACGAAAAGGGGAAAAGAGCAGCTTCAATATTGGATCAGATGCTGCCGAGAAATCGTGAAATGACGATGTCTTTTGAAAGGGAACGCTATTCGGCACTTGTAGCGCCCAGAGTTGGAAAATGTCCAGGATTGTTATGGCAGGCAAAAAGCTTATCCCCTTATGCTGTCAGGCACAAAGTCCGGGGTGCATAATGATGTGGGGGCACGGGCCACCTGACATCTTCCGTCAAACCAAGTGACAGGCGCCATTCTGCACGCGCGTGTCTTCAGTGGATGCTTCCAGGGGACCAAAGCCCCGCGTCACCTCGAGCTGCCTGCCACGCCGAAGCTATTCCTAACGAGTCCAGTCTTTTTTGTTTCTTCCATCTTCAACCGAGATCCCAAGATATATACACGTTATTCAACTTTGCGACACTGGTACTCTCCGTTCCCTCGATCATTGCCAGTCATCTTCTCGTGACCCAACAGCAACCAAACGGACTCTCTCCGAGCTCCAACAGCATTGCGTCGGTGTCACCTCAACACCCCGCAGACTCCAATCTCCAGAGCTGAGCAGCTTCAGTTCGACCTTCCAACAATCACCACCACCACCCGAAACCAACGTCGCTCATCCTCCACCGTAATCACATAGTCAACACCGCCTCGGCTCATACAACTATTCAAAATGGCGACCCAGTATGAAGGTACGCCCTCTCACCTCCTATTTCCCATCCGCCATCTCGCTCCCACAAGCTCCTCTCCTCCCGGCGCATCACTAACCATCCCACCCCTCCCCTCACAGTTGAACACAACATCAAGCCCTCCTCCTCGGGCCCCCGCCGCCGCAAAGTCGACATGTCAACCTTCACCTCGCATCTCTCCAACATCAACCCCGAGTCCTCCACCTCCTCCAGTTCTTACCAACATCACAACAACCCCCACGCAACCGCCAACCCCGTCGACCTCGCCGCCCTCTACCGCCTCGTGCAAGACCAAATGGGCGTACTGGCCTCTTCCGCACCCACCCCCGAAAACCGCTCCTTCCTCGAGTCCTTAGTCGACACTCTCCAAGAAGACGTTCTCCACCCGCCCACGAAAATCGAGGGCGTCTCGCAAGAGTTTCTGGACGGGCTTGACAGGGTAGACAGGAAGAAGCTGAAGGAGGACGAGCAATGCCCGATTTGCGCGGAGAGGTATCTGGATGATCAGTATTGTCTCGTGGTGGAGCTGCCGTGTCATCATAGCCATCGGTTTGACCTTGAGTGTGTGGGGCCGTGGTTGAGGAGTAAGGGGACTTGTCCGATGTGTAGGAAGGAGGTGGGGAAAAGGAGGGAGGTTGTTGTTGAGAAGAAAGAGGAGGATGAGGAAGAAGAGGATGATATGGATGGGTTGTATGCTTGAGGGGAAATGGGTAGATGGGCAGGATTGGAAAGATTGGAAGGGCTCAAAGGCTGGAATTGCGCTGAATGATATATATAAGGCGTTGAACTTTTGATCATAAAGAACGAGGAAGCAAGCATGATTTTGACGTCTATTAGGCCTATATGCCGATAGGAGTAGCAGTGCTGTTGTACCTGTATCCTCTCCCATGTCATCGATATAACGAAACAGAAGCCAGTAAACATGTGAAATCCCTTTCGTGTCTCATGATGCGTGATGCAGTCCATAACTGTCTTCTCGTCTTCCAGCATAATCCTCTCTGTCGGCCCATCCTCCATATTTCTTCAGCAACACCCTTCTCGGCCAAGCAGGTCATCTTTACCGGGCAGTACTGTTTCTCCCTGCCGGTCCTGTTGTTGTATAGACGATCCTGACCTTGCTCTCCATTATCGGCGCTACCCAGCTCCTACTGCTCTCCAGCCTTGGAAACATGGAATCCCGTCTCGTCTCGACCCATCTAAGCATCCTTAGCACTAACCCCCTTATCCTTAATCTCCTGATAATGCGTCTTCCCGCCCTTCTTGCTCCCCGCCGCCGGCCCTCCACTCTTCTTGCGATCTTTGCCCATCCCCGGCGTCTTGGTTCCCTTGGACATGTCGCCCTCGGTAGGGTTATCGCCCTGCGGCCTCGAGAACTCGCGGTTGGCACCCGAAGTCTCCAAAGGGTTGCCGTTGGACTCTTTGCCCGCTGACTCCGTCTCCCCGTTGGGCGACGTGTTCTTGGGGTCGAAGGCCGTCTTGTCCAGGTGCGCGATGTCGTCGTCTGAGGCGTAGCTGGAGCCTTCGGAGCGCCGAGGCTTGAGCGTCGTGCGGTCTTCGGCGAAGTCTTTGTCTGTGGACAAGGAGGGGGTGGGGTGGTAGGCGCGGGAGATCATAATGGGGGTGGAGCGGGAAATCATGGAGATGGAGCCCGTGGTGGAGGAGGTTTGGCTGTAGCTAACCCTGAGGAGGGTGCTGGCGCGGGTGAAGAGTGTTCGGGAAGCCATTGTGTTTTGGTTGTGGTTTTTGGTGGATGGGCTTATGAATTGGTTCTTTGATGGCTGTAATGCTCGAGGGATCCCTCTTGTTCGAGATTGTTTGTTTTGTTTGGATTGGACTGTGGTGGTGAGGGAGACGCGTTGACATAAAGTGTTGTTGTTGCTCGGTGTAAGTGAGGTGCCTTGATGCCCATCAGGGACAAGTGACGTCACCAGGTGCGAACGCTTCAAACAATCTGGGGAACTGATCGTTCCCGCTGTGGGGTTGATGAACGACAGTCAACTTTGACAATTCTGAATTCGGTTCAAGATCACGATTTGAGAAAGCAATTGGAATTTGAGAATGGCAGTGGCCGAAATCAAGTATGATATTCACTTTAAGACTTTGCATTTGATATCTGGACTTTCGAGCTTGTTCTGTCCAGCTCTTCCTCAACCTGTCTCCGGCACCTTCCCCGTCTCTTGCCTGCCGCAGCCAGTTACCTGCCACTGTCTGCCTGCCGGCAACACTTCTCTCACTTCACGTCCGTGCGCAAGTGCAATTTCCGCCAGGTGCAGGGAAGTTTGCACTCGTGCACGAGCCACCTCCCAACACCTCCCAAAGGGTATTTAATAAGGGCTCCCCTCCAACTTTCTTAGGATTTTCTTCTCTTTTCTTTTCTTCATACTTACCTTGGTTGACTGCGCGGAGCTCAAGAAAACCGCGTCGTATGGCGGAGAGCCTGCATTGCACATCGTGGTGCTAGCCGTCATGAATTGTCCTTCGGGGCCGTTCCGGCCGTAATTTTTGATGTCGAAAATTGCGAAAGCAAAACCAAAACCCTTTTTCACTATGTTCGTCCCTTGAGGGGGGCGACGTGGGGAAGAAGCTTCGTGATTTGAGTGCGGCGATGATAGATAGTGCTGTGCACAAATATGGGGAGGAGCAAGTGCTGTCGGTTTCATTTCAAGGTGACGGGAGTCTGTCACGGTCGTGATACTGAAAGTCTGCAACCGCGATGTCAAGTGTCGTCCATCTCCAGTCGCTTGTCGATGTCCATCTCGTAATAGTTCCCAATCTCCCTATCAACAGTCGTATCGACGAATTCCCTGACCCATCCAACTCCGTCATTCGGATCACCGGCACCGCAGTTCCTCGCAATCCACAACAACCCGTCGCATTGCGGTCCGTCATTGTGATGCTCCTGTCTTGGGTTTCAATGGCAAATCTCCACGTTTCATTCCATCTCGCAATCGCAAGCTCCATGTTTCAATCATCACTTATCTTGTCTCCATCATCTCCATATCGGCTCCACGGCCGGAGGTTAGCAACATCGGCTTGCAACCCTATCCCACGACATCACCGCCGAGACCCTTGTTCCGCAGCACGCATCGGTCTCTCCCGACGTCTCATATCCGTATTTAGCAGTTGGCTATGGAGGTTTGAATGCTCAATGGGATCATAATCACCATATCAGACTCGATATTTTCAACGGTTGCCAAGGCAGTCAACATGTTCTACCCACGCTTGCGACGCTCATCCACTCTAACCGTCATCAACCTAGAGTAAGCTAGGGGTTCATGGTCCCTTTGTTGTTTCCGGAAGATCTTTAGAAACAATTTCACGACTGTCTCAAGGACCAGGAGGGAAGGAGTCCGGCCGACTGGTTCAGATACGAGATGTTTGCCCTTGTCTTGATCCCTCGTCTTGGAAGTTCATGCTTGGACAGTGAAGCTATCGTGAAATTGGTTAAGCGTTTGTCCCAGACAGCTTGGGAAGCTATCTCAGATCGAGTCAAAGCATATCAAACTATTTATCGCGAGCATCCAGTCTAGTCGACTTTCAATCATCTCGGTAGCTCTCCTACCGAGTGCCAAGTGGTGGAAAATCCCCCCATGCAAACATCTAGCTAGGGGCTCATTACGCCAGGAGATCGCGAGACATGGGCGTTTCCATTTCCCCAACCCAGTTCATCGTGACCACAATGAATCAAGGTCGGAATGTGGGAGGAAACTAGCAAACGGGTCCGAGACTGGATGACGTACACCACGGGCATGGTCTACTTTCTTTTTCCGCTGCTTGTTCAATCGAGTTGAATTCGCGCCCGGAGTAGTGCCCGAAGCGAGCGATGAATCCATCGCTAATTTGGTCTCGCAGACTGCTATCATGGAGTTCAAGCCTGCCGGAAGTAGGTAGTTAGACACTTTGACAATGAGCCATTCGGCAGATATTCAAGGCTTGACATGGAAGTAAGCTACCAATCTCTGTCGAAACCCTCTCGGCTTATCCAGTGTTCTAGTGATGTGACTTGCTACCAAGGGTGGTAAAGATAGCAACGGGTCACGCTGTGATCGAAAGGATTAACATCTTGATGCCCTCGGCAGTTGTCAAACAGTGCTTCATGGAGATACGAGGAAGATCTTCCCTAGATATTTCCATACTCTGGGGAACCGAGATATGTAGGTTCTCCTTCTCTCTCTACCAAGAGTCACACCTCGGGATGATACCCTCACCGATTCTAAAGGCGCTGCCAATGGCATCAAGATGATTCCCGTTCTTCACGATCATGAGGTTTTCAACCCGGTTAAGGAACCTCAAAACACCGCTAGAGGGCATCTGGTATTTCAGGATGCGAATAGGCTGGTGTCCAAATAGTCATCTCTCCATTTCAGGTGGATCAATAACCCGTCGATCAGTTTTGTTAGGAAAGTGACGACGCCACAACGGGAAACCCGTCCTTCTACAATTGAGTAAGAAAAGTGACAGAAGCCAAAAATGGAAAGCTTCCAGAAAAGCGGTAGAACAGTGGACATTACCGTCAAAGAAGGAACAAGGGGTTCGAAACCAATCAAATCAATCACTTTTGCTTTCGACTTTCCTTGCGACCAACCACACACAAACGGGCCAGCCGACCAATTACCCCCCAGATCTCATTCAATCATTCAATCACGTTCACACACCTTCTTGGGGGCTTTCTCACAATCGGATTCGGAGGTGGCGGGCGTGGCGGGAGGCCATTCAGGCCAGGGGCGCGCGCGCGTGGCAGAAACGGAGAACAGAAACGGGCATAGATCGTAGCTCGCCACCACAGGAACTGCCAGGCGACCTCTTTGTCCGTTTCCAATCGGTGACCCTTCATGTTCCCTCCCCGCCTGATGATCCCATGCGGTGATAGCTACCTACTGTGTATGGGTACAGGCGCGATGCAACCCCTCCCCTCGTTTCAGGTTTCAGAGTGAACACAAAGAACACAAAAGATTGAGAAGCGCATTGATAACGTCGCGCTCATATCGCGCAAGAAATGTTATTTCTTGGTAGGCGCTGACCGAACCGGTTGGATGAACGACATGAACATGACCTCGGTGGTGATAACTAATAAAAACCATCAACAGGAACAGCAGGGAACCGGATGAGTGTTACCGTTTGGGACATGAGACGCGAGACGGATGAATGCACGAGATGTTACCTTGCGAACTGATATTGCTTGGTCGACGACAATGCGAACTTGCGAAAGAAATGTGACTAGTCAATGTCTCATAATCGTACGCCAATTGCTCACAATAAATCCTTCAATGTTGCAGCCACCCGTTGAAGCACGAAGCACGAGAACGGGTCCCTGCCGTTCGATGGATGGCTGGGGAGTTTGAGACTGCGGACGTGTGGTACTACATTCTTTGTCATCTGTTTACTTTTTCGACTAGTAGGAAAGAGTGATTTCGGAGCTTCGGACAGGCCATGATTATGTCGATGATGTCAAATTGTAAGCGCTTCTTTAGGTAGTTAAACAAAGCCCAACAAGCTAGTAACCTAGTCAGCATTCCTTTCTCTCAGAAAAATCACCCTAATGGTATCAGTATCACCGTCCGTTCGCAGTGTAGGTGACACGAAACCCATGTGTGATCCAGCGGTGGTTGTGATGGTTACACAAATCTGCACTTGCCACGCTCCCATAGATTAACCCTCTTCACCATCCCGCCGTTCAAACAGTCCATACAGTTGATAACTCGTGCATGATTTCTCGTGCCGTAGTTCGCACGTGGTAAGGCAAGGATGTTCCTATCCCGCCCTCGTTTCTGCCTCGTGTCGATTACAGCCGAAACCAGGAAAAACGCTGTCAGGTTTTGATGGATTGGATACCGCGGAAACGGCGGGAAGAAAAGATGAATTTTTAACAGATTTTTTTTTTGGTTGATGTGATCAACTGGGATTTTCGTATTTCAGGGGACCTACCTACTTAAAACACGTATACGGTTTCCTGGGTTAGTTGCGGTGAACATCATGGCTCATCAACATGGTGTGTGAAATGACGAGACGTTGTAATGATCGAATATAATCTGCGTGTCTGATGCCGATGATAAACCCCGGCGTGGTCCAGTCCGTTTCAGAGTAGAAGAATCAATGTCCGTTCGGTGCCGCGATGTTTCTGCCTTTGTCCTGTTGAACGCAGGTCAAACACATAACGTCGTGAACCGTCGAAAATAATGACTCGTCTTTTCAGTTCTGTGAAAATGTTTCGTCTATTTCGGTATCCATGCGGGGATGTTGCTGGTATATGCCGTGTTCTAGATGATATCGGTTTTGTTCGATGTATCCAGGTTGATGCTGTCTCCCGGCAGAAGAGAGAGACAAGACATGGGGAACCACGCACACAAAACGTGACAAGGTGTTGACCGAAGAAAACGGGGAAATGAACATGTTTGCGAGAAAACAAAAGAGAAGTGGAATCCAGGGTCCAACGGAATATCGACGAACTGGAGTTACCGGTGATGTGGTTACCTTGGTCCACCGCGCTTCTACTTTCCATCTTGTCGGAACCAAGAAGCACAATGCTACCACCGGCCGGGTTCGGACATGTCCGGCTGACGTTGAATCTTGAGGGAGATCCAACGGGGATAATCGAAGCGAGTGAGGTGAGGAGGATACCTATTTTGAGGCTTCAGCTCTTCCTGTGATTCCTGTCAGCTTGACGGCCGAGATGTTTTGCAGGTGAAAAGGAAATTGGAGAGGTTGCTTGGCGCTCATCAGAACACTGGAAAAATGGTTGGTGAGATGCGCTAAACCGAGCAGGGTATCAAACAAACTCCATCCGCTAAACTCGAAACAGTCCACTGTCCACGAGCTCACCTGGCGTCCATCCTGGCGATGCCCAGGCTCCTTCTCCCACGCGATGGCCACGCTCTGGCGGCGGGCACTTTCTGTCTGGGCATCACGCATTGCGCAGGGCAATTGCATTTTATCACACTGCCTTGCCTGACATGGAACCCGACATGGTTCTCACGCAGGACGCAGGGGCCGGTAGCCCTGAAATGTGTGAGCTTGTGATCATGTTCATGTTGCAATGCGACTGTGTTTGGTTTCCCCAGAATATCTGAGATGGAAGCCCCATAGCTGAAGATGGTTGGAATGTTGGGGGAAATAGCTTCAAGCCTCACGATCAAACACTGGCCGATATGCAGCATCAGCCTTTTCTTTTGCCATCAATGGACGGCCCGAGAATCGGCTGAAATTGCCATCCCATTTGCACTTTCTCTGGCTCTTCATTTCCAGATGACAGCGGACAAAGCTTCCACAAACAGGAAAGCGCTGAAAGAAGGAACAAGGAGCGCAGTGACATAGAAACCTGCAGTCGGTGGATCTGTGCGTGTCTCTCTCTCTAACAAACTCTTAACAGAAAGACAAAAGGGGGGAATTGACATGTCAACTCCAGTTTATTCAACACCACAGAATTCTTTAGAATAGGGGCATTTTGAAGGTCAGGTTATCATCATCATTATCACCAATCACAGCCAGGACTTTTTGGACCTCGGGGGGATCAAAGACATAATATCAAAAGACCATCAATGGTTGGCGGGCGCTGAATGGTGTTTATCTCGGGAGTGGATCTCCTATCCGTACCGTTTGCCCGTCCCCTCCAAAACATGACCTTGATGGTGGGCGTCGGCCACTAATTTGGCGCATGTCAGGGTACCCACGGAGTCTGCATTTTCAGAGGGCAACCACTGGTCACTGGTCATTTTAGCTGTAGCCTCCACAATCCACTGCACAGCAAGGACACCTACCCGACCCGACCACCACGACCGCCACGAACCACACCTTCCATTGTGTGTCTTGTCAGTTTTCTCTTCGTTGTTTCCCGTCCGTTGCCCGTGTCCGTCTTGTCCCCGGCCATCCACATTGCCATCCTGTCGCCGCCGTCCAATCCCATATACTTCCATTCCGTTTCGTGGTTCTCTCTACAGTCGCCTCTTCTGTTTCCGCGTTCCTATGAACAAAGCCTTCTTTTGCTGCTCACAACCACCGACACCCTGCTACACCAACTGAAAAGCAAACACAATCTCGACCAGTCACCCCAACCCAGCACTCGCAATTGACATTGACTTACGGGGTCCCCCCCACCCATTGCGGCACTAAAAAGAGAAGCTCGATCCCTCCACTAAAAACAAAAAGATAGACTATCGCTTGCCCTTCATCTCGGCCTACACCCCCCGTTCACCAAGAGACCCCGTTCCAAGACCTGGTTTGAGCCTGGAGCTTCTTCCGCTCATCTCCACTTCCAAGTCCTTGCTTGTGCCCTCCAGTAGTGCTCATCACATCTCCGGCTCTGTCCTCGCTTTTCCATCTTTCACGTTCACCCAACTCGAGGCGAATCGTATCGAATCGACGACGACGACAACGACGACAACCACCAACAACTGCCGTCCATCAGTTTCAGTCGAGTTTCGCAAGCCCCATATCCTCGCTCGCCAATCGCTTCCTCACCGCATCCCGCCATCGATACCAAATAACGTCGTTGGTCGCACACGATAGGTCCTAAGATTCAGGGTCCAGGCTTGTGTTCACCAAGCGCACAAAATCGACGCCGCCCCAGACAAGGCATACACTACACTACACGTACAGCCGTATCTGCCAGTCCATTGCGGTGGTCTCGAACAACGATCCTCCTTGACTTTTCGATTCGACCTCGCGATTCGCTGCGACCAGTCCGCACCGTGACGTAAACAAGCAGAAGGAACGAGGAGCTCAGCCCGCACCGCTCCACACACACGGATTGTGCGTCAGGAACGAAAGACGATATTGCCGCTTCGAACCGAAAGAACAAAGAGACCGAACTCGGGCCGTCCGCCGTACCTCAAAAAGTTCTTCGCTGCTGCTCGACTAGTGCCAAGACCTGAAACCCGAATAATCATTAATCTTGGGTTCCCACTTCGCGACTGAGGACAGACCCACCGCAGCACCACCACCAGGCAACACTTTCCAGCTATCAACAGCCCTTTCAGCTGTGCCCCGGCATGGACTGTATCGCCTAGTTTTTTTTATTCGATTTTATATATACTTTGAGAGAAGAAAAAGCCAGGCGCTTTTTGATCGCGTATAGAAAAGCTGTCGGCAGGGCGGGATGGGAAACAGCCAAGGAAAGCCCGTCGACCTTGACGGCGAAGGTAAGACAATAGATACCCTCCTTTTCGCTGTGATGGCCAATTCCAGGCTCGAGTTTCACGTGTCAGTCTTTGATGCCAAGTTGCGATGCTGACTAGACATGCGTCGCAGTGAACCTGAATCACTTCCGTCTCCTACGAGTAGTCGGCCGAGGTGCCTTTGGCAAGGTGCGCATTGTCGAGCGAAAAGATACCGGTCTATCATTCGCCCTGAAATACATTAGAAAAGATGAAGGTAGGCTTGTTCAACGTCGTGGAGACCAAGTCGCAATGGCTAACTCTCCCCAGTTGTACGGTCCGAGAGTGTTAGGAATATCATCCGAGAACGACGAATGCTCGAATATGTCAACCACCCCTTTATTTGCAACTTGCGATACAGCTTCCAGGATATCGAGTACATGTACGTTGCAACCAAAGTCGACATTGGCGGAAAAACAAGCTGACGGCGGACCAGGTACCTGGTTGTTGACCTCATGAGCGGCGGTGATCTACGCTTCCACATCTCGAGAAAGACATTTACCGAAGCTGCGGTAAGGTTTTGGATCGCTGAGCTCGGCTGCGCCTTGCGCTACATCCATGGGCAAAACATTATCCACAGAGACGTCAAGCCCGACAATGTGCTTCTGGATGCTGATGGACATGTCCATTTAACTGACTTTGTAAGCTCTAGACCCTGGACCCCTATTCTTGTGTAACCAGGCTAATAATATACGCTATCAGAATGTGGCCTCGGACGTTGTGCCGGGGAGAAAGCTAACCAGCAAGTCCGGTACCTTGGCATACCTTGCGCCAGAAGTCTACGCTGGCCAGGGCTACGATGTCCGTGCTGATTGGTGGTCATTGGGTGTTTTGTTCTACGAGTGCATTTATAACAAGGTACGTACCGGACTACAATGTCTTGCTGCGCCATCTCATTTGACAAGAAGAGAAGCCATGCTGACTCTATAAACAGAGGCCATTTGAGGGCAACTCTGAATCATCACTCAGCCAGACTATCCAAGCCGCCAGCCCCAAATTCCCCGTCACACAGCCTCCCGTCCAGCTAAGCTGTATGTACGCCATAAAGGACGCGTTGGAGTTCAACCCAGACAAGCGTATGGGTCACACCTGGGAGAGCTTCATCTACCACGAATTCTTCTCTGTCCTCGACTTCGACGCACTCGAGAGGAAGCAAATAGAGCCTGTGTTTGTTCCGTCATCAGAGAAGACGAATTTCGATGCTACATACGACTTGGAGGAGCTTCTGTTGGAAGAAGCGCCACTAGAAGCCCGGGCAAGGAGGCAGAAGCCCCGTGAGAAGCTAAAGGATGACGCCACAGAGAAGGAAATCCGCGAAGATGAGCTCTATCGGATGATTGAGACGGATTTCAAACCCTTCGATTACACATTAGCTGCCTACAAGAAGTATGTCCCACATCCTCTGCGCTCACAGTTATTATACTAACAAATCTCAGAATCACCGAGGGACAAGTCTCGACACCCAACGGCCATCCTGCCCCCGTAACAGACGAAAGCGCCCACCCGGGACAAGCACTTACAACGGGGGAAGCGACTCAGATGAGCTCACACGCGCACTCGCACTCACAAGCGGTCCAAACCCACCACCCCAACGGCAGCCGCTCTTCCTTCAACCCTCCCAGCACTCACAGCGGGCAACAAGGTCCGGACCGAACCGCCCCAGTGCGAACGAACTCGATGCTGAAGAACCCGGAACGAAGCAACTCGATGCAAAGCGTCCACTCACATTATCAGGCCTACAACGCCTACGACTCGCAACGGGCTGCCGTCGGCCCTCGACCCACTAGTTCGCACCGCCAAGGTCGCAGCGGCGCCGTTCCGCCTGGTCGTGCTCCGCCATTGCCTCCTTACCCTCAGTCCTACACCACCTCAGGTCGCCAGGGCCGAGCACACGGATCGTCATCGTTGATGGTGGAGAGTCCGACGGGGGGTATGCAGGTCACGCTGGATGGAGCAGGCAGCTGGAGCGATTTGGCGAGACAGGATGCCACCCTTCCGGCGGATGCGGCGGCTGCACATGGTGAGGGGGCGAATGGTGGGAAAGAAAGTAGTGGAGGTGGAGGGATTTTTGGATTGTTTAAGGGGAAGAAGGGGAGGGGAAGCAGCCCGAAGCCGAAAGAGAGGGGAGTGTTGGGGAAGGAAGGGGCTAGGGTTGTTATTGGGTAAATAACTTGAAGCGGGGGATGGAAGGGACGAAGATGAGGAGAAGGAGGACGACGTGGAGGAGGATGAGAATATACGGCCGTATATAAGGAAGGTCTTTAAAGCGAGGACGGACATCCAAGGAGGCGAGGAGAACGTGGAGGAGGGTATATCAGGAGTTCGGTACGGTCCGGGTGCATACATCATCATCATCATTCATCTTTCCACATTTATGTCTATGTCATACATATCATCACATCGTCCATTTATCAGCGTCATGTTGAAGGGAGTTGGCTCATTGGGAAGTTCACATGGGGAGGGCGGGCGCAAACGGGATATGGATCGGGCCCACGCTATGAATGGGGAAACATCTGAAGAACCGTTACAAATGTTCGAACAAAGTATAATCAAATCCAAGACTATTGGAACTTTGTTTTGGAGCTCGGCTTTTGCCTCTGTCAGGATTCATCCATTGCTTCTTTTTTCTCTCTTCACGTTGTTTATCTTGCAAGATATCTTGATACCCAAATACAGAATAATATCCGTAACATTACTGCTCCACGCATACGTTAAGGAACAGTACCATACTCACAATGGTATTGCCAAATCTCAAGAAGACAGAGCCGCAACTCACCGTCGGCCTTTTGCATTAACATCCTGCGATCGATCTTGGCCCATGTCAGCTAGCCACGTACCACCTGGGTATCGTACCCGTGCAGTGAGGTGTCGTTGGTCTTATGTTTGTTCTGACTTTACGCCACTAGGGTCTTCACATCCATGATACTTGATGGATACTGTTGGAATCCAAGGTAAATATAGAAACAGCTTCATCGCGTAACTCAGATTCCACTAATGGGGCTGTCCAGAAAGAAGCCGAAGTGTTTGTTGTTGAGCTGAAGAAATGGGTAAAGAGAGGCCAGGACGGATGTGGATCGAGCTTTTGGCATAAGCGTTTAGGTAGGTCGTGCTATTATCCCTTAGTGTAACATGACCAACATCCAATCCACATAAGACGAACCACGATTTCCACTACTAACAACAACAACAACAACAACAACAACAAAACACTAGAACTAATGGCTTTTGAGCACAGTCGTCAAAAACCACAATCGATTCAACGACTCGACGTCTGCGGTCTGCCAGCTTTCTTCGGGTCTATCTGTCTCGTTACTCTCGTATGGGATCTTCAATGGACATGTCTGACTTGAGTCAAACTCTACTGCGTCCCTATCTTTATCGGCCAAGAAGATTCAACACACACATTCTGTGGACAGAATCAACCAATTACGAAGGACCGCAAAGCTATCCCAAAAGCGCAAGTGGTGAGGCAGTGAAAGCCGTACCGAAAGTGGGCCAGATCTCCAATATTGATTTTGATGGCTTTGCTCTGTGTAACCACGGTGGCCAGCGGCCGTTTGTGGCAGCCTGGCAGGCTCAAACAGGCGAATGAGGATGGTCAAGTGAATCACAATGGACTAAAACGGACCAGCTTCGACAATTATGCTGAATGGCATACGGCGAGGCACTGAAGAGCAGGCATTGAAAAGCCTGGGCTGATGGCTGAGGGTCCGACGGTTTGCATTCAGGTTTTGCAGAAAGAATGGTCAAGAAAATGAGTCGCTGTCAATCAATGCCCCCGAGGCTTTTAGAGTCTGAAGGCTGGATTTAGGCTCGGAGACTGCTCCGATGCCCGGTTAGACTGACAGGCCGTTTCCAGGCAGTTTGTTCTCTTTATGTCAAGCAAGGTCACTCAGCTGAGGAAACGTTTCCCCTTCACCATCTCGAATCTTGGAATCCCAAATATCGTTGGTTCACCCAAAACTGCGTCTTGAAGTCATTACCGTCATCACATGGAAAGTCAAATGCGGAGAACTCGGAATCAAAGTCCTAGCCGAGCCTGGAAACAGGGACTGACACGCTGTAAGAAACCGCTAGTGGCCTTCTAGTGTGCGGAGAGAGTGTGAGATTGGGTGACATTCAGTGGTGTTTTGGGTCTAGAGAGGGGCAGGGACCGATGCCAAGCGTGGCTTTTACGATTTCACTGTCTACGATGGAGGATGGACATCTCAAGAGGAAGTCGGTGGTGAGAAGAGATGGGACAATTCCGTTCTGTAATTCAACGCTCTTTGGCATTAAGTTGAAGAGAAAGAAAACACGAACTGAAGAAACAAGTCGACCATGAGGCTGGGACTTCTCAAGCAGTTTTCACTTGCTAAAGCTGAATCTCGTCACTTTCTTCAACCTCTTTATTACCTTCTCAACCTCGTTTCTTCACGTTACGTCGCACCAGCTGAACAGATACCAATCCTACCTCAGTCACTCACTTTCCCGTCGCCAACCCAACCTTGTCTTTGTCTTTCTGACAGCCCCTTCAAAATAAACGAGCCAATACCGTCCCTCACCCAAAAGAAAAAGCCGATACCATGCATCCTTCTCGGATCGAAGCCACCACGAACTGGGGCTGATAGCTCGAGGGAGTTCCACGAAATACAGGAAACACAGGAATAAAGAGGAAAAGAGACAACACAGTGAAGAAGCTGAGCCCCTCCCGGGCATCCGCTTCACGACCACCTTTTACACTATAACTACGACCCTGACTTGATGCTTCCATACCCCTGTCACTCACACCCTCCAGTCGACCATCGATAAAAGCTTATTGGGCGCCATGGTGCGCCATCCAGTCTTGGAATGTCGCCTCCTTGGATTCCTTATCTGGACAAGAACCGGGACGAGCGGAACAAGCACCAGTCTAACTGGACAAATCCCACGCTGTCAGCCTGTCTGTGCCTGTTGCCTGTCAAGTCTGTTTAAAAAAAAAGTGATTGGTGGCTCGGTGGTACGAAAAGGGTAACCAGCTTGCAGAACATGAAGCTGGGGCTGAAAGCTGGCTCCTACCTTAGTCTAGAGCTCCGTACAAGGACTGGAGAGTAGGTAGCATGGACATGGATGTGTGTGTTTGGGATCTGGATGGGGTTCGGGTGAAAGCCGTACATAAAGCTCCCATCCCATGGCTCCTTGCTCCCCAGTTCAGTTTCGTCCAACCTGTTTTGGCGTTGTTGGTCGTCTCTGGTCTTGTAGCAACCTCACCTCTCCGGACCGTTGAACATCTGTTCAACCCCCTCCTCCTTATTCACGATGCTCACCACCATGCTACCACTCACCACCCTCTCTCTAGCCCTCCTGTCATCAACAACAGGTGTCTTGGCCTCAGCAAAACCACCCATCAAAGTCCCAGTCACACCAGCCCACCGCCGTTCATCTTTACTCACACCCCGCAATGGAGAAGGCTTCATCCGCGCCCCCATCCGTGCCGCCCCCGGCACCCCGCAAACCAAGCTCCGCCGTCGGCAAGAAGACGAAGGCCTAAACAACCAGAACCTAGGCACGACCTACACCATCGACATCGAAATCGGGACTCCCCCTCAGACCGTCACCCTGATCTTGGATACCGGCTCGCCAGATCTGTGGGTGAACCCGACATGCGAGACTTCGGGGCAGGAAGAATATTGCCAGAGTTTTGCGCAGTTCGATTACACCAAGAGCAAGACGATTGAGGATACGGGCGCGGCGGATATTCTGGGCTATGGGAAGGGGAACGTGACGATTGAGTATGTGACTGATGATGTTACTATTGGGTGTGAGTATTCCTTTTTTTTCTTTTCGTCTGCTGTTTACCGTCTCATCTCCTAGGAGCCCTAGGTCAGGTGGGTTAGTAAGTTAGTTTTAGGTATAGGTACTGACAACCAAAAACAGCCGCAAAGGTAAAATCCCAAATCCTCGGCATCGGCTTTGAGTCGCATGACATCCCGCTCGGAATCCTAGGCCTCTCGCCCTCCGTCAACCCTGACTCGCAGCCCTACCCTTACCTTTTAGACTCCATGACTTCCCAAGGAATAATCTCCTCTCGCGCCTTCTCCCTCGACCTACGGAGCATCGACAACCCCTCCGGCGCGATAATCTTCGGTGGCGTCGACCTAGGTAAATTCTCCGGCTCGCTCGCAAAGCTCCCCATGCTTGACCCCTCCGACACACCCTCCGGCGCAGACAGGTATTGGATCGTCTTGTCAGGTGTGGGCATGACGTACCCCGATGGACAGGTGGAGGAGTCCGAGGAAATTGCCGTGCCGGTGTTCCTGGACAGTGGAGGCACGCTGTCAAGATTACCGGCTACGATATTCCAGGCTATCGGCGATAGCTTTCCGGGGAGTCAGTATGATACCGAGTCAGGGTTTTATATCGTTGACTGCGCTGTCGCCGACGAATCCGGGTCTGTCGATTTCGTTTTCGGCAGCAAGAAGATTAGGGTCCCGTACGGGGATTTCATCTGGGAAGTGCAAAGCGGGGTTTGCGTAGTCGGGGTGCTACCGACGGATGAAGAGCCCGTGTTTGGAGATAGTTTCCTGAGAGCGGCGTACGTGGTCTATGATCAGGATAATCGCAACTTGCACCTCGCACAGGCGGCAAATTGCGGAGAGCAGATTGTGGAGATTGGGAGTGGCGCGAACGCGGTGCCGAGTAGCACGGGCAAATGTAAGGATTCTGGACCGACGGGAACTGATGGTGGTGGGGGATTGGATGTTACTGCCACTAGAGCGCCGACGAAGACGGCGGCGGGGGGTGGGCCGCAGGTTACGAACTCGGACTTTGGACCGGGACCGGCGGGGACGAGGGTTAGTACTAGTGGTATTGGTCTGCCGACGGGAACTGGTGGTGGTTCGGGAGGAGGGTCGGGGGGAGGGAACGACGATAATGATAGTGCGGCGAGCGGGTTGGATGTCGGGGTCACTGTTGCGGTGGCCTTGGCTGGGTTGAATATGCTTGCTGTTTGGTTGCTGTGATGACGGGATGTATGTACATATGATGTTATGACTTGGGATGTGGATGTGATGGTTATATGAGATGCTGGCGTCTGATTTTTGGATACACCACTATGCACCGTTGGCCAGTAATGCAGCCGGATCTCTTTGGATAGACGTATATATGATGAGGGCAGGGATGTAATACATTACCGAACTTGAATATCGCAGCTTCGACTTTGCAAGGTCAAGAGGAGACGGATTTGGGTAACACAACTGGTGATGTATGAGGCTTTATGTCGGCGAAACCATCTCCCCTGACAAATGAGGAAAACTGAGCAGGTTTTTTTGGGTTGAGTATCGGCCACAAGGTGTGGAAAAGGGGCAGCCGAGTTGGTTAGTGGGTAGGTAGGTGAGAGGATGAAAGGCTGGTGATGTAGAAGAGAAGAGATTGTGCGATGCGGAACTTAAACATGGTGCGTATAGGGTAACTCCTCTTTCCCTCATTACACTTCCATCAACAATCTTCAGAGTTCACCATCACGTCAACCTCACAAGTTCCTTCCCAAACCAGCCACCCTCCACGTCTTCACGATCAGAACATAGGTAGGTACGGGAACATCCAATCCATCAAAACCCGACCTCAATTACCCTATCTGACCCTACACAAGGTAAACCTAGGTCCAGGTACCTCAACAAACATGCAACTTTTGTTTCAACCATATGTAACCTGATCCCCTTTTATTCCCAAAACATGCGATTCTGAGCGACCCAAAGGCTCATCGCAAAAAGAAAACAATATGACCCAACAAAGCAAAGCCCCTTAGATGTCAAGCGGGGTGAATAAAACAGTTGAAAACCAATGACAAGAGAAGAGACGCAACCAAGCCAACCCACTAACTGAATCTTGCCGATCAGAGAATAGGCTTCGACATCGGGGCAACAATGCCCTGCTTGAGAATGACTCTGGGCTTGGTAGCGTCCTGGAAGGTCTCCTTGGTAGTCCACTCGGGACCAACGGGGATACGGAGCGAGCGCTCGTATTGCGCTTGGCTCTCGAAGGGATGGGGAAGGGCGGTGGCGAGGTATTGGTCGTTCTGTTTTTTTTGTCACTAGTTAGCAAGCTCCCCTTTTCGCAATTCATGTTCTTGGAACAAAGTAGACGTACCTTCTTGACTCTGCCCTCCTTAATAATCACCCCCTTGAGCTTGAAATCCCTTCTCTTCTCTTTCTTGACACCCTCCACCTTGGTAACATATCTCCCCGTATGCCTCTTCTTCTCGCGGTTGGAAATACCTTCACCGACCCAGCCGCCCCAGCCGGGAAGCGTGTTGTCGATCTCCTTGTCGTCATCCTCCTTCTCTACTTCGGCCTTTTCGCGGTTGAAGTCGCCTACGACGTCCTCGCCTGCGAAAGCGCGCTTGATGAGCTCTTGGTCGCGGATGGCGAGGGGGAGGTGGATGGTTTCTTCGTCGTCTGAAGAGGAGTCGTCGACTGTGGCGGTCTTGGTAGCAGCGGCGCCCTTGGCGGGAGTAGATGATGACTTCTTCTCTCTGCCGGCGGCGTCTTTGGCCTTGGGCTTAGAAGCAAGCATGGCGGCGTTGGAAAGGTCCAACTCGCCAACGGTGGCCTTGGCGGCCTTCTTGCTGCTCTTGCGACCCTCCTGAGGAGCCTTTGACCAGGCACCGGCGACGGAGGCAGCGAGGGATGTGTCCTCCACTTGGGTAGTGGCCGCTTGTTGTGGCGTTACTTGGAGGTTGGACATGTTTGTTGTGATGCTCTTCTTCTCCTTCTTCTTCTGAGCAGCTTGCTGGCCAGGAAGTACAAGCTCCTTCTTACCCATACCGAACTGCCTCCGGCCAATATCCGTCTCCTCGGGACCGTCAGAGTCATAGTCGGAGTCGAGATCGCGACGGATTTGTGCAATCATCTCCTCGTTCTCTTTCCTCTTCTGGGCTTCGCCGCGCTGCATGAACTTCATCCCCATGAGCCCCGACTCGGGCTCACCGTCCGCGTAGGAAGCAGCGTGCTCGAGCTGTTCCAGCAACCGCTTCTTGTCGTTCTTCTCATCACCCGACTCAGCCGAGTAGTCATCAGAACCACTGTCGTCAGAATCCTCGCCCTTCTTGCGTCCCTCGATCCGGCGGCGCAACTCCTCCTTCGACCTCGCGGCCTCTGTCAACCCAGCGCGGAAGTTATCATCCCACACCGCGCGACCGGCCTTCTTGCCGAGTTTAGCCCACTTGCTGTCCCTGTGACGAGTGCCAACACGCTCGAGGGCTCGCCTCCTGTCGAGAGCCTCGCGCTCCTCGTCCGAGTCGATCTCGCCCGCCTCGACCATGGCGTCGTGCATCTCCTGCTCGTCGTGAAGCAACTCCTTGCGGTGAATGCGACGGTAAGCCTTGGACTTGATTTTTTTGATGCGCTTCTGGCGGACCTGTTCGCGCGAGAACAGCTCACGCTCACGGCGCTTTTGGCGGGTGAGTTCCTGCATCTCGGCGGCGGAGAGGCCCTTGCGGGCAGCGATCTCCTCAACGTCATCCTGGTCCTCCTTCTTGGGCTTGTTGGTGGGGCCAAGACCGGATTCCTCCATGATGGCCAAGATGGTCTGTTCGAGTTCGGTACCCGCTGTGGCCTTGGTCACAGGAAGGAGTTCCTGGCTGTCGAGGCCGGCGTCGTGGGCATTTTGCGTGAGGGGGAAGACCAAGTGATCGGCGCGGCGGTTGTGCTTGACGGTGTCGATCCAGCGCTCGAGCGTCTCGGAGGTCTTTTCGTAGGCAGCGGAACGGAGGAGCTTGTCTTGTTGCCTCTTTGCGAGGGGGATGTCGAGCTTCTTGGACTGGCCAGGCTTGGCGGCCTTTTCCTCCTTGTTCATGAGCTTGAGGGACTTCTTCATGTGGGGGTCCTGGACGCCAAAGAGGCCGAGATCTGAGAGACTGAGCTTGTTTGTTGGGTTTGAGCTCGACTGCTCTTCGTCATCATCACCCGCAAATCCGGAGATCATCTTTTGAAGGTTGTCGAGCTTGGAAGGGTCCTCCATATCGTCATCGCTGTCTTCGCTCTCGCTCGATTCGCTGTCCGCATCGTCTTCGGATCCCGATCCCTCTTCGCCCTCCTCCTCTTCGTCGCTCTCCTCGAACTGATCCAGCGCTGTGGCGAGGTCAATAGCGTCGGAACCAAGCGACTCCATATCATCGTCCTCATCTTCCTCCTCCTCTTCCTCATCGCTGTCGTCCCCACCCTTCTTTGCCTTCTTCTTGTTCTTCTTCGCGTTGCTCCCGCTGAAGGCGTAGCCATCAAATTTTTCCTCGTCACTCTCGCCAAAGGCCTCGTCAGAGTCGAGTTCCGAATCCTCGTCATCAGCGCCTACACCAACATGCCACTCCTCGCCGTCGCTGTCCTCCTCGCCACCGTCGGAGAAGCCTTCGAATTCGTTGCTGTTCTTGGCCTTCTTCTGTGGCCTGGCGTCCTCGAAATCATCCTCGTCGTCGTCTTCGTCATCCTCATCGTCGTCGTCTCGCGATCTCTTTTGGGGGCGCTCTTCGGGCTCATCGAGGTCTCGTGTGCGGACGCCCTTGGCTTTCCTCTGGGGAACTTGTTCGGCGGCGATGGAGAAGGCGTCGAGGACGGTGTCTCTTGATTTCTTGTCGGCAGCCTTATTGTTGACTCTGTGCTTGGGACGCCCTCCGCCCGCTTTGGGCATTAGGGACCTGCCGTGGGCTTGACGGCCGGGCATTTTGTTAATGTGTTGTGGATGACTGAATGGGAGTCGGAAGGGTATTTCAGTCGAGGTCGAGGTCGTTACAAGCAAAAGTGGGTGGTGAAATTGTCGAGTGGTTTGGTGGATGTAATATCCGACTTTTGCCTGCACGGGTCCTGGAGATTGAAGCGGTCCCTTTCAACAGCCTCGAAGTTTCAACTGCCAGTGAACAGCTCCCCCGAAACTTTTTCTGCCGGTCTCTGTAATCGATAATTTTTGGGCGGTGAGGGTCCAGAGCCCACCTTAATTGCGGGGCCGCGGCAGGCTACAAGGGTACCTGCACATAGGCAGACCTCTTCATTGGTTCGTTGAGCTCCAAAACTCTTGACAAGGCCCCACCTCGACCCGGCGCGGCCCCGGCTTCCTCGATGCGATTTCTCGAATTCAGCCCCGTCGCCCGTCGCCCGTCGCTCGCCGCCGTCCATTGTCCAGCCCGAGTCCCGTCCCCGTTGTCGCGTGCGCTGGATCTTCAACATTTCAGCGGACCCCGTCTCCGTCCGACCATTCATCCACTGCGCCGAGCTTCCCCCGCCTCTGCGCCCACCTCAACCACCCTCAACCCTCACCACCCCGATCGTCGACAACAACAAACACCCTCCGTCGTCGCCGCGCAAAGCGCAACACTCTAGCCCACCATGCAGCCCACCCGCGTCCTCCAAGGTCTCAAGTACCGCAAGCTGCGCCTGACCACCAAGGATACCAACAAGGGTTTCTACAAGGGTAACCGCACCGGTTCCATGGGTACGCACACCAGCTACGGTACCTACAAGATCGACTACTCCAAGGTCCGCACCTATGTGTGCCCCGATTTGAGTACTTTCAAGGTAGGTTTGTCCTCGTTTCTGTCTGGGCTTTGGACTGGAATCGGTTGGACTGGGATGGGGCGGGATGTGATGGGATGGGGACATGGTGTTAGAGGGAAACACGGCACCGAGAAGAAGGGAATTGGAGAGACAGAGCAAAGGGAAGAGGATACAGTTGGAACAAGAAAAGGATTCGCTAACAAGACCAACAACAACAGCTCACTCCCTTTGTCTCCAAGGCCGTCAAGGTCACCCATGACCAGTTCCCCGGCGACAAGCTCGGCCCCAAGAACCCTGCCACTTATCTTGCGCGCTGGAAGTCTGAGAACGGCCTTGACTAAACGACTCCTTCTTCGAAGCTACCGATCGATCCGAAATGATGACGGAAGTTCAATGCTAGAAGAAGGAAGGAAGGAAGGAAGGAAATGAGCTGGAGGAGGCCAGAGGACGAAGCGACCAAGAGACATGGAGCGAGGCTCACACTCAGTTACCACAACGGAATATACCCCATTTTTGCATACAGGCTGCGATCGGAACCCACCAAAGAAAGAGACTACTTACTCTTGCGTCAACCCAACAGTTCGAGACGTACTTCTTCACGCCGGCCTTCTCGTTTAGGAGCTGATCTCAGGGGGGTGGAATAGCCTCCACCATGGTTGAGAGCGGGTGACACGATTCGACCAAGCAAGTGGATGCACAGAGCCAATGGAATACGGCCACCGCCATGTATAACACTACTACCACTACTACTTACCACTACTCACTGTACAATACACGTCCCTTATACGAAGAGAATGAACACGTGCTTCCGAAAATCTTGATGTTACTATTTTGCTGACAATCATACGTCTCCGTGCTAGTCTTTTGCTCGACGAACAACAAAAGTTGGAACTGGAAGTTGATGGATCACGGAGAGAAATGTTGATCATGAACTCTGGTTGTTCGTGGGTTCTCATTCGGGTGACCGGGCCATGTTGAGGGAGTCTACTGAGGTTGGCACAATTTAGTTTGCTCAGGTTCTCCCTTGACGTGGGATAATGGATCGGGTATTCTGGCATACCTTAGGTACTCTGGTTGGCGGTGATGTTTGGTTGACTGAGAAGGAACTTCCAAGGTTGACGTGTTGGTGAACTAAGGTTGTTGATGGAAGGCGTGATGGTAGAAGGAGGGGTCGGGTACCATATACCTACGCAGCAAGTGCGTGGCACGAGTAAGTGTCTGTGTTTTTGGATTGCACAAAAGTTCTCTGCATCAAATTTCGTCTTCTAACTGTCGCAACAACTCATCAATCCCCTTTCAACGCTTGTGGCCGGATCTGTTTTTCCATCGATTCCTTTCGTTCATCATCATCATGGGAATTAGGTTTCGATCAGCTGCTCGTCGCCGTCGTTTGTCGCCTCCTCTTTCCGTCCTAACACAAAGGTGACGCTGTACCATAACCTCTTATGAAGAGGCCTTGTGAGATACTCCTCGAGCTGTTTAGGAGAGGGGATAAGTTTTTGCTCGTTTCCTACATTTATCCATCAGCTCCCGCTACGCTTCTAGGCGACTCAACCAGCTATGTAACGGTTGTCAAGCAGCATTTCCTAAGGAAAAGCCGTGGTTGTGGAAGGAGGTGAAAGCTCCCACATCCCATCGAGATGTGTGGCACCTGCGTGACTTCACCATCCGCGACCTCCATGAATCAGCAGAAACCGGGTGCCACCTATGCCGAATTTTTCTGTATTCTCTGCTTCCGCCCGATATGATTGTTGGGAACCGCCACGGGTATTACGACTGGTACGATATCAACAAGGGCATTCAAATTCAGTGCACACTACGAAAGGGATGGGATGAAGAAGCGTTTCCAATAAAGCTGAAAGTCCTCCCTGGCAGGCGACGCCGACGCCATCTTGGATCAATGCTTAAAGGTAGAGAACTTTGCTTCAAGCCAGTTCATCCTACCCTGCTCGAGAGCATGGTGCTAAGAAAAGGTTCTGCCTATCCGAACTGTGTACTTCGGCGAACAGCTCATCTGGCAGTGTCCAAGGGGTATGGCAAGCGAGTCCTTTCCGTCTTGGATCTGTCGTGGGCCCTCAGATCCCCCTCCCCTGCACAGAATGTCTTTGTATGCCCAAAGGCAGCGGACCTTTATTTGGGCGGTTCCATCCGCCAATGTTACTACTGGCGTAAAAAGCATGGAAAAGATGTGGGAAGAACTGGTGCAAATTTACTCCAAATCTGAAATAACCAAACCGACGGACCGATTGGTTGCTTTCAGAGGAATTTTCAACAGACTGTCAGAAGTTTTCGAAGGACAGGAGCCGGACTGGTGCGTTGCCGGGTTGTGGAAGACATCTCTGGTCAAACAGCTCCTCTGGAAACGGCATGGCGAGATTGACAAAAGCGACCCTAAAATGATTGCTCGCGGTAAGGAGCTGTTTGAGCTCTTTCCATCTTGGTCTTGGGCGGCATGTCCTACCAATATCGTTTTCCCGGTCATCCCTAGCCTTTCCGATAACTGGAAACCCGTTGAAGATATGGTCCATATTGAGACCATACAGCCGGGTCAACCACTTCATCCAGAAGCTACCTATACCGCTTTTGAGACTTCTTCTCGAATAGTTCTGCGTGGCTTGGTAGACGCAAAGTTCAACTCCGAGACAGTTGCCCGGGCATGGGCAGTTAATACCCACGCAATTGAGCCGGAAGTGTTGATATCATTTGGCGGCAAGCGGTTTCGCAAATTCGATGCAGTCATTATTTTTGACCGACCTTTTTCCGAGTCTGTCGGATATCAAGACCTGAAGCTTCTCCCTATACGGATCTCCATAGACTGGGGTTACGTGTACGGCTTGTTGGTTGAATCACAGGGCATTTGGGAAGGAGTGCCAACTTATCGTCGTCTGGGTAGATTCGATGCGTCTCCCGGAGTGAAATCAGTCATTCCTGGTCGAGCAGAGAGGATGAAGAAAATACCTGGCCTAAAGGAGAGGAGTAAGGATTTCCCCATTTTGCAGCTGGTGTGATGATTCCGATATACTTGGAGAATGGGAAGGCATACCTGGGGCACTCGATCCCAGCTTTATTGCCCCAGGAGGGAATGTCTGTTCCGGGTCACTGTACTAACACAACTTGCGACCTCGACTTACATGCCACCTGGTTTTCCGTTCAACGACTCCTCCCTGCGCATCTTCATGATGGTACATATACTGCTCGCGTGGATGGCGACGAAGCAAGGCTAGTACAGAATAGACTACCTTCTCTAGGACTCAGGAAAGTTTTCCCATCTCCACACATTCTCACATGTCTGACATGGCCCGCAGCGGCGGTAACAGCGATGAAATGCTGGAAGAGCCAACAAGCGAACGACAAACCCCATCTGGCTAGCGTTGAGATCTCGGGCTGGGATGTTTTCAGCTTTTTGACGAGTAACCCAACACACGCGCTTCTAGTACAGTACAAGACGTGTTCTTACGCCTGATCAACCTTTGACAAGAGCAAACATTGCGGCCTAGACGATGGAACGCAAGAAGAAGTCCTGCTTGGCGGGAGGGGAAGTCGACCTTACATGAGAGCTTCAGGCGATATAAGACTTGGAGAGCTGTCAACTTCGTGTCTTCTACTCCGGTGAGTACCTAAAGAGAGGAACGCAATCGGGCTTTCCCCTCCAATATTCTCTGGAGCAGAAAGAGAAGTTTCAAGGACTTTTGTTTCAGCAGACTCGGGTTGTCTTAGATAACCGCGACATGGACGTCAAGATGGACAACATTTCGAACTCCCTTTCCCTCCCTGTGGTGATGATAGCATTGGTAAGTCCGCTATCTCTATTTCCCCCAAGGACACCAGCCAGTTAACGAACAAGCAGATCATATGTCTTCTCATCTTCCACCCTCTCTACAACCTCTACCTTCACCCACTTCGGCATTACCCCGGCCCTCGTCTCCACGCGGCTTTCCACTTCTCTTACGCCCTCACCTACCTCAGCGGCCGCTCCAACGCCGTCATGCACAATCTCCACGAGCGCTACGGCCCGATCCTGCGCGTAGCACCCAACATCCTATCCTACACCGACTCCGACGCCTACCGCGACATCCGCGGTCATCGCAAGCAAGGAACCGGCCAAAACCCCACAGACGTCAGGGCTTCTTTTTCATGCAGCGCCAGACTTTACTAGGCATGGATCGCGAAGGCCACGCGAGCGTACGGAAAGTTTTAGCAAACGGGTTTCAGCGCAAAGAGCATGCAAGAGCAAGAGCCGGTGATCAGGCAGCACGTTGACCTGTTCATCTCGAAGCTCAAGGATATAGCCACTTCCCAGCACGAAGACAACCTCGGCACTCTAGACATCGTGTCCTGGTTCAACTTCGTAATCTTCGACCTCATCGGCGCCCTCTCCTTCGGCGAATCGCTCGGCTGTTTGGAGCATTCAAGACTGCACCCCTGGGTCCAAGCAGTCTTTGACGCAACGAACATGTACGGCAAGCGGATGATGGTCAAATGGTACAGCCCCTCCTCCATCCTGACGGCATGGATCGGTTGGATAATCGGCTTATCAGCGCCACACTCGAAACAACAGGATTTTGCTGCTAGAAAGGTGGAGAAGAGGTTAGCAATGGAGGATCCGGCTTCACGAATGGATTTTGTGGACGCTATGTATCGTGCGGAATTCGAAGGGGAGGATGGGCTGAAGAAGGTGTTGAGGGAGGAGATTGTGTTTAATATGCGGTTGATTATGTTGGCGGGATCGGAGAGCACGGCGACGGCGTTGACGGGTACGGTGTTTTTGTTGGCGACGCATGGGGATGTGCAGAGACGGTTGGCGGGGGATGTGAGGGGGTTGTTTGAGAGGGAGGGGGAGATTGATATTTGGAGTGCGCAGAGGGTGAAGTACCTGGGGGCGGTGTTGAGCGAGGCTATGAGGGTGTTGCCGCCGGCGAGTCTGAGTATGCCGAGGTTTTGTCAGGAGGGGGGTGATGTGATTTGTGGGAGGTGGGTGCCTGCTGGGGTGAGTTCATCTCTTACACGTGAAGTGATGGAAGAGAATACTGATGATGAAGGATGACAGGTTACGCTGGAAATATGGCCTATGGCGGTGACGCATAGCTCGAGAAACTTTGCGAAGCCGGATGAGTTTATCCCGGAACGGTGGATGGATGATGGAGAACGGGATCCAATCTTTGAGAATGATAAGGCGGAAGCGTTGAAGCCGTTTTCCTATGGCCCGAGGGATTGTATTGGGAAAAGGTAAGTGGTGTTTGTTGTGTCGTGATGTTTCTCACTGGACTAACATTGCGATCTTTCTAGTCTTGCCAATGTCGAGATGAGACTCATCCTCGCACGAATGCTTTGGAACTTTGATATCAGCTTGGCTGATGAAAAGGGCAAGACCTGGGCTAAGGATATGTTGGGGTGGAACTTGTGGCTGAAGTACCCTTTGAATGTTGTGCTAACACCTGTTCGTCGTGGCAAGAAGTAAGAGATAGACACCATCACTTTTTCATGGATCAGACAGGTGAGAGTTGCACTCTTTATGGCGTTGAAGTTCATTGAAGGAAAAGAAGTTTTCTGCGCCATACACCTGGTCCCAATGTTCCTTTCCAAAATCCACCGTTGCCATCACACTCCTCACGCAACCGCTACCGGCTCCTCCTTGTGAAGCAATGGCTCAGTTCTCTCCTTCTCTGGACCAGTAAACCTCTTGAAGATCTCATCAAACACCTCCTCGGCATGCTTCTCGGCATCATGTTGATGAATCCAATCCTCCCGAGGAAAGGCAATGCTCTTTGGGTCTTTCGCAACCTTTTCCCAATCAGTCTTGTGCCATCTGTCCCTCGTTGTCTCCCCAGTTTTTTGCACAGCTCTCACTCGGTCGTATCTGTTCTCGATGTCAGCATCCAATCTTTCCGATAGACGAAGTTCAGGCACGCACCTAATCTCCTGATGAGTCCTAACAGCAGCCTGCACCCCCTCCTTCCCCGCCCTCCTCAAACAAACAGCAATAGTAACCCCATCCTCCATCGCCTGCGTTGCCCCCTGGGCGCTGGTCGGCAAGAACGGATGCGCCGAGTCTCCCACCAGCAAAATCCGAGCATGCTTACTCACCCACGTCGGCAACGGATCTCGATAGACCAGCTTCCAGTCCACCAGCGAGGGTGTTTTCTCGACAATGGCTTTGCAGACGGGATCCCACCCTTCCAGCACTTTGTAAACGTCTTCGAGCTTGCCGGGGAAGGACCACGACTCGTCGATGTCGTGCTCGTCGCGGTGGGTGAGCACCCAGCAGCAGTCGGAGCCGTTCTTGATGGTGCTGAAGAGGAAGTGCACGTCGGGACCGATCCAGCCGTTGAAAGTATCGCCGTTGGCGCAGAACTCGCGGGTGAGGGAGTCGGCAATCATGTCGGTGTTTGGGAACCTGGGCATATCGTTAGTGAGGAATGAAGAAGGGGAGGGGGAAGAGGGAGACATACCAAGCTCGCCAAACGGCATACCCGCTGCTCTTAGGCTTATCTTCAAACCCAAGAACTAAGTGGCGGGCTTTTGACCGGACGCCATCAGCGCCGATTACGATGTCCGCAGTCACCTATTTTTCGTCAGCCATTTCACTGTCTCCCCTCAACTCCCAACATTATCAGCCCAGAAAGAAGAAAACTTACCCTCTCCCCATGACCAAGTACAATCCCCGCCTTTTCCCCATCTTCAAAATACCCCTCCACTCTCCTCCCCAAGTGCACTTCAATCCCCAACTCATCCCTAGCATACTCAAACACAACCTGGTGCAGTTCGCCCCTATGGCCATTAAAAACCGGCGCCTCCGGATTTTGTGGAGGGGTAGGTTGATGATGGACCACTTCGCCGGTATCATACTTGTGAATACGAAAGCCGTACTCCGACAAGTCAATGGACAATGAGCGCAGTTTGCGAGCAATGGCACCGTCTGACCAGCGAGCAAAGATCCGCCCGCCGTTGGCGCCGAAGGAGATTATGTCGCCTAGCGACTTGAGGGTGGGGAAGGATTCGTAGATGCGCACGGAGTGGCCTTGCCGGTGGCATTCGATTGCTGTTGTTAGGCCGGCGAAACCGGCGCCTACGACTATGACTTTTATGCCGGTTGGGGTTTTTGGGTACGATGAAGCCATTTTTGACGGTGCGGTTGCTTAGTATGGTGTTGTGAGAAAGTTTATGGGGAGGTGAAGCTGTGCAAAGATGGCGAGAGAAGAAGGTGTGCAGGAAAGAACAGTTTGTTGCGGTACATGAAAAATGGACATCGGAGGTAGAAATATATCCGTCAAGGGCCGGAGGCGATGCTATCTGTTTGTTCTCTACAGGGAGTTCTGATGCAATCACTCGTGGAGCTTTACATCAAGGCCTTTGGTCGAGTCGAGTCAATGAGACGTGTAGATCCGGTTTGCAGGTTGAGATTTCTTCCCACCGTGTTATCATGTGCTCTGGCACCCGAGCTTTCAAGAGATTTGGCGTTGCTTTGCCTCAATACTCTCAAAAAGCGTTGTGGCCCAAGTCCAAGCGGAGGGGAAGTTCTTGAACCAACGCGGGTTCTCATTCCGCACTGCACTGCACTATCAACGTTGCGTTCCAACAGCATGGACCAATTCAGCCTATGATATATGCATACCATTGTTTGCAATTCTGTCGAACCTTCCTTCTCCTCATCTTCCGGGTACCAGATATGGCCCGTCTCTGGAGGTTTGAGATAGGGGAGACGAATTGGTTACTATAAGCAGGGGTCATGAGAGGCTCTGTCACGGCGCTGGCGGACCACTACACCACTAGGCTATGTTCCAAAAGGATACAAGTAACCGAAGCTGGCAGTTCGGTCGCTCAAGTGGTCTTATATAGTTTGTCCTGGAAGAGGCACCCGAGTGCATTCCGTGACAGGCTCGACGATCAAGTGCAACGGGATTAATTGGTATGTGGCACTGCTATGAAGACTTCCCCACGAAATGCAGGCCGTTAGGTGCCCTTGAAAATTCGTTTACTGGATATCTCGTGCTCCCAGAAGTCATATGACTTTTTTGATGCAACGGCAGGAACCAAGCAGACGTCCCAATTCCGTCCGTAGCAGTAACTCGGAAGGTCATGTGCAGGCAAGGTCAACATCGTACCTTCCTCACGGTACCAACGTCCCATTCTTTACAGGCCAGGAAGAAGTCAATTGCATCGTTGTGGAATCATCGCGGAGTGTCTGCACCTCGTTCCGGTGTTGCCAAAAACGTACTGCCAAACCACAAGGTCACGGTGTCACTATAAGCACTAGCTCCGGCAACGTCTTCCAACAATCAGCTACGACAGTTGCTCAACAACTGTGAATCTTCCGTAGTATAGTGGTCAGTATGTGAGCTTGTCAAGCTTGAACATCAGTTCGATTCGCTCGAGACCCGGGTTCAATTCCCGGCGGGAGAGACCAATCTTTTGTGTTTTTTTGCGCTTGGTGATGTGGGACTTGTGGGACCTGGTGGAAATGGTCCGCTTGATGTAAACAAACCCCTGAATAACCTCACTTCGTATCAACGCCAATGGCGCGACTCCATCTTTATGTCCACAGCCAGTTCCAAATCCAAACCCGCATTCTGGTCGAAGCCGGTAGTTCCCAATCCCACGTCCAAACTTCCAACCGACCACCAGTCACTCACTTAACCTTCACCATCCTAACATTCCCCTTCTCATCAAACTCGGGCATCTCGGCCACCTCCCTCATCTTCTGCTGATAAAACGTCGACATCCTATACTTACTCTCCCCCTCCAACCCCGCTAAATCCCTCAGCGCCTCCTCCCCCTCCTTCACCACCGTCTCCCTAATCTCCTCACTCCTCACCATGATCTCGCACTTGAAAGGCTGCGGCCGCATATTCAGCCCGTTGGTATAAGCAAAGATATCCACCTCTTCCTCCTTTCCCGTTTCGGGGTCGTGATACTTCCTTATACTAAAAGCCCACAACAATCGCGCAACAGTAATCCAAGTCCCCTGTTCCGCCAGCGCCTGACCAGAGCAGACCCGCCTTCCCCAGCCAAAGGTCATGTACCCCTTATCTTTTTCGCCTGGAAATGGTCGGTGGTGGTCGTTGTCTGGTAAGTACCTGTCCGGGAAGAAACGGTCTGGGTCAGGGAATTCGCGCTCGTGGTGGTGGATAGCCCATACGTTGCCCTGCACCCAGCTGTGCGCTGGTATGTAATACCCTTTATAGTAATCGGGTTGGGTGTTAGAGTGCGGTTGGCCCCCGATGATAGCGACGGAGCGCCATCTCAGTACCTCTTTGACAAAGGCGTTGATGTACGGAAGGTTGGGGACATCGTCCCAGTGCGGACTTCTCCCTGAACCGATAACCCTGTCGAGTTCGGATTGGGCTTTAACCATGGCGTCGGGGAAGGCGCAGCATGCTAGCATGAACGTTATTAAGGTGGAAGAAGAAGTGTCGGAGCCGGCGCCGAAGAGGTTCCCTGTCAAGGAAGAGAGTTCGGATTCTGGTAGGTTGGATTTGATGGACTCGTCCATTAGGGTTTTTATGTAGGGTGTGGGCATCGACGCTTTGAGAGCGGGGGACTTGGATTCATATTGTTCTAGGGCTTCGAGGGCCAGGGAGTGGAAGAAGTAGTGTCCACCGCGGCCGCTCTTTTGACCGGAACCGCCGCCGCGGTAGCCGATGCCTTTGAAGAAGGGGAACCAGCGGGGGAAACGGGCGAGGACTGAACGTTCCATGTTAGTAACAGGTAGGTAGAGACCAGGAAATGGGGAAAGGGAGGGATGCTTACATGGGAAGGTTTCAAGTAACATAGGAAACCTCTTCCCCGGGACATTCAAATCCGCCGCCAGCTGCATAAGCGCAATGACCTCCGTGATAATCGGATCCTCACAACTCTTGACCCTCCTTCCAAACGCAATGATGCTAACCACACTCGTCGCATACCGTTCCAGATGTTTGACATACTCCTTCGGCTCTCTTAAATAATCCAGCGCAACGATTTTCGACTCATTATTCTGGATCTCCCTGTACCCGCGAACAGACTGGATGCCCACACCCACATGCATCAGCTTCCGGTGAATTCGCCAGTGGTCCCGGTCGCTGTTGTTCAGGATGCGCATCGTCACGAGGTTGTTCTGCCCGGTGCCGAGTTCGCCGAAGACGACCATTCGTGGACGCGAGGCGTAGATTGGGGCCTTTTTCTCGAGGATGTCGTGGGCGGCCCAGGCGTCGTTGATCCAGATTGTTGGGTTTCTGCATGCAGTCAGGTCAGCGACTGTTGCCGTGAAGGTGACTAACTGGGCAAGGGGAGATGAGCTTACCGGCCTATCCAGAACGTAATAAGAGGCGTCTGATACTTCTTAGATAGCTCTTCAAAGTAGATCCATGGTTTGTTTTCCGGTAAGGAGAAGGTGTTTCCTATGATGGGCCAGGGAAAGGGGCCCGGAGGCATTTTGGAGCGAAGCCATAGCATGTAACCATAGTCAATGATGACGGCGGTGAGTGCGAGGGCGAGTGTGAAGAGGAAAATCTTGGAGATGTTGACATTGGTGAGAACTTCCTGCGCTTTGTGGAGGTTGAATAAGTCTAGCAGCTTGTCTGACAGCATTTTGTTTTCAGCGGTGTGCTAGTCCTTGGGCAGAGTTTCCTATGTTTCTTCTGTATGACTTGCAATTGACAATGTGCTTGGTGGCAAAAATCTTGCTTGTTTAGATGTGTTCGATATTCGCAGTCAGCATCTGGAATTGAGATTGACTGGAGTGACTCGTAAACTCGAGGGCAGTATTCCTTGAAAATGAAGCCATTTCCGGGCTTGGCCAATATAGCCATCTCATCCAATCTTGTCCGAGCCATCATAAATCCATACAGCCAGTTGCTGATGGGTGGAAGGTAGCAAGAGAGGTAGACCAGGACCTGGTTCGCCTGTCGCGAATATTGGCTGCTGCGGCTCGGGTCGTTATCGTCAACGGAATGTCTCACGACCTCCTCAATTCCATGTCGGCGGTAAATCTGTGTCCCGCTCCGCCTTTGTTTCACGAGAAGTTGGAAAGCGCGGAGGTGAGGGAATGGTCAATCCCCCGCCATGGATACCGTTAATACCCATCCCCAACTCTTCGCCCACAAAGCTATCCGAGACATCGAGGTCGTCTTTATTCCGAACTGGACACCTTTCAGGACGCATTCTGCTTGAGGTTTTCACATTTCTTTTCCAGAAGAACCCTCCAACAACAGCACCCAGTGATATCTCCAAGACTAACATCCCCTCATCCCCAGTTCAGCCCTCCCTTAAAACGTGGTTCTGCTGTAACCTCATCCGTTACCGCACACCCAACGTCAACGTGCAAGACATACATACACCGGGGAGCCATCCAACCGAACCGTAGAATGCGCCGTAAACACAGTACATATCTAGATTGACAGGCTCGTCTATTGCCGTCCAACGTCCCAAATGTCTTGGCGAATAGTATCCCTTTTCGAGATTGTTTGGATGAGTGTTACCCCTAGTTTTATGGACGACCACTTCTTGGCCCCTGTCACCGGCCACTTAACCGGCTGGGCTTTGCTCGGTACCACCCCTCCTACATGAATGAGACGTATATGCCAACGACAAACTTGGTTGAGTGAAGATCGGTAGTTGAAGCAATTAGACTTGACTACATGGAGGGGTTTGTCCCGTGAGGAACCATGGGAACTCAAGCCCAGAGAATATTAGTAGCAGGGACACAACATGGGCAGGTATTGGAACCTTGCAGGGACTGATGGGACGATTTGGATCTTACTTGCCTCCTTGTTTGGTGTATGGGCACTCCGAAGGCAATGAGAAGCAGAATTGGCCCGTTATCTAGTAATAAAAGTGACTGGACATACGGAAAACCGAGCGTTAAGTTTTGAGATAAAGGCATTTGGTAGAACATGGCCAGCATGTATGGCAAATATTGGCAAGCGGAGTGTAGACCGCTTTCGTTGGTCGTCAACCTTCGGATATCTCTTCTGGAGACCCTGCAGTAGTGACGAGCAGGGAACATTGACCGATTTGAAATGAATACTATACCTTCACAACTCGTGTGAATCTTACCGCCACGGTCTGGATATTTGGATGCCGCGTCTATACTGTGTGGATGCTGATCACCAACTGCATCTTTGCACGTGGTCTCTGTGCCTCTATGCGTCGACGCATTCCCGCCTTGCCTCCTCTCCAGACCACTGGGACCCTTTAAGTCCTCATATCTCGGTGCATCGTTGCACTTGACGTTGGAATCGTTCGACTCCTGACACCCGTGTTCCCCAAGGGTTGCTACTCCTGTTGTTGAGCCTCAGCTCTTACTTTCACCCTCACCCGAGTGTTTGCCAGACACGGAGAACACCATGTCTCCGGAACAGACAGCCTCAACCATGGCGGAGAAGGATGTCGAACACCCCGTTGACATCCCGGTAGCCATCACCGCTGAGATCGAACAGAAATATGGCATCAAAGCCCACTGGAAGTGTCTCGCCGCTTGCACTTTGGTGTCCATGTGTCCCTTTCAATATGGCCTCGACTTTGGTCTCATTGGCGGTTTGCAAGCCATGCTTGGCTTTCTCAAGGTGAACACCTTAAGTTTGTTAGCTTTCATCACAATACTGACGATGAGCAGGTCTTCGGCCACCCAGCCCCTCACGTCGTCGGCGGCTGGAACCTCTCCCCCGGCCGCCAACAACTGATCTCCTCGCTCATGACCCTCGGCGCTTTCTTGTCTTCCTCTCTCGCCGGGCCCACGGCAACCTTCCTGTCTCGCAGGCAAACCATCTGGGCCGCTTCTCTGTTGTGCATCGTCTCCAACGTAATTATGATGGCCACGACCTCCATCGGCGGGCTCTACGCCGGCCGTCTACTTCTGGGTCTAGCAAACGGGTTTTACATGACCTTTTCGCAGTTGTACATCCAGGAAGTGGCCCCGGCTCGCTATCGCGGCTTGATGATCTCCAGCTTCCAAGTGTGGACTTCGGTCGGCAGTTTGGTCGGTAATGTAGTCGATAACTTTACGGAAAAGATTGACGGAAGGGATAGCTATCTTATCCCGCTTGGTCTGATTTTCATTTTTCCTGTGCTGATCAGCTTGGGACTGTTTGCCGTTCCGGAAAGTCCTCGTTGGTTGATGATGCAAGGGAAGGAGGACCAGGCGAGAAAGAGTCTGCGGTGGCATCGTCCTTATACGGATCAGATGGTGGCGGAGGAAATTAAGGATATTCAGTTGGCGCTGGCGGCGGAGGGAGAGATGCTCACGGGGGCGAGTGTGTGGGATATGTTTAGGGATCCGGTGGATAGGAGGAGGACGATTCTGGCGGTTTGTGGGTTGACGGTGCAGGGAGCGTCGGGGGCGATGTACATGATTGGTATGTTCCCTAATAGTGTTGAGAGGGATGATGACTAACCAGAGTAACAGCATACGGCACCTACTTCTTCAAGATGGCAGGCATCGGCAAGCCCTTTGAAAACCACGTCATGCTGACCTCCCTCGGCGTGGTTGCGATCCTCGCCAACTCGGCCATGATCACTCACTTTGGTCGTCGGCGCGTCTTCCTCATCAACGGTCTGATCCTCTGCGGCGTAGCCCAGCTCCTTACAGCCGTCATATATACCGTCAAACCGGGTACCAAGTCAACTGGTCAAGCCATTGTGGCGCTCGCTGTCATCTATATCCTAGGATATAACGGCATGGTAGCGACGTACGCGTGGATTTCGGGCGGCGAACTTCCATCGCAACGATTGCGGTCGTACACGTTCGGTCTGGCGACAGCAATTGGCTTCTTCGCGGCGTGGTTGACAACGTTTACGGCGCCATACTTTATCAACCCGGAATCGATGAACTGGGGACCCAAGTATGGGTATATCTGGGCGCCATCTTGCTGGATCTCTGCGTGAGTGTTGCTCTTCTCTCGGTTAGTGGATGATGCGCTAACAAGAATGATGCAGTCTCTGGGTATACTTTTACCTACCAGAAGTCAAGGGCCGCACGTTGGAAGAGATTGACCAGATGTTCGAAGCGCAGTTGCCGGCGAGGAAGTTCCGCAAGTACGTGTGTGCTGGTCGCGGTGATGTTGCAAACGAGTCGGACAGTGTCAATTCGGAGAAGAAGGGCGACGAGGTCGTGCATGCCGAGGAGGTGCGTTAGTTGCTTAACAATTGATGGGTGGAAATAGCAGTGGAGTGAGGTGAGGTTTGATAGCGCAAGAACACCTATTCATATCCTCTGGTGAATGCACATCTGATGACACCTGCACCCAACACACATCCGTGAAAACAAAATCTTAAAGAAACTTGCATGAGACAACTGACCGAGCGGGACTTCAAACGAAATGCCCCCCTCTCTGCCATGGCCGACATTTGGCGGCGGCAAGAATGAGAGACGGCAAGAATGAGAGACGGCGATATCCGTACTAAAAGTAGGGGGTGCGGTGAACGGTCGCTCAACGATAACTTTTTTAGGACGTCTGCGCCTTGCCTCAATGGTTTTCCAGTAGTAAAACAACCGTTAACTCTACTCTAACGCTTCTCATTCCCAAACGTTTGCATCTTTTTAACCGTTGGTTAATAGTTAGAGGACGGTTATTTTACCATTTTAAGCTGTTAAACGTTTTAAAGAACGAACGTTTGGGTCTATCAAACGTAAGTGTAAGTTGACGGATTCAGCGACCGTTGGAAGTTTTTGGAACGGTAAATTCACTATTGCTTGAGCGTTTCTTGGAGACACCCTCCTTCCGTACGGATGCCTGAGAGGAGCGAAACGGGGGCCGAGCGGCGCGAAAGTGAGCTTGTTTCCGTTGGTGGGAGAGAGGTTCAAAGGGGAGAACACAGAACTTGAAGTGACTGCAAAAACGGGAGAAAAAAAGAAACGCCGAAATGGAAAGGTGAGTTCCGGACTCCGTTATCCTGCCAGTTGCCTGACTTATATCCAGCACAACGCAGGAAGAGAGCTGGTGAGCCGACGTGCAGGAGCGAAGGTTTTGGTCGCGACAGGATCGACAAGTGAGAGATGTAGGGCAACCGCGAACTACCGGGCTCATATTCTCCATCGAGGTCATGACGCGAATTGGGAGAAGCCATTGGGAATAATGTCAAGACATTGAAGAACCAAAATTACGTGTAAAACATCACTGGTAAGAGTACTATGGTAACTAAACTCGTCTATATTACGTATCTCGTATCTTCCTTTCTCGCGTCACGGTCTGTATCAGCCCAGATTAGGATTACCTCCACTGCATCTCCTCTCCCTCGCTTCGTTCTTCAACTCACTTTCCTCCAACTTCCTCCCCCTACAAAGCAGGACACTCCCTCGCCAACCACCAACTAATCCCCGCCACCAACCCCGCCACCTCCCCATCTTCATCAAGCGCATCAACACTCACCACATTCGGGAACCTTTGCGCACTCATCGCCCCATTCGCCCACAACTTCTCGCCCAACGCCCTGTTGGCGTCTTCGCCATACTTGACGATACTACCGGTAATCATGGTCTCAACAGGCTGCGTCAGCGTCCACGACAACAAAAACATGTCATCGTCTGCCTTGGTCCGGTGCGTCGAAAGCTTGGAGAATTGGTCGGTGATCATATTATTCAGATTATTGGTGTTGGCGTAGGAGTCGAAGATGGCCAGTTGGCCGCGGAAGAAGAAGCCTTCTTTGGAGAACTTGGAGAGGTTGACGTGTTGGTTGTCAGTGGTGATGTCGTCTACTACGAAAAGGACGGATGACTTGCGAGACAGGTCGTTGGGCTTGGACGGGTCGGAAGGCGGAAGCAGATTGGAAAGACGTTGGTAAGTGAGGTCGATATTCTCCATGGTGATGTGCGTGGCGCGGTTCTTGACGGCTAGTAGCTCCGTCATCAGGTTCTCCCATTCTTGCTGGGTGAGACGGGCTTTGGGGTTGCCGGAGAAGGTATCCGTGTTGAGACCATGGGAGAGGTTGATAATCACCAGCTCGCCTGGGTACTTGTCGGTGAAATCGTTGACTTCCCTCACGATATCGGCGATCAACTGCCCGTTTCCGCCCTGCCATCCATCCAACACCTTTTCTTTGTCTCCCCCACCGATCTTCCCAATTTCCTTGGCCAAGTCGCCCAACCCGGGAATCTTATCCAGTCCTGAGGGAAGCTTGATCCCGTCGAAAAAGGTATAATGCCCCGTGGCCCATTTGCCTCCGGCAATCACAGGGCGGATATCGAACCACCTCGCTCCGGCCTCCAGCTGCTTGCCGACCGTCATATGACTAGCATGACACTGCACCGACTCCGGTCTGGCTTTCACGAGGGCCGTACCGCCAGTGAGAAGTGACATGCCACTGTTGTGTGTCCCGGGGAGACTCATTTCTCTCAGCGTCAAGCAATGCATCCTGGAATAAGCTTGCTTCATCCACCCTGTCGTCGGAAGACCTGGGCTGGCAACCAACTCCTTTGCCGGATCAAATTTCGTCCCAGGCCTAGAAGTCTGACCGGTAGTGGAAGAGTTCCCAGCCGAAGGCGCAGCGCCCAAAACAAACGGCACATTATTCTCCTGATGCCAATCCAACACCCTGATGCTTCCCTCCGGTAACCCCAAAGCCGCAAGACTCTTCCATTCCACTTGTAACTTTGGCCCGTTCCGTCCTCGGTATTGGAACTCGATCTCCCCACCTCCATTTCCTCCCCCATGTTCCCCAATATCAAGTAAATACCTCATCTCCCCCGCATCATCCCTATGCGTCTTCGCCTCAATTTTCACCCGTACACTCTGCCCCGGATTTACGGTCTCAGGAAAAGAGTTATCCCAAACAGGCATCTGGTATGAATGACCGCCTGTTTTGCGCAGAGTAAACGGTGTGGCGTTGATGAGGAGCAGGTAAGCTGAGTTTTTCTGGAGGACGGATTTGGCTGACGAAGAGAGACTGGAAAGCGTGTTGAGGCCCGTGGGATCGGTGCTGGGTGTGGTCAGGTCGAGGTGTTGGGCTGCGTTTGGGGGGGAGGTGAGGTGGGTGATGAAAGTTGTTACGGAGTCAAAGAGGGGTGCGGCGGTGGTGACGGTGGTTGTGCCGGTAAAGGCGAGAGCTGCAACGAGGGGCTTGAATGGGAAGCGCATCTTGATGGTGCAGTGTTAGGTATTGAAAAAAGTGGTGAAAGAGTGACGTCGGTTGGTGATTGATGAATGAGTGAATTGGTGAGTTGAACCAGCTGAGGAACGAGAGACTGTGGTGAGGAGATGTGACGATCCTTAAGAACCCTCGAATGAACCTATCGAGTATCAGCTCTGTCCTTCTCAAACCCAGACACAGATCCAGAAGAAGTAGTACCTCGATATTTATCGCTGCTCGAAACCCACAGTTCAGTAGCGCTTCAATGAAGTCAGTCCAGTAATACCCGTTTGAGTGTAACCAGTCTACCACTCGACCTAAAACTTCAACCTCTATTCTTCGCTTATTCTCGAAGCAACAGAAACAAGTTGTGCAACTTTGAAGAACCGAAATCAGAAACAGAACCAACAGACCAAGATCAATCGTCCACACTCTCCAGCGCAAGACTATTATATAACCAACCCCTTTTATTGAAGCTATTCTGTCTTCTTTCTACACTACAAGGGTAAAATGGTGGAATGGGATGATCGACATTCATTATGCACCAAAACCTAATCTCGCCAATCTCGCTAAATCGCTAACACCCGCCCAACACCCGCTCAACCAGTTAGGATTATCTACCGTTGCGAGGATTGTTTCAGGGGTTGGATCGAGAAGAATGGGATAAGCGAGACGCCAAACGGGAACTCCCATGAATATGATGAGATGAGGTACGGAGTCATTCCCCAACAATAAAAAGGAGAAGGAATCTGTTGGTTTTTGTTCCCTCTGATTTTGACTTTGTGTGCAAGTGCTGGTTGGTACCTTGAGTTGGCAGCATGATTGTTTCACATCCGTTTAGGCATTTACTGTCAGATTATAAGGTTGGCAATTGAGCCACTACTCCGATAATATCGGAGCTCCAATTTTGCCAGTGTGGTGTAGTGGTGCCAATCAGACATTTACCCCCTGACTACTGCCGTAACTACTCGACGGACCCGACGGCAGATCCAATCGTGTATGGTAATTGGGGGTCTGCAGTTTTGACAGGAACCACTCGTTTGGATATTAAGACATTCGCATTGTCATAATGGAAGCTGTTATGATTGAGGTCCTGGACGACGGTCCCGAGTCTAAGACATGGGTTCAATTGCGAGGCCTCCGTGAATGACAGGACGAAGCAGAAGAAGCCGAAGAATTAGAAGAAGCATTCCAACCTGGGCCATGTGTGAGAGAGCAAGCTTTTGCAGAAACAAGAAGCAAACGATGGGAGCAAGGAAGTCAAGGGTGATACTAACGAGCCGTGTAAGAGATGAGTTCTTTTTACTACCACTACCACTACCACCTATTAATCTCTAATCCGGTCTTTCTTCGTACCGTAATTTGATTAAATACGTGCATGTCTGTTGCTGCTGTTCGTAACTGCATAGATGTATGGTATACTAAACCAAAGGGTATCGTATCGTATCGTGTATCAAAACCGAACCAAACTGAAGAAAAGGAAGACAAAACAAAACTGCTGTGCATGCCATCATGAATGCCCCATCGTAACCATCGCAAAAACCATTAAATCATAACCCATCAGACTTCCAGCCTTTTACATCTCATCCTCAAAGAACTTGATAAGTGTCCTGACACCCGAGACGCCCAGACCCATGAAGGGGTAGCAAATGTACACCAAATCGTTCCTCGCACCAAACTTCTCGCGGAACTCGGACTTGTTGACCAACTTGAGCTGCTGGCAAATAGTCTTGTAGGTGTGGCTCAATATCTTGGCTCTCATGCCGTTAAGGTGACCACCAGTGACCATCTCCGGGAGGGCACCAGCACCGAACGTCACGTTCCTGACACCGGCCTTGGCCAACATCTGGATAGCCGCGGAAATAAGCGCCTCGATGGTTCCGTTGGGAGAACCAGGGAAGTCCAAGGCGAACTTGATCTGGTACCCGTTCTCAGGAGAAAGGCGAGCAAGAACGCACATGGCGGCAACCTGACCATCCTTGTCCTCGGCCCAGAGGTAGCGACGGTGTTCCATGTCGACCCACGGACGGACCTCGGTGATGTGCACCTGCTTCTTGCCCTTGCGGTTGTCCTTCCAGTCTTGGATGCGCTTGTCGCACTTTTCGCGGATATGGTCGGGCACGGGCTCACCGATGGATACCTCGTGGATGGTAACACCCGCCTCTTCGGCTTGACGCTCCTTCTTGGCCACCTTCTTGGCCGAGTCGACCGAGACACGCTCCTCGGCAACGCAAGAGAGCGAACGCCATCCAAGCTTGGAGCCGAGAATTTCTTCGACATCGGAACTAACCAAGAGCCAAAGAGGACGGAGGTCCTTGCGGTGGCGCATGTCAGTGAGGAAGGCGCGGATGACGAGCTGGTACTGGCGAGGGTCGCAGAGGGGGTTGCCCATGACAAGAGCATAGCCGTTATCTTCGGCGTAACCAATGGCAGCACCCGTCTGCTCGTGGCGCCAGACGTGGTAGCGGTCGTCGAGCCAGGAAGTGTTGGTGGCGTCACCGTAGTTGACAATGAGCTTCTCAACAGGGGGTAGCTCAAGGCCAGTTGCGCCATGGTCATAATCATACGAGTACTTGATGGTGTCGGCTTCGGGGTGGGGAAGCTTGCCGGTGATCGCCTTGTGTTCTGGAAGGGACTTGGGGTCGCGGGGATAGAGAGAGGCGTTGCGGATGTCTCCCAGGTTAAGGAGGAGGAACACGATACGCTCGAGACCGATACCGCAACCAGCGTGGGGGAGGACACCGTAATCGAAGCCTTGAAGGTATTCTTGCATGCCGAGAGGCTCAATGCCGGCCTTCTTCATGCGCTCCTCCAAAAGGTGAGGCCTGTGGATACGCTGACCACCGGTGGTGATCTCCTGGCCACGAAGGAAGATGTCGAACGAGTTGGTGAAGCGGTCATCCTCGGGGTCGAGATGGGTATAGAAAGGACGAACGGAAGCTGGGAACTTGTCGATGATGTAGTAATCGGTCTTGTACTTCTCCTTGATGACCTTGCCCAACTGAATCTCGGCGCGGGTGCTAAGATCCTCAGTCTCGACAGCGGGTCTGCCGTGGTCATCGGTCCAGCCGGAATCGTTGAGAAGCTTGATGGCATCCTTGAAGGGAATGATGGGAGTCTCTGGTAGCCAGACCAGATCCTCATGTGGGAAGCGAGTCTTGATGATCTCGATCTCTTTGCGGTACTTGCCATAGATACCCTTGAAGATCTCTTTCATCAAGCCGTCGATAATCTGCATGGCCTCGTGGTAGTCCTGCTCGATGGCCATCTCCAAATCCATACCGGTGTATTCGGTCAAGTGACGATGGGTGTTGCTGTCCTCAGCACGGAAGACGGGGCCGATCTCAAAGACGCGACCAAAGTCGGCAGAGATGCTCATCTGCTTGGCCAACTGGGGACTTTGCGCGAGGAAGGCATTCCGGCCAAAGTAGTTGACTTTGAAGACTTCGGCACCTGACTCGGTAGCAGCGGGCTGCAGCTTGGGAGTGTGGATCTCGATGAAGCCCTTGTCCTCGAGGTATCGGCGGAAGACGCTGCAGATGCCGGCGTTGATGCGGAAAATGGACTGAGCGGTGGGTGTGCGGAGGAAGGCAATGCGGTTGGAGACACGGACTCTTGTCGAGGCCAGGGACTCCAGCTGATGTGTCTCGCTGTCCATCTCGACATGGTCAATGGAGTGGACATCGACGGGAAGATGCTCGTCGATGGGGACGACGAGGTACATGCTCTCGATCAAGACCTCCATATTGTGAACGGTGCATCCCTTGATCTCCTCGGGGGGTTGTTGTAGCTTTCCTTCGACGTGTACAAAGCCCTCGGCGGTGATGTGCTCGGCCCAGCGGACAAAGTTCTCGGAGACGACGCCATCTCTGACGGACAGGACGCCCTGGACCGTCTCGATCTGGTCGCGGAAGACGATGAAGGCGAGTTTGGAGCTCATTGCGCGAACGTGGTGGACGCGGGCTCGGAAGCTGACAGTCTTGCCGATATTCTGATAGTCGTTGACGAGGGCTTGAAGGGACTTTGCGGGAGCGAGGGCTTCCTCTTCTTGTGTTCCGTATCGTCGGGCAATCTCCGGGCCGTCGGCTTCGTGCCACTTCTTCTCGTCATCGTTGCGTCTCTGGACTGACAGCTTCTTTTCCTGTTCGAGTTGGTATTCCCTTGCGCGCTTCTCCTGGACCTTTTTGATGTTTTTCTTTTCGCGTTCGTCGTTGAGCTGGTCGATATCGCCGATCTTTGGTTTGCTCATGTGGTTTTTGGCTGACGAGTGGCCGATGATGCGGTTGAGAGCCAGCAATGGCTTCTTGAGCTTGCCTGGCGACATGGCTCTAGGTAGGGTATCTGGGGTATCTGGTGGGGTATTTGTTTTTGTTTACCTGGTGATGTTGGTGGTGGTGGTTGCGTGGGACAACAACTTGCGGACTGTATGGCAGCCCCAAGACAGAATGGTGAAGAAAGTCAGGCCGGGTACAATGCTGACAGCGTACTATGCAATGCAAGATGGTGATGATGGAGACTAAAAAGAAAAGCAAAAAGCAGGGGAGATTGGTAGAGAACATTTATTAGGAAAGAGGGAGGACGACAAAAACAAAGTGATGACGAAGGTTCGGGAATTTGCTGGGGAACTTGATTGCACCCTGGTCACTTGTCCGGTTACAGTACGTGGGCTTCGCTTGGTCAGAGGGCCACGAGGGGCCCAGAAGCATGGATGTTTACAGCTTGTGATTCAGGGCAAGAGCCACTAAAAACCGTCAGACTTCAGATGTCGGCGGAATGGGACGAGATGGACCATGCCACTGCTTTTTTTGTTTGATATTCGGGACGTTTTGTGCCTGGAAATCCAACAAGGTCTGATCCTGATTACGGTGTTACTGTAATTGATTCTTGGCTTTCTTTCCGAGTATCCGAAAGGGTGTCTGGGGACTGTACGTGATGGTGATCATCGTCAAGGACATGGCTGTCAAAGTCCGTCATCCGCTCCTCCCTCCACTCCTGCCGTACGCAGGTACATGTGAATGGCATTTTGTTGAGACGAGGACACCCTCAGGAACTGAAGTGCAAGTATTGTCATTATCCATTTTGTTGATCCAGTTCAATATGACGGAGTATTCCCTCCGGTACTGTTATTTTCCATGTTTCATTCAACCGTCGTTTGTTACTGAAAAGGCTGCCCTCTTGACTAAAATGCGCTTGCCTTGTCAATGTCAACTTGTCTTTGCGACTTCCTTCCTGTCAGAGATGAAACAGAAGGCTCGGAAATGGTCCAACCACCCCAAGCGCGGAAAGAGCAAACGACGTCATGGTTCTTATGACGTCACAGTTTATGCAGCAGAGTGCCAAGAACTTGGCAGGGCGGCCAATGTCGGCAGAAAGAATGAAACAAGTCAAAACATCACACGATTCATAGCAGAGGTTTTTAAGGGTGAAGTAACAAGAATTCTGGGCGGTATTAGTACAGAACGTGACTTTTCATATTATTCTTACTCAAGTTGTCCAATTCGTTGCCGACCGTCATCGTCGTCGATCTTCTGTGGAGTTCTTTTTCCTTATCGCGACTTTTGCGGCAGGCAGAGCCTTATCGCACAGCTACCTAGAAGCGGGCCAATCAGTCCACCACCTTGTTGCCAAATGACATCAACTCCCATCCTTTCCTTTTCCACCGCAGCCCACTGATCACAATTGCGCACAGCCTTGTTAGTCGGTGTCCAAGTCCTGTTTCTGTTCCTGTTCCTGCTCCTGCAATTGGAGACTGGACCACAAACAATGACGGACTGTTGCTGTGGCACTCATGGAGGTAAATGCGACACGCGAGAAACATTGACAAGCAATAAATCGCTGAATTAGTATTTTGACCATATCCCACCTTTGGTGCTACCTCTCGTCCTCTAGACATTCCCTAGACGCTGACCACCATCACCTCATTGCCGTAACTCTTGCTGACCCTTTGTCGCAATATCTTTATATACTCCGTCTAGTCTGCAACCTAATACTAGGTCGACTCGCCAACATCATGCCAGACGTCAAGCTAGTTCCCAACATTCCCACTGTCGAGGGTATTCCCATCCCGCCGACAACCACCAAAGATGAAGGCAGCTGGTTGAGACCACAGACCGCCGACGATGTCAACAACCCGGCGTCTTCACGATGGTATCTCAAGGCCCAGGCCTCTGCTTTGCGATCCGGCCAATACATCGGCATGACCCTCCACTACCTCGCCAGTCCTCGACCACCAAACCCCAACTTTACCCTCACGATCCCGTCGCTTCTATCCAAATACAAGGGCACATTTACCCTCCAATTCTACACACCAAAGGGCTACGAAGAGGCCTCTAAGCACGGCAAGCGATACCCCGCAGTCGTCAACTTCCACGGCGGTGGCTTCACAATCGGCAACGGTACCGACGATGCCCGATTTGCTCGCTACGTCCTCGACACCTGCGACGCCATCTTTGTCTCGGTCGACTACCGTCTCGCGCCCGAATACCCTTTTCCGACCGCCGTCGACGACGCCGCCGATGCGCTCTTTTACATCATCCGCCAGTCGGCCGACCTGCACATCGATCCCATGAAGCTCGCGACATCCGGTTTCTCTGCTGGCGGCAACATCGCTATCACTGCGACTTTGCGCTTCAATGAACACTTGAAGGAAATTGCCGATCCCGAAAACAAGACGCCCCCAGTCCCCGATCACAAGATTCGCGCCATTGCGACTTGGTACCCCGTTACCGACTACAGCGTCTCGCGCGCCGAGAAGCGCGCCACCTGTGTCAAGCCCGAGCACACGTTGCCTCCTACCATGACGAACCTCTTTGACGGGTCCTACCTCTACCCCGGTGATCTGAGGATGGATCACCCATGGCTGTCGCCATCCAGAGCCAGCGACGAGGAACTCAAGGACGCCATCCCGGAGAACGTGCTGGTGTACACATGCGAATGGGACATGCTACAGAAGGAAGGCGAGGCGTTCGCTAAGCGGTTGGCAGCCGAGCCGCTGAACAAGACCGTTCACCACAGGATGATTCCCGGGGTGCCGCATGGTTGGGATAAGAGTCCGGATCCGTTGAAGCCGGCAATGCACACCCAGGAGGTGTACACGGATTGTTGTCGCAAGTTGTTGTCGATTTTTAATGCGGCGGATTGACGGATACCCCGGAGGAGTTATTGGCAGGCTTGTTTGAAAAAGGAGAAGTTGGTTGTTGACGACGAGGAGGAGGAGGAACTGGCGAGGGCGAGGACGAGTACGAGTACGAGTACCAACGAGTAAACCTTAATGATAGTAACCTCTCCATGAAAATTATGATCACTTTTACATATTGACATCTTTTCGAAGCATCGTTGAGTGTGGAAATGTTTGGAGCTGTGTACTTTGGTCTGGAATTGGTACATGACAAGTAGCTTCCCTGAGGTCCCAATGTAGCTGGTAGCTATCCCAAACGGGCTGCATTTCTCCCATGGGTATGTTGCTTAGAAATCACCACGACAAAGAGGAAGCTAACATTGAGGGGATCCAGGCACCGTCCTCGGCATCGTCTGTATGCGTGTCGTAGTGCGAGATATCGCGATACCACCTCCAGGCAGTAAGTAGTGCTTACCAATTCGGCGTTAACAACATATCCCGCCATGACGGATTATCAATTCGGCGTTAACAACACATCCCGCCATGACGGATTACCAATTCAGCCGACCCCTCGTCCTACTCTACCCTGCGATCCAAGTCTAGGCAGCCTCAACGAAGACCATAGGAATATACGCGTCAAGACTTTCTACATAACCCGATGGTTATCCTCTCGAACGTCAAGTCTTGACACAATATCCTCGCATCGACTTTCTATCTTCCCCTATCCACCATCGCCCCTTCCACAGAATCAATTCCCAGCCCTTTACCAGAATACTCAATCAATATCAACACCAGCATCAGCACCGACCAAATCCACACCATCGCCCCAGAACCATCAACCACGCAGCCAATCTACCAACCCCACCCAACATCAAAATGGCACCAATCCGCCTAGCCCTAGTCGGCCTCTCCTCCACCTCTCCCTCCTGGCTATCCAACGCCCACCTGCCCTACCTCCTCTCCTCGCGGGGCAAAGACAAATTTCAAATCGTCGCTCTCCAAAACTCTTCCGTCGAAGCAGCCCGCAAAGCTATCGATTCCTACAAGCTTGATCCAGAAACGGTGAAGGCGTATGGTAGTCCCGAAGAGCTCGCCAAAGACGACAACGTCGAACTAGTCGTCGTCGGAACGAGAGTGGATGTGCACTACTCTAACCTTAAGCCGTTGCTTGAGGTGTGGAAGGATACTTCAATCGGAAAGAAGAGAGGAGTCTACTCCGAGTGGCCTTTGGCTTCGAACTTGCAGCAGATTGAGGAGTTGATTCAACTGGCAAAGGAAACAAGAGTGAAGACGGTGGTGGGAACGCAAGGGTTTGCGAGTCCGGTTGTGAAAAAGGTTGAGGAGCTGTTGAAGAGTGGGAAGATTGGCAAGGTGCTGAGTTCGGAAGTGAGACTCAGTGGTTTGACGGAGGAGAGGGATGCGGTTGCTGAAAAGATAGAGTATTTCACTAGGAGGGAGGTGGGTGGGAATTTGTGGAGTATTGGTGGTGGGCATAGTATGTCTTTCTCTTTTTTCCCTTCATCCTTCTTTCTTTCTTTCCCTTTGATCTTCCCCTTCCCCGTTTGACTTCTGCCTGCCATCTACCCCTTCCCCCCTTGACATTTCCACCAGCGGCCGACGACGACAAATGACCACATGGCAAAAACAGAATACAAACTAACAGAATCAAAAAACAGTAATCGACCTCCTACAATTCACTCTCGGCGACCTCCCCCCCTCCACCATAAAATCCCACTTCCAGATCCAACATCCTCTCGTGCCCATCACCAACTCAACCGGCGCCGTAACCAAAACAGCCCAATCCAACGTCCCCGACCTTCTATACCTCACCGGCTCCCTCCCCTCCTCCTCCTTCGTCCAAGCCAACGCCTCCCTATCACTGCGCATGCGCCGCGGTCCTCCCTTTCCCGGCGAGCCAGCTTTCGTGTGGACGATCACTGGCGAAAAGGGAGAGATCAGAGTTACTAGCACTGAATCTGTCACAATCTTTTTGGGGCTTGGGGAGGTTAAGGTTGAGGTGCATGATTATGGAAGTAACGAGGTGGAGGAGGTGGAGTGGAGGTGGGAGGGGTGGCAGGAGGAGTTGAAGTTGCCGGGGCCGGCGAGGAATGTGGGGAGTGTTTATGAGGGGGTTTATGAAGATTGGGTAAATGATGGCAGGGGTAATGAAGGTAAGGAAGGGGGAAAGAAAGGATATAATGATTGGGAGGTTGCGGGTAGGAGACATGAGCTTTTGGAAAGGGCGTTGGCCGATAATGGGTTTTGATTCTAAGCCTGACCTCTGAATGATGGGAAGGGATGGAGTGACGGTAAGGATATGGGATAGGGTAGCTGAGTGGACTAGAGTTCCAAGGGCAGTTTGAACAACCTAATAGCGTTTTCCCTAGCAACCATCTCCTTTTGTCTTTCAGGGAGATCAACTCCTTCTTTCCACCAGCTTTGCGCTTCCTCGATTGTGTCGTAGGGGTAGTCTTTTCACGTCACATCCAGTCAGTCACATTAGATCCAGTCGAAGTCAGTTACCCCAAAAACACAAGAGGTGATTGGAAAGATAACGTACCGATAGAAAACAAGCATCTCTCCACGCCAATCTGGTCGAGACGCTTTCTTGACGGGTTTGTTGTACCAGTGGCTGGCGCGCCAGAGGTTGAAGGGGATGCTTTTGGCCCGATTGGAATCAGCGTCGTTCGTCACATGCACAGGACACAGGGCCGTCGCCGCCACCATCATCATCATCACTACCTGGAGGAGAGGGGTGCTATACGCAAATGGGACATGGAAGGAAAGGAGAGGAAACGAAACGAGTACTCACCCCTCCCCAAGATGTCCAACCACCACCTGCACCCCAGGGAACTCATCAAACACCCCGCCCGAACAAATGGCATATAAGTGCTTGCTCAAGTCCAAATGGAATTGGACCGCTGCTCCCAAGAGGTGTTTGCGTTGTGCCCACCACCCCTTTTCTCCTCTCCCCTTGTGCACCTTCACGTCCCGGGTTGGCCCCTCCCCTTTCCCATCAGCTTCTCCTGCCCCTAGAGGTTTCAACTCCTTATTAGGCGGATACCTAGGATGCAAATAAACCGGCACCCCCAACTGTTCCACTTCCTTCCAAAATGGCTGGTATTCGCGTGTGTTGTACCACTTCTTCCCGGTTCCCTCATCACCTCCTTCTGCTTCAACTTCTTGATAATCATTGATGATCACCCCAAACATCCCCAAATCATTCACGGCCCTCCTAACTTCAGCGGCTGCCTCCTCCGTATTGTGCATAGAAACACTCGCCAACGCTCCAAACCGGGCAGGATTCTTCGCAACTGAGCGAGCGAGCCAATCATTCGCTTCCCTTGCTATCTTCGCTGCTTCTACCGGATCAGACCGGCCTTGGGGACCCGAAGAGGTTGGAGATAAAAGCATGTATTCTACGTCATGGGCATCCATTTGCTCCACGCGGGCCACGGGGATATCCAGCAGCTGGGCAGTGTGTTTATGGAGGTGCTGGATGGGGTTTCCGGAGGGATTGGTGGAGGAAGGGTTGAAGATGGAGGCTATGGCGGCCATTCAGGAGATGCCGGAGGGGTTGAGGACTGCGTCCTCGATGGCGATGGTGCCCTTGGGGGCTTTCTTTGCCGTCGTGGCCGCCGCTGCTGGGGGGTTTGAGGGACCTGCCCCTAATGTAGGGGAGGGAGTAGTGATGTCGGACATTTTCCTGTTGGGGTTAAAGTTATTCGTGGTGAACAGGTCGATACATGGAAAACAACCAGTGGAGGTGACCGGAGAATTGAAGGGGTCCGGTTCGTCGAGATCAGTTGGGAAGTCTCTGGAAGGATGCACGAGTGAGGATGCAGGATGATGATCTTCACTTGAAGGAAGGCTTATGGTAGGGTGAGGTTTACCTTAGTCAGGCATATCGATCCTTTAAAGCAGCTTCCAACAAGAAGGGCAACCTCCCTGAAATAACCTTCTCTTCTTTGCCCATTCATCGTCATTCCCTCGACCCTTTCGTCTTCCACTTCCCCAGCAGACCTTATCCGGAGAAGTTGCATGTGTTGATCACATAGCCGCTCCATGCGGGGAGACATCCGAACGGAACCACTGCCGTTCGTCACCCGAACGTAACTCGGTGTTTGTTTTGCCAAATGTCAACGAAGGAAGGGTAACACGAGGGTCTTGGTAAGCGGGGCAATTTCAGGGGAGCACAACCTCAACGGCGTTAAGGGTGCTATGTCCGGCTACCGAAGGCACTGGAAGGGGAAGAAACAGTGCTGATTGGACAATGGATAGTTTTGATAGTGGGTAATTGTAGGAGGGTGGCAACGGTGGTGTTGGCGTGGTGATAGTGTGTCGAAACACCTGCACTACAAAACACTACCACTCAAGATCTCCATAGGGACGGCGGATGAATCCGAAGATGGTGCTCGGTATGACCTAAAATATTACTGTTCGTAACAAGACGACAGAGTGATCCGACCGGGCCAGTTGACTTCCGCTGACTTTCGGCGGTCGATGCGGCCGCCGAGCTGATAAACTTCAGTTTGGCCAGTTAAACTCTCCAAAATCCGTAGAATCCGGACTGCGTGTCAACCGCCAAGAGTCATTGTCCGACGGGAAGGATCAAGATGTATCATTGACAGCAACGTCGGGCGGCCAACGAGGCATTAGCCCCTCCTCTTGTATTTCCCGGTCTTCTTTATCCCCGCTCGTTGTTTTCCTTTAAAGTGCTTGACGTCCCTCCCTCTTCGGCAGTTTGAAAGTCTGGACATCAACCGGCAGAAGCATCTCGACATTGCGGAAACACCAATATCGAGCCGTCACTCATCTATCCGCGTCGTATTGCCAGATATACCCATACACACCACCCAACATGGCCACTTCAGTCAACGTCAACGGCATTGAGTTCCAGCCGAGGCTGCTCATCAATGGCGAGGTAGGTTACTCCCGTCTTGTCATAGCCCAATGACCGAGTGACCGAGGCTAACCAAATTCAACCGCCTGCAGTTCGTCGAAGCATCCGACAAGGCTACCTTCAACGTCGTCAACCCTGCCACCGGCGAGATCTCTTGCAAGGTCCCCGAGGCCACCGAAGATGATACCAACAAGGCTGTGGCCGCGGCCAAAGCAGCTCAAGCCGGATGGGCCGCCCTGGACCCAACCAAGCGCGGTGCCTGCCTCAAGAAGCTCGCCGCCTTGATCCGCGAGAACAACTCGACCCTCGCCCACCTCGAGTCCATTTCCATGGGCGTGCCGCTGTCGCACTACTTCCACGCCAGCGCCGGCGCCGACGAGCTCGACTACTTTGCCGAAGCATGGCCGCACATCCAGGGCCAATCCAGCGTCAACACGCCCGGCTTCATGACCATGACGCTCCGCCAGCCCTTTGGCGTCGTAGCCTGCATCATCCCCTGGAATGCGCCCCTCTACTTCTTCTGCGGCAAGGCCGCCGCCGCTTTGATCACGGGTAACACTGTCGTCCTCAAGTCCTCGGAAAAAGCTCCCCTGGCCGTCGCCTTTGCCGCCTCGCTCATCGCCAAAGCGGGTTTCCCGCCCGGCGTCTTCAACGTCCTTTCCGGCCACGGCGTTCCCTCCGGCCGCTGTCTCACGCGCCACATGGACGTGCGCGCCCTCTCTTTTACCGGCTCCAGCCGCACGGGTAAGTTGATCCAAGAAGAAGCCGCCAAGACGAACCTCAAGAGCGTGACGCTCGAACTCGGCGGCAAATCCCCAGCCATCATCTTCGACGACGCCGACATCGAGCAAGCAATTTCCGCAACCATGACTTCCATCATCCTCAACTCGGGACAAGCCTGCATAGCCAACTCGAGGCTATACGTGCACAAGAGCGTTTCGCAGAAATTCATCGAGGCCTTCACGCAGCGCATGGCCTCTGTGCAGGGCGGCAACCCGCTCGACGCTTCAACGCAAATGGGTCCTCAGGCGGACGAGGTGCAGTACAAGAACATTTTGTCGTACATCGAAGAGGGCAAGAAGACCGGTACTTTGGCCGTGGGCGGCAAGGGAAAGCTGGACTCGACAAAGGGATACTTCGTCGAGCCGACCGTGTTCCTCAATACACCGGAGGACGCCAAGATCATGAAGGAGGAGGTGTTCGGTCCCGTGCTGAATATTAATACCTTTGAGACGGAGGAGGAGGTGATTGCCAAGGCGAACGATACCGAGTTTGGCTTGTACGCGGCCGTGTTCACCAAGGATCTGAGCAGGGCGATGAGGATGGCTAAGGCGTTGGAGAGCGGCTATGTGGGCATTAACTGTACAAGCCCTACCGCGGGAAGGGATTTGCCGTTTGGTGGGTATAAGGGGAGTGGACAGGGACGGGAGGGGAGACTGTATAGCATGGAGCACTTTTTTGGAGGTTAAGAGTGTGATTATCAAGTTGGATGAGGCGAAGTTGTAGATGGAAAAATGGTCGAGGGGGGGAATAAGGATAGCAAAGCGAAGGAAGATGAAATGGGAAGAGATTTTGATGCACAGATTTTTTTCGTTGGATGCAGATGTCATTGGGTTGAGGCTTACCTAGACCATGCAGTTACAGTCTCAGAAGTGTTTTTGTACTATCAGGTTCTGCCCCTGGTCCCGCAGTTTCTGCACCTCGTCTATTAAGCAAGTAACTGGACAGCCGCGGCAACTTCCGTCTTCATCAACCACAACCACAGCCACAACCACGAGCTCCTCTTGCCAATTCTTTCTCCTCCGACGAAACATGACCACGGCAGTCGCGCAAGTACGTATCACAAAACCTTACGATGTCAACAAACCCCGACTGAACTATGGCTAGATGAAGTTTATCACAGAACAGAAAGCATCATGTCACAGTTGAGTTTATGGTCGAATTGTAGCCGAAATGGTTTCTTCTGGGTACCACCAGCAATGGCCAGCAACTATCTGTTATTCTGGTCCATCTTTGCCCTGCCTCTTATCTGTGGGCATTTCCATCTTGATCCCTTGCCTGTCAGGCAATCCGTTGTACCACGCTTCTCTTGTCCAAACGCCTCGCTAAAAGATAGCAACAATCCCAAGTCAAGCCCCATCTCCCCATCACGATTCCTCCCATCGCTAACCGCCAATCGTGAGTTGTCGAAAGCCAAACCGCGCAAGGTAAAAAAAGAAAAGGGAATGAAGAGCCGCAGATATGCAAGGACGAGGGATGAGGAGTCGCGCCGCACGGGAGCCCCTCAGATCACAGCGGGGATGGGCTTGCCGGTCATGTATTCGATGTTCATGACCTTATGATCGGTGGGGTTCTCGATGGCGACGTTGCCGCCGCTTCCCAACTGGTGGGGGTAGGTGGCCTGGTTGGCACCCGCCGCCAGGGTGCACTTTCCATCATAACCATTCTTGCAAATCAAGTCGTTGATGTTCCAGAGTTGGTAGTTCTTACCAACCCAGGTGTCGCGCGAGAGGCAGGAGGTGAGATAGTTCATGGAGTTAGCGCCCTGAAGGTGCAGCTTTCCCGAACCATCGGTGATCAAGGACTTGCGTTATCCGCAGGAAGGTATTCGTAATGGAGGTCGCCCATGGCGTCTCCGGTGATGGCGGTGCCAGGGGCAGCGGGGTTGCCGGTGGCCAGGTATTTCCAGGCATCGTAGCTGATGTCGTGGGCACCACTGGAGTGATCAATGCGAAGAAGGGGGACGGAACGGCTAGCGGTGGTGTTGGTGAGCTTGACACAGATGTTGTCGCAGTCGACTTCCTCCCTCCAGTACGCAACGCGGTTGGTGTTAATCTTGCAACCGAGGACTCCAACTGAGGAAGAGAAGTAGACGTGAGGATTGACATCGCTGATAGTGCCGGAGCTGGCGGTCTGGCGCTTCTCGTTGACATGAGCGCTAGCAGTGTTGACGGCTGAGAGGATATCGACGAAGGCGCGGGAAGCCTTCACAATGGAGGTGGTGAACTCCTGGGCCGAGACGAGGGCAGCCAGGAAGGCCACGAAGGGAAAGATGGTCTTGTGCATCATCTTGCTGGTTGTTGATGTTCGGTGTAGAGAAAAGACTTGGGAGTTTGGCTTTCGTTGTTGAAGACCTTGGAGGTTGATCTTCAAGTAGGTTGATGATGAGGATTGCAAAGGAAGAAGAGGCCTGGAAGAGAGTAATTTTATATCTAGAGGAGAGGGAGGTATTGAAGTATCTAGATCCGGCCAAAAACCAAAGGCAGGTAAATGGTAGAGGGTGGTTGAAATGAGATGGTTGAGTGAATGGGCTTCGATACGGCCAGGCATCTTCATCCAACACTGTGAAGCTTCAAAGTGTCGCGGTCTGGCTGCTTCAGATAAGGATTTCCATCAGTGAGAGACACATGTTAATGGCGTTAATGGCATTCCGCATGTTCATCCTCAAACGAGCCGTTAACAACGTCGGGACGAGGAGGAAATTCTGAGTGAAGTGCTTACGTCTACCTCTAGGCAGCCCCCAGTCCTTCAACACTGGCACGGGACGGACTCCACCCACAACGGAAAGCCTCTCGTCTGGCCATAAAACTTGCTCGTCTGAATGTGAATGAGTCTGGTTAGGTACTTTGCTCGTCTTATATTTCGATCCTTGAATCACCAGAAGGCTCCCAAAGATCAAACCCTCGCACCTCGTTTGTTCTCAATAGGTCTGCAGCTTGGCAAGCAACTGAGGCTCCATATTGTATTCGCTCCTTCTGATTGTTACTGCACTCTGTGTTTTGCAAAATGTGTCGTCTTAAACATGATGTTTTGGTGGGACTGTATACAGTGATGAAGGGTGTAGACGACGTGGATCTCGCGTACCTGAAGATCGGGAACCATCTGATGAGGAAGGACATCAGAATTGACTGTATCAAGGATAACTGTGCCATGAAACTGGACGTGTCTTTTGGGCGGAAACCTTGTTGACATCAAAAGCTCTACTTCACTGCGGCGATGATGCTAGTCGGTGGAAACTTTTGTTGCGATGTTGTCAGGAAAATGCCGAGGGGGAAATCCCGCCACCAATTTCAGTTTCGTGATTGCTCCGCCACTCAGCAAGTGTTTGGGCAGGCGCGATGTTGGTGGGGTTGCGAGCGCATAGATGTCCAATCTCGGTTGGGGAACGGAGGTGAAACTTGAAGGAGGTCACGACTCTACGATGACTGTCACTGAGTCCACTCTTGACAAGAAAGGAAGGCTCAATATGTGTCGGGCTTAATGATGGCGTTATTTGGGAGTGTCTCCAGGTCTTTGGTTCAACTACCTGCTGATCAGAATCTGTCATTTCACACTACCACAAAATTTCTTGCAGTTCCCTGCCTGACTTAAAAGCCGCAAGCTGCATCAAAATGAGAGAAATCGAGATGATGAAGAACATCCGAATGGGACGGGAGGTGTGTTTTACCTAGCAATGAACTCTAAACCAGGTCTGTAGTTGTGACAAGGGCAGTGTTCTGG